AACCCAGCTGGTACAGTTTCTCTGAAACCTATGTTTCCTAAATTCCACCTCTAACACCTGGCAGTTTCTTCAGTGGGGGCACACATCGCCCCCCCAAATTCCACCACTGAAATTGATGCTCAACTCTGGGATTAGGGGCCTCTAATGTGGACCAAGGAAAGGAAAAGGCATTCGATGACTTCACAAACCAAGACATCAACACTTAGTATGAAGTTCACTGAGAAGAGGTCAAATAGCAGCACCTGGGATCTCCTAGATGCATTTGGCTTTAAATGAAACAATAAGTTAACATACTAAAGTGCAAGACTATAAATAACTCCACTTCATGTCTGCCTCTGGAGACGCTATGTCTTAGCTTTTTCATTTTAAAGTCACTCTGAACATTATGTTTTAATTAATGAACCTTGCTTCATGCAGCAACAAACAACATTTCTGCCAATTAGTGTCAGCTCTGTCTTGTACAGGAGTCCTCTGCTTCTGCCAGCACACGCGGGCGAGGGGTAGAGAGCGCCGACCTCCCTTTTATGCGCATGGATTTTTCACCCACTGGTACTCGTGTTCATCACTTCCCTGCCAAAGGGCAGCATGAACATCTGTGGCTGCCGAGGCTTCCTTGACCCATGGTCACGGCAAATGTCATTTCCTTTGCAACAGAGTCTCCAAGAGTGCGCCCTCTGGCCCCCACCACTTCCAGTTTATGCAAGAAGTATATCCACACCTGCAAACGTCAGCTGCTGACTTGAGATCCACAGGCATTGGGAGGGTGGGCACATGAGGTCGGCATGGGGCAAGAGGCAACCACGCCTTTCAGATGCCAGCCTGGTCTCCAGGGTCAGACTATCAGGTGAAATTCCTTCTCCCATCCTTACCAGCTGTGCAACCTTGAGCAAGTCATTTCATTGCAGCTTTAGCTTCTTTAAATGTAAAATTGGATTATTAATAGCACCTGCCTTCCAGGGCCGTTGAGAGGATGGAAGGAAACACCAATGGGTTACACTACGCAGCACACCGGGCACTCAGGGTGTGCACTAAAATAAGCGTTTGCTGTTTTCCCTTCTCCGTGTGCCCTTCGCCCAGACCTGCCTGCCGGTCTTCACAGCAACCCCCCAGACCCAAATGTGCCTAACCACTGGCTGTGGGTTTTCTTGCTTCCTTGTTGAACCCGGTGCCCAGGTTGGAGACGGGCTGCACTGGGCGCTTCACACTCTCCGTGCCCTGGCTGCCACTGAGTGCAGAGCTGCAGAGGGGTGTGCAGCCTGTCCTGGGAGAGACACCAACCGCAGCAGGAAGTGCACAGCCGGGGTCAGGGCCCACCTGAGCACCATCCCTGGGGCCGACAGCAACACGAACACACAACGCCAAGCAGCAGCGGTGCTGGAGAAGAGGGCAAGAGGCGATCCCCCGCGCTGTGCACCTCCGGGGAGCCCAACACAAAGGAGCGTGTCCCGCGGGTGTGGAAGTACATGGAATCCTGTGGTCTAGGGTGAGAAAGACCTATAGATATTCAGGCTACCAGCTGGCATCAATCAAGCTGGGACATGCAGGCACCAGGAATGCAAAGGTAGGGGATAGTGGGAGAAGGGGAGTGAGCACCCACCGAACATGTTTTGGGACAGATTCTACAAGGTACTACCTGCCAAGCCCATCCCTGTTGTGAAGGTCAGGACTGGACACAGGGCAGGTTTTCTAGGATCCAGCAGACCGGGTAAAGGAGGAGTCAGAGTCCTTAGTGGCTTTTGCAAGTCTTTTATTGGGGTTCACCAGGAATATGGCAGGCAGGGTGGTGGGGGGCCAGGAGGCTGGCAGGCCTCCCAGCCCCCAGCAAGTCTTCACTCTATCCGGGCTCTCCGGCCTTCTCTCTGCTTCTCTGCTCTTCTTTCTCAGCTTCTGCTGGCGTCCCCCTGACACCGCTCTTAAAAGCCCATTCTCAGCCCAGGTGAATCCATCTACCTATGCCCACACCCTACTCCAGGTGCCCGCCATCAGGCATGCATTCAGGGCCGCAAGGATCCATCATCTGTCCTGATGGCGGGAGGGCAGAAAAACCTGACATTTTTTTTTTACCCTACACCTTTCCAGAAAGAAGCCAGGGAACCAGGCTGAGTTCCTGCAGAAGGTAAGCATTGCGGAAGCTCATCCCCACCAGGCAAGCGCGGCCACCCTCCCAAGCCCAGGAGCCACCAGGGGAGAGAGCGAGCCAGGAGGGTGGCTCAGAAGCCCAGGCTCTGCCTCAGAGGTGGACACAGGAGAGAAGCAGAACTGGCGGAGAAAAGACTCAGAATCAGCTCAGCTTGACAGAGGATGAGTTCAGTCCCGAAAATGGGGGCCAAAGGAGCTCATTTTGGACTAAAGGGATGGGGCTGGGGAGAGAGGCCAAGACCCCGTGACAATAGAGACTAGGTTAAAAGTGTTGGCTGCGATCAGAGGAAAAAGGAAATCCACTGGCTCCCCTGGGGTTTCAACAAAGGATTTTGATCTTGTTGGTGCTCAACTCCAAGCCACTAACTAACCAGACTCCCTGGGGCTCTAGCGCACAAAGCAAAACACGTGGAGAGGCCAGAAAAGGGTTCAGGGATCCGGATGAACACACACCTCTAGTGCTAGAATAGCCCGGCGTCTTTGTTCAAATAGGAAACAGCACAACAGAAGGGGACCCTTGGCCTCCACTTCCCACTGCAGAGAATGGAACCCACTTGGGGTTTCCTCGCTTAAGACAAATGAGACGAAATCAGGGGAGGGTCACATAAGGCAGCAAAGGAAGAGTCCCAGAGGGGAAGGGAGAGCGTGAGCCTGTTTAGAGTGAAGCTGAAAAGGCCACACTCATTTTGGAAGAGAGTTTGGCAATTTCTTACAGAACTAAAAATGCTCTCATGGACAGTTTCCATCATTGCCCTCCTTGGTATTTACCCAAAGGAGCTGGAAACTGATGTCCACAATAAAACCCTCACATAGGTGTTTCTAGCAGTTTTATTCATCGTTGCCACAGCTTGGAAGCCGCCGATATGCTGCCTGGGCACACAGACTGGGATACAACAGACAATGGAATATTACTCAGCGCAGGGGGAAGAAAAGGTGTCAAGCCACGAAAAGGCATGGAGGAATCATAAACACATATCGCTAAGTGAAAATAAACAATCTGAGAAAACTACATCCTGTATGATTCCAACTACTGACATTCTAGAAAAGGCAAAACTATGGAGCCAGTAAAATCTCAGTGGTGGCCAGGGGCTGGGGGGGGCAGGAGGAGACAAACAGGTCGAAGACAGAGGATTTTTAGTAAAACTATTCTGGATGATACCGTAAGGCTGGATACATGTCACTATCCATTTGTCTAAACTCATCAACTACGACACCCAGAGTGAACCCTGATGTTAGCTATGGACATTGGGTGATTGTGACGTGTCCATGGGGGGTCATCAGTTTCAACAGGTACACCTCTAATGGGGGATGTTGCTCATGGGGAAGGCTGTGCATGTGGAGGGTAGGAGGCAATGAGGTATCATGGGACCTCATAATTTTATTGTGAACCTGAAACCGCTCTTAAAAGAGTAATAAAGTCTATTTAAAACCCATAGTCTGAGGATTGACTTGCTATGGTGACTTCCAGGCACCAGACATGTTGAACCACCTTAGCAGAGGTGGCTGACACCAGGGGTCTGAGGCAGCTCAGGATGTGTCCGTGGCACAGAGCTCCAGGCAGCCCTGGAGAAGTTCTCTAAAAACTTGCTGCTCCACTTCCATGACTGTCTCTGTGCTGTAGCCACAGCTGGCCCTGTCATGTCTGTTAGGGCGTGTCCTCTGGGGCCATCTCTGTCCCCACCACACCCAGCTGACCGTCCCATCAGAGCTGCCCATCGGCCCGTCTGCGGTAAGTGAACTCTCCTTGAGTCCTGCCTGCCGCCAAGAACTGGGGATAAGACCTCCGAGGACACTGAGCTGCAGCCACGTGAGCTCCTGAGGGTCCCCCAGGACTTTAATATCTGGCTGGCATTCCACTGGTTCCCCGCAGACCGTGCCTGCTCTCACCGAAGAGCCGCACTGCCCTCTGCTGGCAGGACACTCAGGAAGCTGGTGCCCGGCGGCCCTGCAGGGGTTGCTGGAAGTAGATGCCTGACTCGGGAGCATGCCCTCCTCAGCCCTGGCAGGCGGCCCCACTGCTGTGGAAACAGGCGCTGTCCCTGTGGCTTCCAAGCATCTCCCTGGCCTTGCCATCCTTTCCTTCTGAAGTCTTTCCCTTGCTGAGAAATGTGTCTCCACCACCCCCACCACCTCCACCACCCCCACCCGGGAGTCCTGCAGAGTCTCCTGGACTTCAGGGGAAGGAAACAGCGGGAGAAAGGCAGACACCTTCCATCCCCCCTCTCCAGCCCCAGGTCACAACGCCTTGGTCGGAGTTTCTGTAGTGGGGGTTGCTTGACACTTTAACAGCTCGGGAACGAGGCCACGTCTCATGCAACAGTGGTGATATCTCAGCTTAGATTCCTAGAGAAACAGGCCGGAGACAAAGATCTGCATGTACATGGTTTACTGGGAGATGGGCTCGGGAAATAAGGAGAGAAAAAAGGAAAGTAGGACAGAGAAGGAAGAAAAGGCAGTTGCCATGTGGGCGCCTCAGACATCACATCAAGGGTTGAGGAAGCCTCGTTCCCACCTTCAGGCTTTGGGATGTCCAGAGAGAAAGCCCCGGGGCAGGGAGGCGCAGGCACTTGCCTGAAGGCTGTTTACCAGTAACCAGGCAAGGGGCGCTGGGAGGGGAGGGGCTCGGCACCTGCAGCTTCTACCACACCCCGAGCAAGACTGACGCCTGGGACATTAGGGTGTTTTCATCCATCTTGCATATTGATGATATATTTTTAAATCAGAAAAAAATAATAACATTAGGCCTTCTAAAAAAAAAAAAAAAAAACCAAGAAAAGAGGCCTGTAATGGAGCCAGAAAACAGGGAGGCCAGAGATCTCCCCTCCAAGAGGGTCCCCACCGAGGCAGCAGCGGAGGCCGGAAACAGACAGCTGAGACAAAGCCCGTTTTGACACTTTATTCGATGATCATAAATACAGCCTCATGAGCATGAGGGGACCTCGAACGATGTACTAGCACCTGGAACTGACATCACAGAGCACTCTCGTCCCCCAGCCGCTGTGAGACCTCGCGGGGCTGCTAGGCGTCTCCCTGATGAGTGTGTTCGTCTTTGTGGGGCCCCCTCCTTCCGGTGCAGCAGTTTTATTCTTGGCTCGGCTCGCGCTCAGCAATTTAAAAAAATCATAAAAGATCAAGTGTTTGCAAGAAAATATCAAAGAGGATAAGATTCTCAGCTCTCCTAGGAGTCTAAAAGTAAAAAGGGAGGGAGGGAGAGAGGTGAGGGGCAGGAAGATGTCCGGGGTTGGCCACGAGTCTTCCTTCCCCGGAGCATTTCCACACACAGAACCCTGGGCGGCATTAACGCTGCTTGGAGACGGGCTGCGTCTCTCTGATGAGCCACTCGAGAGCTTCCTGGCGGCCCTGTTTCTGCAGTTCCTTCCCGATCACGTCCCGACAGGTCTGGTGGTAACTGTTGAGCCAGTCGCACTGCGAGGGGTAAGAAAGCACAGGGCTCACCATCACCCCTTCCCAGAGGCTCATGGCAGCCGAGGGCCCACGTGCTGAGCGCCCATCCTTCCCCGCTTATGCCGGGGCCTTCTGCTCTGTATGCCTGGAAACAGACAGGAGGAGGCCACAGGGCTCACGGCGAAAATGCTCCCGAAGGGTCCGCAGCAATTGGACGGGCCATGACTGAGAGGAAGCCTCATCCTGGCTCAGGCTCCCCTGAGTGCAAAATACTTGTGACCAGGTGTTGCCCTTAGCGGCAGCCCTGGAAGCCTGCAAGGTGTCTCACAGGTCACTGTGGCTGTGGCGGCAGGGTGGGGAGCTGAGAAAGAGCCCCGGGACCCCTGTGAAGACTCCTGCCAAGACACACCTGCAGCTGCCCTGTCAAGGTGCCGAGCCTCCTCTCCCACATCCACTATGAGCTGAGCAGCCTGGAATCAGCCATGTCCATGGGGTCTCTGAACATGGCTCTCTAGCTAGACCCAAAACCTCTGAGGTCAGGGAGGTGGTGCCATGAGTGGGGGGCTGGGAGTGAGCTGGACTTTCAGACCCTCTGCTGCATGTGACCAGCACCCCAGAGAGAAGCAAATGAGATAAAAAGAAGGTCTGACAGGACTTGGGGCCTGGGTGGAGGCTGATCCACGGACCTGATGGCAAAATCTCTGGAGGCATAAAAGGGGCACGTCTCCACCCAGGGCAGGGGGCGAAGGCTGGAGTGAAGCAAGTTCTACCAAGTGGACGGTGACCCACTCTCTGCACTGTCCACACAGTGGCCCGAGTGAACCCCTGGTTAGAGGGACACACACCCCCTTGGCGTGGTTGATGAACTCAGCGCCATCTGAGGCAGCACTGGGTGTGTGACAAAAGCACCGGCTTTGGGAACTGCGGTTTGGACCAGGTACCAAAGCCTTGCTCAAGGGTCAAAAGATGTAAATGAGGCCACAGGGGTGAGGGCAGACAGAGGACTCTGGCTTAGACCCAGTCAGGGCTCCAGTCCCCACTGACTGACTGGAGCCTACTACCCCTGCTGGGAGCTGGGCAGGGGACCTGGACAGCAAGCAAACTGCTGTGAGTCACCAGCAAGGCCAGGTAGAGCCCGCTGTCCACGCACTCAACAGTGAAGGTGACGGCAATGCTGAGGCCACTGGGGAAACTCCCAAAGCCCTTTTGGTTAGGGGGAGGCTGACCCTGCCCCCCGGGCCTGAGCAGCATCCTGCCCGCCACACCAAGTCCTCTGCTGCCACCTGCTGACGCGCGGCGGGAGTGCAGACCGAACTGAAAACGCCCTAGGTTTCGGCTCAAGACAGACTGGGAGAGAGTAAAGGCAATGACTTGGTGTTCTAGAAGCCCGATGGACAGACTCTTGCTGTGGGGCGTTATTATGCCTTCAGAAAGAATGGGGCCCAGATTTATAGAGAGGTATGTGGGAAAGGCATCCTTTTGCTAAGAGAGATAATAAATGATATTGCATGTAACTGTTATTTGTGGAAAGTCGTTTATGATCTCAGGGGAAGAAGATATTATCCTATAAAAGCTAATTGGCGAAAAGAAGAACTCAGTGACTTGGGTACGCAAGGCACAGCAATGAGCCACTGGATAAGAGAATCCACTTTCCACAGCCAGTGTCAGGGGTGGACTGAGTCACAGGTTAACAAAACTCACCCTCAGACAAAAATGGTCTCACTCACCCTTCCTCGCGCACTATCTCCCTGGATAAGGTGGAATGTCAGTGGGAGAAATGTCTCCTGGTCTGCGCAGTCTACGTGGACAGCAAGGACTGTCACACAGAATGACTTGGTAGGAAGCCACAGCCTTGGGTTTCCAAGAGCGTGAAGTGATTTATTACCGCAGAGTCTCTTGCTAAGACCCTGGCAGTGTGCCTGGGGCCACTGCAAGAGATTGGTTCCTACAGACACAGGGCTCCTAAGCAGGAGGCGCCTGTGCCCTTTCTGTGTTCTCATCCCTCTCAGCTAAGCCCTGGAGAAGAGTCTGGAAACGGCCGGAGGGCCTCTCCCTGCTGAGACACATCCGACACTGTACTAGGCTGCATTTCCTGTCTCTCCGTGAAAAGCTGAATGAACCAGCCTCGGCAAGGCCCTTCTCAGGGCTGTGAATGTGTCTGGCAGAAGCACAGGCACTGATGGTCAAGCAGAGGCGCCCAGCACAGACGAAGGCTAAGTGCGGAACAGATGACCTTCCTGGGTCACCCGTCTGTGAGCTGGTCAGGTGGAAAGGCTTTGAGCTGAACCATCCCAGTCCACAGCCCTGGGCGGGGACTCCTCAGTCATCACAGGCACTTTCCTCCACTGCCAAAAACGAAGCCCGGGCAGGCCCACTGCCCCACTGAGGATGCGCTCCCACCTCAAGACACGACCTTGAGGGCCCCTGCGATGAGGGCCCCTGCCATTGGCTGTCTTCTGCCTAAGTGACACCAACTTCATCCTGCCTGTGGCTCCTGCACATCAGGAGCTTTTTTGCAGGAACTTCTGACCACCTGTCTTGCTCCGAGTTCATGTCCTCTGGCCTCAGTCTTCCTGTCTTGAGATCTGCTTCTCTGCTCAGTGCTGACTGTTGCTTCCCCATCTTTGACCTTGTCTCTGCACTAACCCTGATCACTTACCTGGCCCCTCAAGTCTTACTCCAGTTCCCCAGGTCTGACAGCTCACCTGTAGGATTTGATGGGGCTTCCTGACCTGTAACCCTGATCAGGGTGGGTGAGCACTGTCGTGCTCCTGGGTTGTGAAGTGTTTCTCAGCCCAGAGTGACCAGAATAGTAGGTAGCACCTCACATCTGTGTGAAAGCCAGGCATGTGATATTAGATCGGCTTCTCATTCCTAATGTTGATGCAACACAAGAAAACACCCGGTACGTGTAATGGTCAACAGGCCACGACGCAGCTGGCTTTTTGTAGGGAAGACACAGGGTGTGTGCTTGCTAAACACACCTCAGTACAGCTGTGGCTCCTGCCCTCTGGGAAAACAAAGGCACACTATGTCCTACAGCCTGCCAGACTGGGGTGGGGGGGTGGAGGGGGCATGACGATCTCTGCCCAGAAGTCTAACAAGCATAAAAAATGTGCCCATGGGCCTGCAGAGACCTAGGATTTCCAGACTCGGCTGCCTTGACCTCTCCATTAAAAAGTGAGAATGCAGCAGAGAATGTGGGGTAGCTCTCCACCTGACCCCCTCCTCCCCACACACACAATGCCTTCCCCTGAGAGTCCCTCCTTACCTCTTTGTCTGTGAGAGAATCCACATCTATCATTTTGGTCTGGATTGGAACCAGAGTTAGAGGTTCGAAGGTGAGGCTTCCCCGGTTATTGAAGTTGTACTGTGGGAGAAGGAAGAACACAGAAGCGTTTACCCCTCTTCACAAAAGCCACCATGAGGTCATTCCCACCAGACATGACCATCCTGCTAGAGCAGGCGGAAGTGGGAATCAAGAAGTGATGAGCTGGCGGTGCCATTTTCCAGGGGCTGCTGCCTGGCCATCAGGACCAGCCAAACCAAGGGTAGAGAGTCGCTCCCAGTAGCAGGTCCACCAGCTGAAGCCTGCTGGGAGGGAAATGGGGTGTCTGGCCTCAGGGCCTCGCTGCTTTGGGCTCTCAAGACACTGCTGGGGTAGTAAGTGCCCAAGATCAATTTTTGTTACACACAGCATGACCTGACCCTGCAAGTCCCACCAGGTGACAGGTAACAGGTTTGTCCACTCTACGGGGAATGAATAACCAGGCACACAAGGGCACACTGCAGGGCCTCTGAAAGGCGAGAGGCCACTCTCAAGAACAGTGGCCTTAAAGTGCGAAGAAAAAATGGATCCCTCCTTGCAGGCTTGAACCTACTCCCTTCCCACTATTCTATTTCCATAAGCACCAAAGGAGGAGAAACAAGCAGGTCTTCCAGGAACATTCCAGCACCCACGACCTAGAACCTCTTGGTAATGCCAATGGGGGAGGGTAAATACCTTCACACATCCAAAAGGCAACAAGTCCTGTCTACTGCTGCTTGTGGGGCCTGCCCCAGGGGAGAACTCAGGGTTCCTGAGCTTCACCCTGTAAAAACCACCTGGGGTGCTGGTTGGATATACCATTTCTAGGTCCGAAAGTCTGACTTAGGGTCCGGGAGGGGCCTTTCAACATGCACCCCCAGCACAATGTCCAGACTCAGGACAAGCTGCCTCTAGTAAACCCAGAGCCCCAAATCATGTCAAGCAGAGTCTGCCTGAGGCTCTGTGAACCCCAGTTCTTGGGCCCCAATCATTAAGAATTTTCTCTCTGGTTTTGCTGGAGAGTGATTTCAAGGAAAGTACCCGTTATCAGGGGACACAGAGATTCCTTTTTGGCCCCAGAATGGCATGTTCTTGGCGCCAAAGACATAAGTTTTCATCATCCCCCATTAAGGAATAAGGACATTTTTGAAGTACAAGGTTACTCACCTTGGTCTTCACAGGAACCACCAGGACAACATTCTCAATGCGAACTCCAAAAGCACCATCTTCATAATAACCTGGCTCTAAAGCAAACCAAACCGCCCAATCAGAAGCAGCCATGATGAAGACATACATGTAACTGAGAAGCTTCACTCATGGGGTGACAGCCCTGCCCCAGAGATGGGGAACAGGGGACTGGCCCACGGATCCAGGGCATCAGCCCACAGATGCCACCTTCTCCCACGGGGCCACTATTTTTTTTTTTTTTTAAAGAATTTGTTTATTTATACAAGCACTGGTACAGTCAGAAGCGCAGGAGGGTGAGAGAATTCACCAGGGCCAGAGCGGGGAACAGAACAGGCAGACAGACGAAGTACACTGCTGAGGGGAGCAGCAGGCGGCAGGAGAGGTCTGCGCGCCATGTGGGACCCTCGCCCAGCGGCCGGGGATCGAACCGGTGCTGCAGAGGCTGAGGGCAGCTCTGCAGCCCAGTGGTCAACCGCTGCGCCACCAGGGGAGGCCCGCACGGGGCCACTTTTAACAGGCACTTGAGGTACAGAAAGATAGTTTCTGAAGTCCCAGTAGTGCAGACAGCAGAGTCACGGTCTCTGCCATATAAATCACAGGGTGTATCCCCAGAACGAATGATCCAGGCAGCAAAGTATATTCACAAAGATTTGGAAATAGAGTGGAAAAAGGTAATATACTAAATAAGAAAGCAGAATACAAGCAACATGTCCAGTATGATCTCAATGATTAAAAAATAAATAGACACACATAAAAGACCAAGAACTAGCACATCAAACTAGGAGGTCATGTTTCCCCTGGGTGGCTGGATTACAAATGATTTTCACGTTATCCCTACATTGTTCCATAGTCTCACTTTTTCTACAAAGAACAATGACCACCTTTACTATCCTAAGTGGTTGCTGCTGTTAAGTTCAAGGTGACAGGACGGGGTCATTTCCAATTACTTTAACATAAGGAAACTCAAAGAGTTTCCAAAAAGCACCCACGCACACCCTCTCCAAGAGGGTCACCTACCATCAGTGACGATCATGCCCGCCTCCAGGGGCTCATCGGAGAATGTTTTATAACTGATGCCACAAGGACCCTCGTGAACATTCAGAAAAGACCCAACACCGTGGCCTGTTCCATGCAGGTAATCCAAGCCGGAATCCCATAAAGCTGAGCGGGCAAAGGAGTCGAGAAGGTGGCCTGCAAGGCACACAAAGGACCGTTTGATGACATGCAGACAGGACTTTTCAATTTGCAAAGCACTTTAGAGATTAGATTTGTTATGTTTGGCTCCAAAAGGTGAAACATAAACCAGTAGGGAAAAAAAGTGACTGGAGGGTTCAGATTTCAGCCCTTCACAAGGAAGAACTTTCTAACAATTGCATTCTGCAAAGGGCAGCTCAGTCTGAAGCAGAGGTTCCTTGGTTCTGTGTGCTGGGGCCTGGGGAGGGACACCCGCAGCAGGCAGGGCTGCACTGATGACATGGACAGTCCATTCCTAGCACCAGGACCCCGAGAATTCAGATGACATGAGAGTCTGACCAGACTGCACACAGGCCAGCCTGAGAGGTGAGGAAACCTATGCTCAGGGAGACAGGTCCAGGCCCAATCTCACTAGATTTAAGTACAGCTCTTGTTAACTCCCAATACAACACCCCACCCTAGTCCACAGGCAAAGGTAAAGATGGATTCCCAGAAAAAAAAATCCCAATAGAGATCCTGGCCCATTGGTGAAGGGCAAACAGGAGGTGGCACCAGCTTCCTCTCGGGCCCTGAGCTTCCTGCGGGAGCTACCAGTATATGGTGTCCAACACTGAGTGGGTGGCCTCTGAGCTCAGAGGATCTAGGGGACACACTCCCTGCAGAATCCCTCCTGGCCCTGACTGGATCTGACATGGGCTGGGAGTCGACACATCAAGGGAAAGGGCATTTTTCCACTCAAACTTGAGGCCCACAGAAGAAACAAGCTGCCACATAACAGAAGAAGCTTCCTACCTTTGGTTCCAGCCGGAAAAACAGCTGCGCTCACAGCTATGTGGCCCTTGAGGACATACGTGAAGCATTCCTGCCGAAGGAAGCCCAGGAGACATGTTACAGAACAGGGCAGATGCTGCAATCATGTTGTTTTCTGGTAGTTCAGAAAACCTTGTTTCCTAAGGGGCTTAGCAATACCCCAGAGAGAATCGGAAAAAAAAAAGATAGGGTAGACGAGAAAGTTTTGACCATTGGACTAATTTTCCAGAAACTTGAAATTCAACTGAGTACATTAGAACTATCACACAGAGGGCCTGACACACTACAGCATCTACACCTCAGAAGGACTTGGAAAGTCATGACCAGCTCACACGCACGGAGCCTTTACCCTGCGCCAGGTACAATACCAGGTACTGGACACGCAGGCCCACATTTCCTCGTCCTGCATCATCTGTGCTCCTCACCACCAAGCTACATTCAGGGGCTATTCCTACTGTCTGCACAAGAGAAGGGCCATTTGGAAGGTTAGTCACTTGCCAGTCAGTTGCCTTTTCAGCTCTTAACTCTGCCCTCTTCCATCTGGCTGGGATTCCTTACATAGCACAGAGTCCCAGTTAAGTATTTGGACCCAAAGTTAAATTAAGTAAGGCTCTGGTGCCCACTTATGGAAGTGGTAAGGCGCCTGCGTATAGCACATACAACCATCTTCCTCATATAAACGTCATGCAGGAGTTCCCAGAAACCCAGATGCACTCAGAGACTCGGTCAGCGTTCACTGAGCAGTGTCCATGACCCTGGAACCTGCTGGGCTGGGGGACCCTTCACAAGCAGCCTTGGAGGCAGGGACTTCCCTCCCCATTTTTATGGCTGTCTAAGTGCTTCACTCAAGGTCATGGAGCCAATAAACTTCAGAAATCCAAAGTCCAGTCTCCAGGCTCGAGGGACACGTATCACTACCTCTCAGCTGCTTCCTCCTTTCCATGCCAGGCAGACCAGAAACTGAACAAGGTGTGTCACATCAAAGGGTTCCTAGAGAGCTGAGACTACAAATAGCAACTCTGAACTTGAAAAGAGAAGAGGGGGCTTTCAGAATCAAATCTAGGCAGTTTACAAAGAGCATATATTTCTCTGCACCATTCCAATCCTCAAAGAGATTTCCTGACTCAAGAAAAGCCAAAGCAGATTAAACTGGAATCTGAGCTGCTCTGACCTTAGCAGACAGAATGCTTTAAAATTTCTCCAATAATTAAATGGATGTCATAAAGCAGATAAGCCTGGCTCCACAGCAATGAGCTATTTTACTTTCCCACATAGCATTTTTATTTATACAGTCCCTTTTCCTAAAAGCAATGCTCTTAGGAAAGTGGAAGGGCTTTGGGGTCTTCTGCTCCACCCTACCTTTTCGTAGGCTGAAGGTGTCCCAAAATGCATTGTGCGGGTCACGTCGGTTGTTCCATCCCTTTCCAAAGGAAAACAGGCAAATGAGCTTCCAGTCAAAATAAGCATTTTCCTCAACTATGAGATAGATGAGGGTGTGAACAAACTCCAGTCCTCATGCATAGCTGACAGGTATGTAAAACGGTGTAGTCACTTTGAAAAAGATTGGAGTTCCTTAAAAGGTTAAACATGAAGCTCCCCTTTGACCCAGCAATTCCACTCCTAGGTAAATACCCAAGAGAATTGAAAACGTAGGTCCACACAAAAATGTGTACATTATTTTTAATACTCAAAAGGTAGAACAATTCATTATATCTCCTCATGGGTTCCACATCTAGACCCAACAAAGTAATGGATTCTCCTCTGAGAAACTGTCCTAGAGGAGGACTAGGAACACAGGAAAGCATGAAGAAGGGAACTGAGGGATTCAGGGGTGATGCTAACTTCTTATTCATTACTTCAAAATTAATCACTCTCTTCCCGAGGTCCTGGGGGCCAGATGCGGGTAGCAGGAGCTAGCAGGCACTTTATGGGTAAGAGCAGGAGATTTTCCAGTGGTTCTAAAAGCTGACTTTTAGTTATTTATTTAGTATTTAACAACCTCTGGCCAATGACTAAACATTTCTATGAAACAATCTGGTGTGGAAACAGATACAACCAGGCTATTTCAACTTGGGGTGAAAACAAGGACAAAATAAGAGACTGATTCCATCAGAGGCCAGAGCAGAATGAGATCACCAGCTGAGGGCTCTTGGCTGGAGCCTGCCATGTAGCTGCTCAACTTCCTTGCCTCAACAGGCTAAGTTGTAGGTGGCCCCAGTTCACTTACTTGTACTGAGCCCCAGAATCAATGAGGTACACCTCATCCAGTGACAAGGTCCTGTTCGTCTCAGGAACGGGCCTAAGAAAGCAAATTAAAAATTATTTTCTGAATGTAAGTGCTTGCTGAATCCAGTAGGTGGGCATACAAGAGTCCCTTGTACTAGTCTTGCCTTAAGTGTGAAATTATATCAAAATTAAAAGTTACCCAATAAATGAATTATTTCAGCTAAAACTAACGCTCTACTGTTCAAACCCCAGTCAGCCTATCTCCCCAATAGATAAAGAACTCGAGAAAGAAGAACACATTTCGTTATGGCTACCTCCATTTGTCTCTGGAACAAAATAGATATTCATAAGGTCATTGGAAAAGTTATAAAAATAATCATCAAGAGAAACAATGGCCTTCGCTAGAAACCTGGGAAGAAGTGCCTGCCTCAGGCAAGGGGTGCAGGGCCTACAGCTCCCTCTCTCAGTCCTGACCCTTTCAGAACTTATTTCCCAGACCACCAGACAGGCCCAAGGAGAATGTGTCCATTTGGGAGAAAAACCAAAAGGATCTGTGCAGGGAAAGGAGTAGGTCATGATACTCTTATGCCTGGAGCCTTTTTTCAAATGAACAAAAGATATTTTTAAAAAGCAGTCTGCTGTCCCATGTATTTTCTATTGCTGCTCTAGGAAATGAGAGAAGGGATGAGAGCATCTTCCTCTTGTAGACAAGAGGGGTTCTCCTTCACTCCTGGCACCACCCCCTCTCGGGCAATGAGGACACCCTTGGCTGAACTACTGAAAAAGACAAGCAGACATGAGCCCGGCTTCAGCGCCGATGCTCGAAAGGTTTCCAACAGCCAGAGTGAAGAAACACCAATGGAGAAGCAAAGATCTCCCCCCTCAGTCTAAGATTTTTAAAGTGTTAATTATGCAAACTTCTGGGATGGTATCCAGCCAGGAAATTCATCACCTGACTTAAACATGACAAAAACTGAAGTCCTTTTGTATTTTAATGTTGGAATGGAAGCATTCATGCATAAGAACTTTACAGTCCTATGTGCGATTGCCTCCCACACACAGTTCAAAATTCACCCCAAAACTAAAATGAAAAGCAATTATTTGAAAGGAGGGAACAACTCCCTCCCAAGTGCAGCACCATGAGACAGACCAGTGCTCCTTCAGTGTGGGCATCTCACAGACGTGGAGCAAAGAACCCAACAAGCCTAATGCAGGGCACAACCACTGGAGCCAGGTAGAGCTGCAGCCTCAGAGAGGAAAGATGGCCAGCTCATTTGACTACATCAGGAAGACTGTCAATGCCAAACAGGTGCACCCAAGAGGAGGTTCCCAACAGGCTTGGGGACTTAGAAAAAAATGGGAGAAAAAAAGACCTCAAAAGGTCTTATTTTCTATATAAGAACAGTCTGAACAGACACACCGAGGCGAGCACTGGGGCCTCTGGTAAAATAATGTCTCTCCCCTGCTCAGGCTCCTGCGCACAGCAGCGAAGCCAGGCAGCGTGCTCCTCCGCATGCCTTACGCGTAGTGAATGATGGCGCCATTGGGTCCCGTACTGGAAATGGTGGGGAAGCTCAGGTCCACGAAGTCAGCCTGCTGCCTAGAACAGAGAGACACAGCAAGCAGAGCAGCTTAAAGGTGTTTTCACTGTGCCGAGAACCAGGGCCCTCCCAGCCTCATTTAAGTCACCCAGCCAATAAGCACAAGGACTTGGGCTACAGAGGGAGCCTTACCTGCGAAATTCTTCAGCTTTGTCAGCAACTGAGATCTCCGTCACGCCACCTTTGGGCACCTACGAGGAAGGTGCTTCTAAATCATCTGGTGTGGTGAGTTCCCATGATTCATACATACTTTCTCCTCAATTCTTATGTCTCAACTATGTAACTACAGGATACAATTACATCTCATTTTTAACAAGGAAAGTATTTCCAAAGGCTTTCACCAAAGCTATCCAACATAGAGGTGTTTCTATTTAAATTTTCACTCAACTACTTTGCCTCAGTATTATATCCTAAAACCTCCCCAACCTTAGTATGTCTATGCTTAAAAATTCAAAATATCCTAGGATATCATTCTAAGAAAGTCATTCTAAATAAATAAATGCAAAGATATTATTAGGACTACTGACACTAGATATTACAGGACTACCCACACTAGCAAAAAAAATTAAAAACAACCTAAATATCTAAAAATAAGAAAGGAGTAAGTAAATCAGCATAGCTATTAAACAGTCTATTTGGATCATCTTTTATGGCCTCAAAATACAGGAAAAAATGCTTATACTAACACAATAAAATATGTAATCATTTCTGCACACTGAGACATATAAAAATGATTTCCATTGAAAAATGATTTACATAGATGAACAATTGTCAGAGGGGAAAAAATGGTTATACTGGAGGGAATAAGCATGATTTTTCTTTTTGTTTGTTTGTTTTTGGTTTTTTTTTTTTTTTGTGGGACCCTCGCCGGTGGCCGGGGATCAAACCGGCACTGCAGAGACTGCAGGCAGCCTCGCAACCCAGCGCTCAACCACTGTGCCACCAGGGGAGGCCCAATAAGCGCGATTTTTTTTTTCAATTTAAGCTCTTGGTTGTTTATACAATATTTAAAGAGAACATGATATTGTTTAAAAACAGCACAAAGAAATGACCCTCCTGTCACCCTGAGGGATTGGTGAGGCAAGGAATGAAGGACCAAGAATCAATTTAATATATAAAGTTTTACGGTTTAAAAGAAGTTCAAAATGTGCACAAAGATCTTCTCTTAATATACCCAGCCTTGTTACTGATATTCCACCTAGTTACAATTCCTTAACCCAGGAAGGATCCATTCTGTTATTACTATTTTCAACACTAAAGATTTTGTAAATACACACACACCAAATTTCTAGAGAGAACTTAAGAAAGAATACTAAAATTAGATCAAGATCTTAGAACTCATGGTCTCCAGAGCATGGAGGGATCCAGGGAGTTTGGAATCACATTGTAGACAATTTCTGAATAATCTGTATCCATGTGTTAAATAAAGACCAAGAACCAACCTCTTTCTCCAGCCAGTTAAAGAGCTCACAGAGGGCAACAGCATCTTTAATCTGTGCAAACAATAGAGACTTTTTTTAAGTTATTACTGAAAATCAGCAGATCCAAAACCCAATCCTACTGTGCTACTGAGTGGGTCCATTTACAGGGCCACAAATCATCAGCATAGCCAGGATTTACATCAAGCAGGTTCCTGTGAACAAGTTTGCAGCAATTCCCACTCAGGAAAAGGGCTCCTTTGCTGTTCAGCCACTCAGGCACAATCAGAAAGGGCCCCCAGAGCACACACAGCTCCTTCCGAGAGTCTGAGGCCTGCCCCACAGGGGACAGAAAAGACAGGCTACAAATACCACCCTGGGCCCCAAATCTTTCTAGACCCACTGCTAGCCCTGAAACACCATCTGGCAGTTCTAAGAGGCTTCAACCTCATCATCACCACCATTATCAATATCTCTGTGTTCTTTTGTTTTATCTTGTGAAGACCCAGCCCATCAAGTACTTTATTTCATTTCTCATTAACTCTAGAAAGCTCAGAGAGATTCCAACCTTGTGCCAGGTTCAAGGCCATAGGCAGGTAAGAGAGCTGGCTCTCCTCTACCACGAGTCCTCTTTCTACCCACACTCTGTACTCACGTGAGCTCGTCTCATGCCTTCTGACTCAGCAGAATTCTTCACAGCTTTGGCAATACAGATGGGGGTGTAAGGCATACAGCAGCGATGATCCTAGGGCACAGCAGTATGGGGAATCAGCCTGGCTCCCCACTCCCAGGGCCAAGGCAATTACCTGTCCACCCTGCACATCACACTTAAATCATCTGAAAAGCTCCCAGTGTCCTCTGGGGCCCAAAGACCTGCGCCTTTTGGTTGATGACTCTGCACATGACAAAAGAAGCTTGAACTCATTCAAAATGGTAAAGTACATCAAACAGGGTATTTCTCTTCTATCCCTCAACCCTTGTCTCTGCAAGACTGCTGGCGGCCAGCTACCTGCAAGATAGTGCTTTCAATTCTCCATAGTTGTGGTCAGAGTTCACCTACAGATCAAAATTTAACCCCTTTCTTGCCACACAAAGGAGGCTTTTTCCCACCGCCTGGGGATGCACATGACTGATGAGGGAGGGCTCCTGTCCCACCTCCTCAGGCTCAGTGATCACGATCAGCTACTACAAATGGTCAGATCCTAAACAGCTGGGGAAGAGCCTTCCCACCAAAGCCCCATCTGGGATCTCTAGCCCTGTGTTACAGCGAGGGGGCTTCCTACCCCCTGCCCTTGCACAGAACTTCCCAGAGAGCTTCATTCTCTCCATGCTCCTCACTCTGCCTCTCACATACCTGCCCTTCATGACAGAGAAAGCAGGGTGATCTCCACTAATCAAGGGGGTGAGGCTCTGACTCACACAGTGCGAGGGGGTGAAATGGCACATCTAGAGGGTCAGGCCTAGGCCGTGACAGTCAAAAAGGCTACATCTAAGGTGGCTTGGATACCTGTCCTGACTCAGGACCTAATTAAAATGAGGGAACAGGGCTCTGCTGCTTAGCACTACCCAGCAAGGGCTTGGTGAAGGGTAGGCTATCATTATCACTTGACCTTTGACAAATACCCAATTCCACAAGCTGTCTGGGCCTTAACTATAAAATGGGGGGAGGAGGTAGAGGCTAGTAGTGGTCCCCAAATGTCAGACATTCTCATACCACCTGCACAGCTCTTACCCTAGCTGCTGACTATCTGTATCCTTATTTAATAATTTTCTTTAGATTGTCTTTGAATCAACTCAGCTTACAGAAACTCAACTTTGTCTCAAGAAATAATTTTCACAATATCATGATCTCATATGCTAATTGTATTTTTTCTTTTTTTTTTTTTTAAAGATTTATTTATTTTTATACATGAACCGGGGTATAGGTCAGATGCATGGGAGGGTAAGAGGATTCACCAGAGACAGAATGGGGAACAGAACAGGCAGGCTGGAGAAATACACTGCTGAGGGAAGCAGCGGGCGAGACAGGAAAGGTCTGCTTTGCCATGTGGGATTCTCGCCAGCTGGCCGGGATGGAACCCGCGCTGCAGAGACTGCAGACAGCTACACAGTGCGGCGCTCAACCGCCTGCACCACCAGGGAGGCCCCTGTCTTTTTTTCTTGTATACTAAAATACTTTTAAAACAGATACATTTAAGTAAGCTAAGTGTTAACGTGTACCTCCTGAAGTCATCTCTCATGGCACACTTTGGAGGGCACAAGGCTCAGTGAGCTCGAAGGACCTCAGATACACTATGTGGCTGCAGGCCCAGGCCCCTCCAGGGAGCAGACACCCTCTCATCCCATCACCAGTGCTGGTGATCTGCCTGAACAGCCACTGTCTCAAGGACAAAGCTGTGCAGCATCAGTACAGGGGAAGGGGCTGGCTCCTGGAACATGACGGGGTTTAACTGGGCCCAAGTGAGGCTACCCACCTTGGGGATGGCCTCGCTCACAGCATAGCTGGCCTTGTCGCTGACCCACACCTTCTCCCTCGGGGAGAGATCAGCACACAGGGTCTTGAGTTCGCTCAAGATAGACTTGTAGGGAAGCACCTGGATTCTGAATTCGGCTTCCAGGCCCAAGTCAAGCAGCAGGTGCTCCTTTACACTTGGGGCATCAATGCGCTCACCATCAATGAAGAGCCTATAGGGAGCAGAGATGAGGTGACAGAGAGAGTGGGGACACGTGAGCAGAGGACAAGAACTCAGACTCCCACCCCACCACAGACAACAGACTCTGTCTCTGGCAGTCAAACTAAGAAGCTTCTCTCTCTTCCCCTGTCCTTTCCAAAATCCTCCTCTCTAAACGATGTTCCCGGTCCCTGTGGGTGTTGCCATCATCACCCCATCCTCCAAGCCAGATCCTGTGCACTATCCTCTCCTGGATGCCCCTCCTTCCCTTCTTCATTAAGATCTTTGGACATATAACCTAAATCTCCCTCAAATCTGTCTGGCAGTAGCTAAAGCCTTGCCTAGTCACTGCCATCTCTTAGCCTATTACTGCCACAGCCTCCTAAGTGGTCTCCCTACCTCCAGTATTGCTCCTTTTCTGCCCTATTCTTCACACTCATAATAGTCTTACAATTTACATGCCAGTGAAAAATGCATTCATTAGTGCCCCAATGTTCTCAGAACAAGAGCCCAAGAGGCTCCTGAACTTGGCTCACAAGCCTTACCCCTATGTGGCCCTGCTCACCTGCTGGACTCACCCTTATGTTCCGACCACACTGACCTACTTGGGCCCTCCACATGCAGCTCCCCACCACTATATCTTGCCCAGAAATAGCGAAAATGCTGTTCCCTGTACTTAGATCACCATTCCCCCTCTTTTACCCTCTCATTCACCTTGCTAACTCACATGCACCCTTAATCTCTGTTTCAGTATACTTTCCTCTGACCCCTGAGTTTAGGTCAGCCCCATCCTATAGCACCCACACCCATCCCACTGATGAGTCAGTGTCTACTTATGTGCCAAAAGCCCCCAAGGAGATCCTCGCCTCCCCAATTCCAACGCGGAGTCTGTCTGTCTCATTCACCCAGCACCCAACAGAGGTCCTGGCACATAACAGGCACTCAGTAAATGTGTTGTCTGAATGAAGAAGTCTAACTAGAAGCAGGAAGACCTCAAGGATACTTTCAAGAGGTACAATTCAGGGGCTTTCCTGTATGATTTCTGACTTTCAAAATGACTGGGTTTATTTACACTGCTTAACTGAGTCTACATTGCACTGGCTGCCAGAAAACTTGGCATCAAATATGTGGCCTGAATAAGACTCTGCAGCAGGAATTTCATGAACTAATGTCACTCACTCCAATTTTGTTCCAATGTCCTCAGCTATTTATTCTTTTATTTCATAGTACTATAGATACTTTCATAGATTTGAAGTCATTTGGGGTAGAGGCAGGGTATAAAAATATACCTACTATTATGAAAGACAAGAAGGGATAGGGAAAAGGCAAGAAAGAGAGAGAGCAGAAGAAAAGCAGCACGTAGCAGATATCAGGCAGTGACTGCTGGGCCAGAAGCCAAAAGGGGAGACTGAGGCATCTGACAGCTGTGGAGAAGCACTTTCACACACTTACATGATGGTCTCCAGTCCTATGATTGCATAGGAGAAAAATACCGGATTGTGCTCCACATCTGATCCTCGGAGATTGAACAGCCCTAAAAAAATAAAACAAAGGCCCTGTCACCTGCCTGCAGAGATCTGAAAAGGTACCTCAGAGGTAGAGGAAAGCACTTCAGTTTGGGCCCCACCCCACCCCGTTCCTGCCACCCCAGCTTAGGAAGGACAGTGGCTCTGCTCTGAAAGGCAGGAACCTCACTTCCAGGTTCTACCTTTGAGCTGCAGATGCTCACATTCGCCAAATGATGGCACCAGAACTGTTCCTTCTGCCACCACACACAGTCCCAGGAAGGGATTGGAAGAGTTATTAGTCAGAAAACAAGAAAAATGCCCTCCAAACAAAGAGCTGAAATGGTCAGCCCAGTGGTGACCCATCCATCAGGCCTGGTCTTGAGCAGAAAAACCTCTAGCATTTCCAAGCAAAGGGGAAGGAGCCAAGCACTTGCTCCCTTCTGAGACAAATGACCTAGGGGAGAGAAACTGAGATCCACCCAAAAGGGAAGCCAAAGTAGGCCCTCCCTGTAAGGGTCATGAGCCCCACAGAGGCGGAGCTTCCCAGCAGGGGAACAAAAGCATTGCGTCAGCGGGCCTTGGGCCCAAGAATAAAATCCAGCCTCCTGTCCACCCAGGGTCTCCCTTGGCACCTTGTCTGAGTGGAGGAGCTCTCAGCCAGGGTCTGGTTTGTGATGCCCCTACACGTTTGAGAAATGAAAGGGCCAGCAGATAGCACAGCTCTGGTTCCAGAATCTAGCAGCCTGATGCCTGCTCTCATGAGTGCAAAAAAAGACCCAGGTATCAAAAGTACCTCTTATCTTGTAAAATAATGGTTTCTCAAAGTAAAGCAATGAGGCAACAATTTTTACCTATCACACAAGCATTTTTTTTTTAAATGACAGTATCTGGGGCCAACAAGGGTGTAGCAAGATAGACACAGTCATTTGCCACCACTGGATCTTTCTCACAGGGCTGTACAAGATGGGTCTAAAGCCCAACAACGCACATATATACTAACCCATAACACCATCCCTAAAAGCCAACTGGAAACAGAAAGAAAATTACCAGAAATTAAGGCGTGCATTTGATGTACCAAGATTTGGATGGCAGCACAGCAATAAAATCATAGGGAAATTAGAAGTAACCCAAAGGTCATCCTTAGGGGAATGACCAAGCAAATTATGATATCACCATATAATAAAATATTTACTATTCATTTAAACTATGCTAATATATGCTGATAGCCTACAAATACATTGGGTAAAGTCAAGCTACAAAATTATATATGCACAGAATATTAAAAGTGCTTATCTCCAAATAACAAGATTATAGGTGTTCTTTTTTTCTTCTACTTCCTTTGCATTCTCCAGATTCTTTCCACGAGGAGAATGTTTTTTCTATAATCACAGGAAGAAATCAGCTTTACATGTTATTTTCTCTGATGCTGGGGTAATTTAATTAGGGATATAATCACTGATAAAACTTGACAAAATTTTGGGGCTGGATCTCAAGAGCTAGAATACTATGGGGTCTCTTGTTCTAGTGAGAAAAAGATAAGGCACTTTTCACTTGTCCTGGGTAAAATCCAATCAGAAAACAGCAGATAGGATACAAAGGTTCAACCAGATTCCTTCAGGGTACTAAAAGATAGAAGGCACTGAACAATTTGCTTGGTGGTAATTTAAGATCTAAAGATTGAGAAACTACTGTTATATCTGAGGGCTTGTGAAAAACTTCAGTTCCTGAATTTTCTGAGGTAGAAATATTTCTAGAATAGCCTCACTATGAAAACCTTAGAGATCTGCAAGAAAAGTACAAAGAAAAATATCTCTTCTAATCTCACTTCTACACCAAGACATGACTATAGACAGGTAACAAATGTTTGAAGGAAATGTCCTTCCACAGAGGTGCACAGTCCGGAGGACGCTAGTCAGAAATGGACTTTACCAGATTTTTTTTTAAACATTTAATGAACATCTTTACTGAACATCTTTATGAACATCTTTTTCTTCAGCACAAGCTCTAAGTTTCATTTTCAATATTACATTCACTTTTTAAAAATTTATTTTTTACATCATTGTTCATTTTTTAACTTTACCACAGATTTAACATCAGCCCCTGGCTGTAATATTATGCCAGGTGAAGTTCTATTCCTCAACCCCACTCCCTGTAACTTTCTGTATCGGATTTGGCACATTGTGTGGCATACTATTTGGTAACAGTCATTTTCTTATTTCCTGGCCACTCAGCAAGCTGAATAGCATGAACACAGATTCCCAGAGAACCAACGGAGAAACTGGGTCAGGCACCCAAACAGTGAAACTAGAGCACTCACATGCAATCTCATCCAGAGCCGTGACCACAAACCAAACGATGTTCCTCTCAGCCATTTTCAACCGAAGGTCTGCAACCTTTTCCTTCCAGGAGATGCCTGCGAGGAACAAATGTCATTGTAACTCCAGCCCAGGCACCCGTGGGAACTCCAAATGTCTGGAACCAAAACATTCTTAACCAGCACATCCTAGGGAGCATGTTGTCTGAGCAGACAGGAGGCCGGGATTCAAGCCCTACCCAAGAGGTGTGATCATCCAAGCCAGGTGACTGTCAAGAGCCTCACTAGCAAAATTAATTCATTTGTTTGTCCAAGAAATATCTGTGAATCTAGGCTTTCCAGGTTTAGAGATTTGCTAGGCCACTGGGCTGGTCGATGTGCTTATAGCTCTGAGCTGTCTAGGTCCTGCCCTTCACAAGGTTTATTATTCAGAAGGGGAGACAATCAAACCAGCAATGAGTTACCCTGCTGAATAAAAACTGATGTAACATGAAGCACAGAAGTTTTGAGAACACCCAGTCTTGGAGGTCAGGGGAGTATTACCCACTCCCCCCTTTACATTCCTGGAACCACAAGACTTGCCTTTCAATGCCAAGACCTAGGAATTCCCTGCAGTCTGAGTCACTGTGACTACTATTTCCAAATCCCACTTGCCCTCTCAGACACAGCCAGGACCTTCCTGCTGCTCCCCAGGATGAAAGTTTGGCCTAAGAGGACCTCACCCCATCCCCACCAGTTGCCATGAAACAGCATTTGTAACCTAGGTTACAACCACCTGAGAACAGGGCAGGTGTCTGTCTTACTCATCCAGCACCAAGCATGGTGTCCTGCACATAGTAGGCATACAAGTGTTTACTAAACAGAAGTCTTTTCAGCAACATTTGGTCTCTCCTCTCCTATGAGAGGCCAAAGCCTCTGCTTTGCTTAAAAAACAAAACAAAAACATCAAAACAAGCTGATATAAAATGTTTAGCTGACCCTGGACCACTCACTGGGCCCATCCCCCCAGCCCCTGAATCCACAATACCCTCTGGTGATGGCGTCATGCAGGCAAGCAAGCTGGGGACTGCCCCCACAATCAAACGGTGCTTTGAAGATCAACTCGGGAATGCTGATTAAACTTGGCTGAGAGTCTGGGTTGTAATGCTTTCTTCCAGGACCCCTCTGGGCAATCTGCCTACATTCCAGACAACCCCCATCCACCTCTCCTTTTCTGCTTCTACAGCAAGCCTCCCTCCCTGCAGCCCTACCTCCCAGGCCTCTCCCTCTGCACAGCTCACTGTTCCATAAATCCACTCGTCTCCACTTGATCCTCACCCACCACAACCAAAGGCCAAAGAGACCAGGTCACATCCCAAAGCCTCTAAATGCAGAAGATACAAGATGAAGGGTGAGGGACCTACAAGGTAAGCCTACAAATGCTGACAGAGGGAAGAAACTTCTGTTTCCTGTATCAGACACTTCTGTTTCCTGTATCAGACACGTCAGAATGGCAGTTATCAACTAAGTGGTAAAAAAGCCAACTCAGCAGCACCCAGAGGCCTGCCCGGAAGGGCCTGGGAGAAAAACTGTGCCAAGTAAGTGGCAAATAGGTGGCAACAAATACAAGTGAAACAAATGAAGCTCCTGGCTTCATCAAAGACCCCTCTGTGCCAAGTGGGACAAAATCCTCCCATCAGCTCAAGGTCAATGTTGATTCACAGAACTGGGATGGAAACAGTGGTCACGGGTGAGGGGAAAAGGCTGGGGACCCTGGGGAGCACAGGAGTGGTTCTGACCTGTGTAATCCAGGCCCAGTGTGAGGAGGGGCTTGCACGGGCGCTCAGGACGGTCTGTCCAGATCTTATCCACAAGGTTCTCCTTAACAGGAATGAGGTGGTGGCCAGCACTTCTCAGAACCTTGGCCATCTTCTTCCAGTAATCTGGGGAGAGATGCAATGGCCCACCATAAACTGAATGTCATTTTGTTATAGGACAGGGAGAGGGGCAGCCCAAGCCCCGCAAACCTGCCCATTCTCAATGGGTTCTGCCATCCGCCACATCAACACAAAACATATGAGACTTTAATGGGAAGGATCTTTAATAAAACTAGGAAACAATACAGGTAAGGCAAAGAGTCCAGTTTCTAAATGAAGCACCCACAGTTACCCGTCCCCTCGTGGGTAAAAGTCCATCCATATGGGATTGGCCCAGAGCAAGGCCCCAAAGCCTGCTACAAGTCTAAAGCATCTTCCAGTAGGGACCCACAGAAAAGGGTCACAAACAACCGGACAAGCCCGGAAGGAAAAGAGCAAAATCAACATCAAGATAAAAGCTGCCATGGTCACCTCCCCACGGGTCTCACCCACATCTGTGTCACCTAGTCCCACCTAGTCCACGACCAAAAGACAAGCGCAGCTTCTTCACGTGTCTCTAGGCTCCACGCGCCTCCTCCAGGTCTCCTGGCTCCATCCTGCTTCCTTCCTCAGTCTCTTCTGCAGCTTCTCCTCTTCCTGCTCAGCTCCACCCTCCCTTGGGTGGGGCAGGGAACCTCCCCCTTTCCTGGGGACCACCCTGTTACAATTTCAGCAGAGGCAGCCAGCAGGGCCTTAAAAGCCTGGCACAGGCTATTCAGGATAAGGACCTGTCTTCCACTAACTCTGCCGGAACTCTCCTCCTCACCTTGATCTTCACCACCACTTTAAGACCCCCAAATGTGTCACATGACATAAGCAAACAAGGAGGATGAAGAGACATATGGAACTCACTTTCTCACCTATATGGGGGGAGCCCAAGTTCACTCACCTGTAGGGATGATCAGTGGGTCCACACCAACCCTGGATCCTTCAGGAAGCACACTCACCAGCCAATCTTCCTGAGTTGGTGTGTCCTTCAGACCTACAAAGGGAAGACTAATAAGAAACAATTCCCAAAACCATAATGAGATGTGAGAATGGCTCCAATCAAAAAGACTACAGGCAACAAGTATTGACAAGGATGTGGGAAAAAGGAACACTCTCACACTGTAGGTGGGAAGTAGACTGGTCCAGCCCTTATGGGAAAACAATATGGAGGTTATCTCAAAATATAGGAGCCAACAATCCCTCTCCAAGAATACAAAAATGCTAATTCAAAGGGATGTATGCACTTCTGTGTTCACTGCAGCACTATTCACAATGCCAAGGTCAACCAACCCAGGCCAAGCAGGTTCACAGCTGATTCAGCAAACAGAAAAGAATCTTGAAGCCCTCAGGAGATTGACAGGACTTTAATGGTGAAGCAGGGGACTGGGTACATAGGCAGCCAGCAGGCAGGGTGGCAGGTGGGCAGGGAGGTGGGAGGCTGGGAGGCAGGCAGCACCTGAGTCTCCCAGGCCCCTCAACCCCTGTGCTCTCCCTCTGGCTTCCTCCTCTCTGTCTCTAGCTTCTCATCCCAGGTTTTTGTTTGTATATGTGCACGCCTTATGCTCTCCGGCTTCTCAGCTTGGTGTCCATGAACATAGGTACATGTACCCTCTGCGTGTGCTCCAAGCACTTTTTGCACTAACACGTTATCAAATGTGGGTAATGAAACGTGGGAGGAAAACAAAGTCAAAGGTGGCAGCCATAGAGGCTCATGGTAGGAAAGCAAAAAAGAGCCTGAGTTACTCCATTTTCCTCATATCAAATTATAGAAATAATTTAAATGCCCAAAACACTGATGAGTGGATAAAGACAATTTGGTCTGAATACACATTGGAATGATATTCAGCAGAAAAGCAAATGAACTCCTGCCATTTGTGACAACATGGATGGAACTGGGGGAGTTCACCTAAGTGAAATAAGTCAAGAGAAAGACAAATACAGCATGATTTCACTCATGTGGAATGCAGAATAACAAAACAAACCCTAGAAATCTGACTGCAGAGAGAGGCTCCAAGAAAAGGAGGCTGCAGGCTGGGAGGCAAGGTGTGGAGGGGTCTGTGGACTATAGTGAGGACTATGGGTCCTTGGGGCAGGCATGGTGTGGAAACACGTCTGAAGACGTGCGAACCTCTACCTCTGAATCATATATGGTGTTATAAACCGATGTTACCTCAAAAAAAAAAGGTGACACAATTAAAAAAACAAAAAACAAAAAACCAATTCCTGGTGGGCCCAAGCTCATCATCCTCCCCCAGAGGATGCAATTCACTGGCACCAGCAGAGTAGATCCTTTAAGCACCATCTATAAGGCAGATCAGTAGCACTTGGAAAATCTAAATTTCCTAAATTCTGGAAGACTGAAGAAGCCTAAGATGGTATGCAGGAAAATATAAAATAAGGGTGAGACCAAAAAAAATGGTGTCACAGGAATCATTGCAATACAGATACTGGTGTCGTTGTGAAGATCATCTTATCAGCCTCAGTCACTTTACCACTACTGGGTGGTGACCTGGGGATGGCTGGGCACCTCCCTCACTTCTCAGTAGGTGAGGGGAACACGTGCCCCAGTGCCCTCCCTCAGTGGAAGGCAGTGTCACTCAGAGAAAGCCCCATCCCCAGCCCAGCCTCCCCAGAGGGCTGCACACAGGTCTTGGCAGCAGAGAACCCCCTGCACAGATCACGAGAGGGGCACAGGCACCCGCCACGGTTATCTGTAACATGGCCTGGCTTCCCAACTCCCTAAAGCAATCATAGGACACCAGTAAAGTTTCACAAAAAGAACTGAAGTTATTTTTGATACTCCATTTTTCCTTAATCCAACATCTCCTATGTTTGGGATGTGTGCTTTTTTAACTAACCAGACTCTTGCTCAACAATTACTATCTGGGTAAAATATCTGTATAGAGTAAAAAGTTCACTTCCAAAGACAGTGCTTCCCTTTACTATTTTCTCTGCTGCTAACTGCTAATAACCACATAACCACAGAAGGGAAGCACTAAGTTTTATAAAGAAATGAACTCATGAATCTCAGCTCTCACAAAACTGGCTAGAAGCTGATACTGAGTTGGTATTTTGTTATTTGATTCCTAGTTTTACTTCATTCCACTATACAAGCCACTTACAACAGTTTCTTTTCATGCCCCTAGTCATCTTCTAGCAGACAAGTAACAGACAAAACCCCACTGACCAAACCCACCAGAATCTCCCTATAGAAAGAAATCTGGGGAGGGCCTCCCCTGGTGGCACAGCGGTTGAGCGCTGGGCTGCAAAGCTGCCCGCAGCCTCTGCAGCGCCCAGTTTGATCCCCAGCCGCTGGCGAGGTCCCACATGGTGCGCAGACCTCTCCTGCCGCACCTGCTGCTCCCCTCAGCAGTGTACTTCGGTCCTTCTGCCTGCTCTGTTCCCCGCTCTGGCTCTGGTGAATCCTCTCACCCTCCAGCGCTTTTGACTGTACCCAGTGCATGTATAAAAGGGAAGGAAGAAAGGGAGGGAGGGAGGGAGGGAGGGAGGGAGGGAGGGAGGGAGAGGGAAGGAGGGAGGGAGGGAGGAAGGAACCTGAGGAAAGATATGCTTAGCCAGGAAACAGCAGCCTGGAGAGACATCGGGAAGGGGAATGGACGCTGCCTCACACCAAGCTTGAAGGAAAAGGCAGGCAGCATTTGCTCCTCTGAGGCTCCGACCCCAAAGCACCAATAAACCAAACAGCTGGAGTTGTGAGCCACAAGGAGAGATGCCCACACCCACACTCAGCGACCCATTGGGGTGCAAACAGAAAGTACTAGACTGCCTATTTTTATTTTTTCCTTAAAAAGAACATCAATCTTTACTCTTTTACAATTCAGATGTGTGCGTAGAAGAAAAGAGATGGTTTTGGTGTTTTGATATTTCAAAGAAGAATGTTGAGGAACAGAAATTTACAGTAAATCCACTGCCAAAACAAAAATGTTCCTAATTTCTCCCTAAGACGAACAACAACACTAATGTGTACGGAGAAAGTGTGTGGCGCTCCCACACACGTGAGCACACACACCACACCTCCAGTCAGCTAGATGCTTGAGTCTCAGCATCAGCTCAAGGCGGTGTCAACAGCCCCATTTTCCCGCCTCTTCTGCTCTCCAAGTTTAAAGTTCAGGAGCGACCTCTGTACAGCCACTAACAACACTAACAACCAGGTTTCTAAAGGCTATTTTTAACAGCATGGAAAAATGCACATGGCAAAAAATGAGTTGAGAACCGGCGCAAACACTTACACTTACACAATAAACACCGAGCTCTATGTTTTTTTCCATATGTTATTACTTCTACATTAACTATTATCTTCCCATTTACAGATGAGGAAACTGAAGAGCTGAAAGCGAAATGACTTCCAAGGGAGTTCCCGACCCATGGTCCAGCCCTGAGCACAGTTCTTCTCCAAGGCTGAGCTGTTAGAGGCAAGTCCAGGATCTTCGGAAAGCAAAGCAGCTCATGGGGAGGCCGTCAGAGCTGTTGCTGTCTTCCCTTTGCCCTACACTGAATCACATGACAGCAAAGTGGTGGAGAAAGCTCCCCCCTCCTCGTCCCACCCCACCACACTAACATCTGGGTAGCACAATGTGTGTGTGTGATCTGCAGCCATCCACTGTGCTTCCTGGTCCTCGGGTTTCCCTCAACAAAATGAGCTTCCTGAACCTTCCAAACTCAAATGCGCAACCCCTTACATGTATGTTAGCATGCCATTTTCTTGCTTCTTTGTCATCAACTGGACATACCCCAAATTCGTATGTTAAAGCCCCAACTCTCAGTATGATTGTATTTGGAGACAGGTTTTAGTAGGCAGTTAAGGTTAAATAAATTCATAAGGGCAGAGTTGTAATCCACTAGGACTGGTAGCCTTCTAAGGAGAGAGAGAGAGATCCGGCATGTAAGGACATAGAGAGTAGGCGGCCAATTGCAAGCCAGGAAGAGGGTCCTCACCATAACTGGCCACACCTGCACCTTGATCTCAGACTTCAGCCCCCAGAACTGAGAAATAAATTTAGATACTCGCCAGTTACTTAAGCCTCACAACCCATGGTGATTTATTATGGCATCCTGAGCAGACTAAGACACCTTAGATTCTAAAAAGGATCCATGAGCCCCTAAGAGTGAAGATCCAGGAACCCTGAGGAGCTCTAGAATCCCTTCCCAGAGTTGTCACCATGGTTGAGCTGGCCATTCCTCTACATACCCATCTTCATGAGTGTCCAGTTGCTATCCATCTGCTTGGCAGCCTGGAGAAAGTAGCGCCCATCAGTCCACATGGCTGCATGCTCTTCTGTGATGATGGCTGTGCCTGGAGCAGGGAAGCACAGGAAACAGAAAGGTTTCTGACAGCATGGAAAAGCTGCACAGTGAGAGCCGGGGTCCTGTGCAGCCCAGCACCCACTGCTACTCCAGGGGGGTGGACGGAGTCGGGCCTTTGACTCTAGGGAAACCTCCAGGCAAGAGACGACAATGCCCCTGAGAACCAATTGTGGGTCAAGCTCTGAAGGGAAGAGTCTAGAATCAGCCCAGATTGCATGGGTGCTGAACCTTGCACAGAAAAGGCCCAACTTGTACAGTGAGTCAAGGTCAGATGAGCAGACAACTGTGGACCAAAATAACCTTGTAACCACCAAGACAGACAGAGGTGAAACTGGTTCCTGCTCAGCGATCCCAGTGGTTGGCTCCACCAGACACCTCAAAGGAGCTATTCCACCTTTCCCAAAAGACCAAGCGGCCTTGTGAGTGCTCCTGGTGACTTGGCAGTCACCAGCAGGGAGTTTATGCCTCCCACCTCTCCCTGCCCTCAGTTCCCACAGTCAGAGTGTCAGCAAAAAGCAATCCAATGTGACAACCAACACAAGCACTTACATCAAAGGAAACAGTCATGTTTCTTTGGGCAGGAAGGCTCTCACCAAGTCTAGCTTAAGGGATGGGAATCTGAAGGGGAAAAATCTAAACTCAAGGGCATGTAACAATTCTGAAAGGGTTACGACAGGACACCAATGTAGCTCAATAGTAACCTCTGTTATTTAAGCTGAAAGTGAAAACAGACAAACCAAAAGCCAAGCACTTGGAGAATTCTGCAGGAGCAGTAAGCTAAAGAGTGTGTGTGTGTGTGTGTGTGTGTGTGTGTGTGTGTGTGTGTGTGTGTGTGTGTGTGTGTGTGTGTAGGGGGAGTGGGGGAGGCAACCAGGGTGCCCATGGTATCCTATTTCTTATTTGGAGTGTTAAAAAGGTATAGTCCATTTAATTGCTATATTTTTCTCTAGGTATACTCAATAAAAAGTTCAAAAACATATTTAAATAAAAACTTGAAAAGCAAAAACATAAAGGAAAAAAAGGTCACTAAAAGGTGACCTCAGGGAGCTAGAGGAGGCTGGGAACTCACACCTTTCTGCAGAGGCTCAACAGGGAACGTCTGGTTTACATTTTCTTTTCGGTTTGTATCATAGGCTGAAACTTTCTCCAGTTATTTTTGGGAGAGGAACAATAAAGTACAAAAAGAACAGAGAACTTAGCGACTCACCAGCAGAGCCATCGAATCCAGAGACGAAGGCCCGACGACAGTCACACGGAGCAATGTATTCACTCTGGAAAACCAAAAGGACAACAAATTGGAGCTCCATCGGGCACATGGCAGCTGCTCTCCACATGCTCAGCTCTGTGCTCAGCCAGCAGGCACCTCGGCCAGCAGGCAAAACTTTGGCACCTGCCTTCAAGGAACAGCCTAATAAAAAAGACAAGCTGGATATTTAAAAAAAAAAATTAATGCACACTGAAGACCCTTATTAACTACAGACTAAACACTGTCCCCTTCAGCTTCTATTTCCTTACCTGGAAAACAAGACAAGTCAAGAGAGCCCATGAAAACTGTCATTTTCTCACTGAGAGCTCACTGAAAGAGCAAACCAGTAGCCTTCTCCCTTCCTTGCCACTGACATTTAGGCAGCTGTTATTTTTCTGAAAAGTCAGGCTGAATTTGTTTTAAATGCCAATAGTTCTGACTTTGGTTGCTTTAGGTTTAGCTCATTTCTGACTTCCTGTTTGTGTCCCCCTCCAAGACCACGTCACCAATCTCTCCCACGCAGACCCTGTCCCTTCCTGTTGGGGAACCAGGGGAAACACTTCCTCCAATCAAGGAGGTTTCAGCAAAATAAAATGTCCTGTCCAAATCTAGATCCTTCCTAGCTGATAATCCTTTGCCTCTGAATGGAAAGGGGTTAAGGGCTGAAGAAAGAGGTTCTCATTTCTGGGCACAGGGTATGAGGCCACAGTGCGCAGCTTCTGGTATGAGCTAATGAGGCACAGGGAGTTAAGTAATTTGCCCAAAGTCACATAGCCAGTAAGTAGCAGAGGCAGGATTTGAACCTGGGGTCAGCTCCAAGGCCTCCACCCTGAAGTCCTATGCCAGCTCCTCCTACAGTAAATAGACTCTTACCCTTGGAAGGACTCTCCAGAAAAAGACCAATAGCAAATGAGAAAACTCAGATTCAAAGACAGAATCTTTAACCTGATGAACTATAGTCTTCACTTGCTTATTAACCCAGCAATCACTGAATGCAAGACAAAAAAATACAAGTAAAAATGGGGGTCGGGGTGCTTGAGATCCTGTGCCTCTCCTAGGACTGTTGTGAGGAACAATAAATAAATGTTTAAACAACTCACCAAGAACTCTAGAGTGCAGAGTATATGCAACAGAAGAGAGGTGTTAATCTCATCTTCCTGAACAGCAAAGAGCATCTAACAAACTGGGAAAACCAAGTTAATGAAAATAACTGTCAGGCCAAGTTAATGAAAATCACAGTGCATAATGGAGAAGCCATGGAGAGGACATTCCTGACCAGCAGGGGGTTACGCTGGCTTAAGGGTCTCCCACCTGGGAGGTGTTTCCCTAGAATGACCCATCTTAAGCAAAAAGCAGGAGGATTTCTCTGAAGGGAGGAGGAATTAACAGCAGGTAGATGGATATGTTTGCTTTGGGATCAAGATGAGGTCTGGGGTAAGAACGTCTAGACATGACCTAAGCAGTCAGCATGCCAGAAAGACATTGTCGACCGAAGGTGTCACCTCCACACAACCAGGCTAAGCAGAGACCAGACAAGCAGTGGGCCTGGGCCTCCTACTCCTTTTCCTCCACCCTTGAAGTTGACAGAACCCAAGAACACTCTCCATAGAGAACAGCCAGTATCTAAAATAAGCCAAGGTCTTAGCACACAAGGAAAAAGGCACAAAAAGCACAGCTGTTGGCTTTTTCTCCCAAGCCATCCATTTCTCCCCATCTCAGAAACCAGTGCTCAGTCCAAGCCTCCAGCATCTGCCCTTGAGCACCCGCCCCCACAATCCGCCTTTCACACATACTCAGCGATAGCTTTTCAAAATGCCTGTCTCTATATCGTGTTGACATTCTCTTAAACCCTCCAATGCCTTCCCAACATACTTAGGATCAAATCCAAAGCCCAGCCCAGCCCCAGGTACAAGATCTGGCCCTGATATCCCCTCACAACTCCCCTGCCACTCTGCCTCACTCACGATGCTCCAGCCACACCAGCCTGCTTTCTGCTCCTTGTGCTTCCCAACCCCATTTCTGTTTCAGGGTCTCTGCCCATGCTCTTCCTTGTGCCTATAAATTCTCTCTCTCTGATGGCAGCATGGCTAGCTCCTATCATTACACTTCAGATTGGATGCCACCTCCAGAAAGGCCTGCCAGGACTACCAGCCTCTTTCACCTCTTTGTACAGCACATTTTTCTAGATGTTTCTCCTCTGAATGACTTCCACATTGTTATTATATTGTCCTGCCACCCACCCACCCACCAAATGTAAGTCCCATGAGATCAGAGAGCTTATGTCTCATTTATCACTATTCCAATATGTGGCATGGATGATCTAGTAGGTCCTCAACCAGTATTTGCTGAACAAATAAACACACAGAAGGTGAGATGAGAACTTACGTTCCTCTACCTAGCTAAAACCTTGGCCATCTCTCTGAAGACGGAGAAAGGCACTATAAGTCAAGGAATACAGGTGGCATCGAGGAACTGGAAAAAGGCCAGGAAATAGGTTCTCCCCTAGGGCATCCAGAATACTGTGATTTATAATAATTGTACTGTACAGTCATTTGGCTGACCAAAATCCATTTCTCATATATATAGCTGGTCCTCTTCCACAGCTCCAAAAGCCTTGGAATTTCCTGAAAAATCTGAGCAATGGGAACATCTTTTGTCATAGAACTGGGTCTCATTCTCTTCAGAACACAAAAGTGAACTGGGTGCCCTACTGTTCACAAGCCCCCTTCCATCACAACTATGTTTATAATAATGAGGTGACTTTTGGAAAACACCTAAGGATGGGGGCTGGTTGCCAAGGGGAACAATGATGAATAGAGGGCTGGAATTTTCAGTCCTACCCAATTTCCAGGGAGGGGGAAGGGGCCAATGATTTAATCAGCCATGCCTATGAAACGAAGCCTCCATAAACACCCAAAAGGGCAGGGTTAGGGGAGCTCACAGGGTAGTGGACATGTAGAGATGCTGCAAGAGGGTCACGGTCCCAGAACGCTGCTCCCTTCCCCCCCCACCCTACTGTGACTGCTCCTGGGTTATATCCTTTTATCAACTGGTCACCTAGTAAGTGTTTCTCGGAATTCTGTGAGCTGCTCTAGCAAATGGCTGGAACCCAGGAGAGGATCATTAGAACCTCTGATCTATATAACTGGTGGGACAGAAGCACAGGACTTGTGACTGGCACCTGAAATGTATGGAAAGGGGGAGAAGGTAGGACTAAGCCCTTAACCTGTGGGCCCGTGGACCTCATGCTACCTCCAGACACAGTCACTGAATTGAGGACAACTGCAGGACACCCAGCAGATGTCTGAGAATTGCTTGTTATTAGTGTGGAAATCCCCTACCACCCACACACTGGAATTGTGTGACCTTTTAATAGCCCTGCTGGCTATTAGAGCTAGCGCTTTAGAGCTAGACCTCCAGGACTATAAGATAAGACATTTGTGTTACTTGAAGCCATTAAGTTTGTAATAATTTGTTACAGCAGCAACCGGAAACAAATTACATTGTCCAAAAGAAAAAGACCAGAAGCCATTATAAGTGGAGTCTCAAACTCATATGCCTAGGGTGCAGGCAAGTAAACTAGATGAACAGAGAGGGGCAAGGTGGGGGAGAGTGTCTTTTCTAAAAAGAGCAGCTCCTACTCAGCTCTGACTCTTGTGGTGCTAAAATGCGCCACACGTGCAACCTTCGGTATTTCAGAAGAAGCTGGATACACATGTGTACATGTGAGTTAGCTCAACTTTTAAATGTTAGCATCTAATTCAAACAACATAAACAAAGCACATCTGTAAACTAAAAAAAAAGAAAAATGCCTATGCCATCTCATCAAAATCCAGCACAGAATCACCTTCTGCCATAAAGCTCTCTGACCCGCCCAGTTTTCAGATCTCCCACATCTCAGAATTTTACAGGACCATCCCCGCATGCATTTATCCATGCCCTGCCTTGGGTGATAATAACAAGTGATACTGAAGTTTCCCAGTCACCTGATAGTTGCCAACAGCTATATTCATTTCATCTAGTTCCAATCCCAACAGCAGCTCTGGAAGGTATCATCCTCCCCATTTTCAGATGAAAGTAAAAAAAGAAACTCAGAGGCATGAAATACTTCACCAAGGCACATGGCTCTCAGCAGCGGACCAGAGATATAACCTCTTGGATCTCCCTTTCAAAAGTCCATGCTCTTGCTTTGCGGCCAAGCAACCTCTTTTATTTCATAGACACTGTGCACATCTGGTCTGTACAACCAGATTATAAACACTGAAGAAACAAGGAACACAAGGCATGCCCCCATTCACCACTCCTTTCACCTCCCTGGTGACAAACACATCTACATTTAAATCTGTTTACTAGGGGGGTCAACCTTGGGTTCTAATTCCTCAGCTGTAAAGTGGGGATGGTAATAATATCCACCTTGGAAGTTGAGGTGTGACATAAAGTGATTAGCACATACTAAGCTTTTGATAAAGTACAGCACCACTACTGTGCACTAGACAGTAAGCTCGACTCTATAGGAAACATAAGAAAGTATCTTCTAGGAGTGGACAGCATGTCAGCAAAACAAGACATACCTGTGGAACATCAGCCCCTAGTAAACAGCCACTGAGATGATGCTCAACACACAGTATTGTATTTGCTGTAGTTCCAAGGCTGCCCTGATGCACCTGGAATCCATCAGGCCACACTCAGATATCTGACCTGCACCATCTCACCATCCCGGTGAGAAACCCAGGAGAAGGCCCAAGGGCAAGTCTCTACAGTGACAGTGAGTCAATTAGCCTGACTCCTGGACAGAAAGTTTAAGGGGGCAGCAGTAGAGTCTTCGAAATGCAGGCTCAAGACAATGGTCAAGGACCTCAAATAAGGGGCTTAAACTTTATCCTGCAAGTTCTGGAGAAAGACCAAAAGTTCAAGAGAACAGAGTGAGGTTTTAAGAATGATCAACAAGGCCACATGCAGATGCAACAAGGTAAGCAAGACTGAGGGCCAAGAGCCGAGACAGTGTGTGTAAAGTTATGAGGCCCCATGCAGGGATGATATCGTCTTCCCTCCCTGGCCCTTTGGACCTACTATGTTCTCAAAAAAAAAAAAAAAAAAAATGAAACCCATGAGTAAAGGTGTGCTCACAGTTTAGACTGTGAGCGGAGTTTAGTCCTACAGTTTAGACTGTAAACGGAGACAAAGGCTTATTCCCAAATACTATGATAACTCTCAGGTGATGGCATTTTCTTCTCTCTTAAATGAAACCAGGTCAAGGCCCTATCCTAGTGCAGTCCCTGGAAAGAGGCTTCCCATCTGGGACTTCAATTCCCAGCCCTCTTGCATCTAAGTGGGGTCACATAACTGGTTCTCACCAGTAGAATGCAGTTGGGATGTGAATTGGGTCGGGGCAGTTAAAAATGGGGTGTCTTCTCCATACCACCTACTAGCTAGAATGGTGGCATCAGAGGCTAGAAAGAACCCGGGTATCTGCATCACTCTTCCTCCTGGAAGAAAGTTGCCCACCCCAATCAGGACCACCCACACTACACTGCTACATGATCAAGAAACAAGGCTCCATAGCAGCAAGCCACTGAAACTTTAAGAGGTGTTACCACAGATAGCATTACTCTAATACAGTGGATAAAATCACTACCCTCACCCCAGGAGAGAGAGTCTGTTTAAGAAATACAAAACAAAACAGGAAGCCAACTCCAGAAGAAATGGGAATAGGATCGAAAGAGTTTAGGAAAATCTGATTCATGTCTTCCAGAAGGAGGAACCTTAAACACAGCCAAAAATGCAAGTTGGCAGAGTCATCCCTGACAGAACATCAGGGTCCAAGAGCAGAATACAGGGCCTCACCAAAGTGGAGGGTAGCAAATTTAGATTTGTAAAAGGGAATGTGGCATAGCTCTGGCCCCAAGCAATAACTCTCCTGGTGTGGGGTCAGGGACACCCACAAATCCCAACATTTGACTTAGCTGGTACATGAAACCTTTCAGATTTACCAGAGAGAATGGACAATTCCTCACTGTAAAAGTTCCCCTGGGCCCAAACTCATTAAAACCACAACCCTTGTTCTGAGTTTAAAAAGAAAAAAACCCTTAAGAGTTGCAGAGGACAGCAAGCAGCAGACCCCCAGCGTGCCCAGCCCTTGCGTAATTATGCACTCGGGGTGCATTTTCCTCCAGCACAGAACAATGTGTGGGTGTATTTGTATTTTGGAAAGTATACAAAGGACAGAATTCAAGAATCCCCTTCATTCTCAGACACCCTCGCTTCCCCACCCTGAGGAGAAATTCCATTAACCCTGAATCTCGCCTGAAAAGAACAGTTAGAAGCTAGAGCCACAGAGAACAGCAGCTTCTCTATTACCAAGGAGCCTGCTGTGGCAGGTCACACACAAAGCCAAACCTTCCTCCTGTCCTCACAGTCCTGGCTATGACCCCAAGTCCCTCTTAACAGTTGCCTCAACGATGCCCTCCTCTCCACAGGAACCAAAATGGGGAACAAGAGACTTCTCATTTCTTACAGTGTGTGGAACCACACTCTCAGATTCCAAACATGTCAATCCCCTCTGCCACCTGCCTTCAATGCCCACACCCCACCTGTGTCCACTGCTTTTCCTCCAAATCCTTCTTCTCCTCTCTCTAAGGTCAGTCCAAGTCCAATCTTCCTACACCCCAACTCTGGGCTCCTGCAGTGGCCTCCTCACAAGTGTCTCCCTTCTCTGATCCATAAAAAGCACGGCTCCTCCCTCTGACTGATCACGTCACTCTCTGTTCAGAGATCCTCAATGGATCACTACTAACAAAAGTCAGTTAATTCCTGACTCAGTTTCCTCATCTAGGGAGAAGCCATCCACTTCTGTTATCCAGGATAACTAGCAGGTGATGAGCTGGGCAAAACCTGGAAGATCACCTGCATTTCACCAGCCTTACTGCCATTCCCAAAGTTTAGTAAGAAATTGTTTGAGGTGCATCAGGCTCTACACCAATCAGGGTACTGAACCAAAAAAGTTTTATGATGATCAAATTAATTAATTAAAAGTTGGCTCAGGAATATCAAGATAAACCCATTGTAGCTGGGTTTATTACGCAAGGGCTGGGCACGCTGGGGGTCTGCTGCTCGCTGTTCTCTGCAACTCTTAAGGGTTTTTTTCTTTTTAAACTCAGAACAAGGGTTGTGGTTTTAATGAGTTTGGGCCCAGGGGAACTTTTACAGTGAGGAATTGTCCATTCTCTCTGAACATTCCCTTCTACTAAACATATACATTGTATCCTAACTCAAGGCAAATGAAAACTGAAACTGAAAGGTAGAGTAGAAATCTGCTCACACACCCTTAACTGGAAACCTTCAACTTTTTATTCAGTAATACTTAAAAGGTCAAGTTTTTCTTCACACCCCCGGAGGTGAAGGCTCACAAATAAAGCAGAACAATTAGGATTAGGTGTCTTTGTCACTTCTTGACAACCTGTGAGACCGCTTTCAGAGGACAGACCCAATTTAGACAAGAGGACCAGGGGAGGGGACGGTGATGGTTAATTTCATGTTGCTTTGACTGGGCTGCAGAATGCCCAGATAGCTAGCTGGTAAAACATGACTTCGGGTTGTGTCTCAGGTTGTTTCTGGAGATTAATATTTGAATAAATAGGCTGAGTTAAAGACTTCTCTCACCATGTAGCCAGGCATCATTTATCCCACCGAGGGAAGGTGGAAGAATGGCACATTTTCTCTGTCCTGGGCATTCATCTTCTCCTGCCCTTGGTTATCAGTATTCTTGGTTCATAGGCTTTCAGAGTCAGACAGGAAGTTACACCATTGGTGCCACATGCAAGCTGAAGAACCAGTAAAGCCAGTGGTGTAATTCTAGCCCAAAGACCTGAGAATTAGAGGAGCTGATGCCTTCTGATATCATAATAAAACATAATTGTCTGTGTCAATCCCTCACAATAAAATTCCATATATATATATGAAATATATATATATATACATATATCTATCTCTATCTATCTATCTATCTATCTATCTATCTATCTATCTATCTATCTATCTTTCTATATCTCCCCACACTATTCGTTCTATCTCTCTGGAAAACACTGACTGACACAAACTTACAGAAGATCCCAAAATAACTGCTATATAATGTACTCCAGCCAAAGGACCACTACTTTGCCCAATGCTGATAGAGCACAGCCACAATCAAATGAACCCAGGACTACTGCCAGGTGGTTGAAAGGCAGAACATGGAAAATGCCACTAGTGAATCCAGAGAATCCATGTGACATGAAGCCCAAGTCCTACAGGTGAGAGACTGACAGGAGGTAAGAAAAAGCCCATCAGAGGGGTCCAGACAGAAGAAGAAAAAGGAGTTCCTCGAGGCCATGGGCAGAGACTGCCCTCCTTAAATGATGCGATGCCCAGATCCTCTGCTACTCACAGATAACGTGAAGGAGGCCCAACCTAAATAGGTCAATCTCATTCAGTACTTAATCAAGATGGAACACTGGTTCCAATGAAGATGGTGAATCTTACTTATCTACTTTAGAGAACAGAGGACAGAATTCCACCACCAAACCCCAACCTAAACCTCACCAGTCTCTCCTCACCTTCCAACTGCCTGCTAAATCTAATATTAATGGACCCAGCCACCATAACTTCCTCGTACACCAACCACCCCCTTCCAGATCAGCGAGACCCTATGGAACACTAGGTGGCTGTGGTAAGCCCTGGAGAAGGTACGTGGTTATGGGTTGAACATGATTCCCACAAACACATGTGGGCTTGGAGGAAAGAAAGAAAAGGTTTGTGAGTTCCATCACAGCCCATCTCTGCTCAGTACCTGGTGGGCATCTCCAGATGGAATAATGTAGGCCTGGATGGGTTCTGTAACATACTCGGAGTTCCGCATGGCTTGTCTCAGCTGTCGAAGCAGTTCTGAAGTTACCTTTGGAGCCATTCTGCCACCTGCAACAACAGAAGAGTTTGTACCAAAACCAAGCTGCCACACACAACTCAATGAATAGTACAAAGAGAGCCCTAGAGAAGTATCTGCCATGCTCTGCCCCAACCCACATGCTCTTCAAATTGACCACCCCACCACCAGAGCAAGGCCTAAGCTCCCAGAAACTGACAGTAACAGTCCTGAAATACTATTTCCCAATAGCCATTTGTTGCAAGAACAGTTGAGCTTATATTAACACTTACTTCCAAGTTGATCAGTTATCTCTTCTACTTCTAGGACTTTCTAGTAAGATAATTAAACATGTGCACAAGGAAACAGTTGTTTGTCTTTGTTAAGTAGCCAATCACAGATGTGGAATAGAAAGATCAGTCCACTAGAAGTCAAGTCTTAAGTCAAATGCTCAGATGAAAACCTGCTACCAACTGGGTGTATGACCTAGGGGGAAGGGGACTAGAGCTTGTGTTCTGTGTTCTCCTCTCTAAAATATGGTGGGAGCAGAGTAAATTTAGGGTTTTCAGACTGAACCCCAAAAAGTTCCAGGGATCCTGAGAAGCATACCATCTCAACAAAACTAGAGCTGGTGTCTGCACTTCTAGAAAATACAGAATAATAGAAATACAAAAGCCTTTAAAAAGAAATTGTTAGGAATATTAGATGTAGTCCTACTAGAACCCTTAAATGTCTTCTAATTTCTAAGTAGTCAAAATCAAAACAGCACTGTCTTCCAGAGTACGAGACTATTTCTACATAATGAACACACAGATGTTGCAAGCTAACTTTAAAAACACTTTAGTTGGTTATCTGAAAGAAACTTATAGCTCAACAAATATGGATCTGCGCTATCAGTCCTGATTAAGATTACAGCTTTAGTCCCTGCTATTCAACAAAACAATTAACAAGAAGTCAATCATAGAATATTAATTATACATATTTTACAATATCTCACTTATAAAACTAAACTATTAGAATTCAAAGTAGAATAGTATGTTTTTCACCTCATTTTAAAATAGTTTTATGTTTTTAGAGCAGTTAAAAGTTCATGGCAAAACTGAGCGGAAAGTGCAGACAGTTCCTATATATCCCCCAGCCTCAACATATACACCGCCTCCCCTACTATCAAGATCCTCAACAGTTACATCTGTTACAACAACAAACCTACATTGATACACCATCATCCACAAAAGTCCAAGTAACACTACATTGTGTTTCACTCTGGATGTTTTATGAGTTTTGACAAATACGTGATATGTCTCCTCATTACAGTATCACACAGACTAGTTTAATGGCTTTCACTGCCTGAAAATCCTCTCTACTCAGTCTATTCATCCTGTCCCCCTCTAAACGTTAACAACTTATCTTTGTACTGTCACCATAGTTTTGCCTTTTGCAGAAAGTTATGTAATTAGAATCATGTAGTAAAAAGCTTTTCAGATTGATTTATTTCACTTAGCAATATGCTTTAAGATTCTTTGATGTCTTTTCAGCTTGATTTATTTTCTGTGCTGAATAATAAGCCTTTATCTGACTATCACCATAGTTTATGTATCCATTTATCTACTGAAGGGCATCTTGGTTGCTTACAAGATTATAAATAAAGTTGGTACAAACATTCATGTGTAGGTTTTGTGTGGACGTGGGTTTTAAACCCATGACTGCTAGATCCTGTGGTAAGAGTATAATCTTGTAAGAAACTGTCAAACTGTCAAACTGTTTTCCATTCCTACTTTTAATGAATGAAATTTGTTGTTTCACATCCTCATCAGCATTTGGTGGTGTCAGTGTTTTGGACTTTGCCAACCCATTTTTTAAATGAATAAAAAATATTTTACTTAACCAGAAATGTTCTAATGCACAACGCTCTAAGTAATGGAGAATTACAAGGGCATAATGCTACAGGTTGTCTTCAAGAATGGATACCCTGACTCCTCTGGCTGGCTATTTTTTTTTTTTATACAAGCACTGGGTACAGTCAGAAGCACGGGAGGGTGAGAGAATTCACCAGCGTCAGAGCGGGGAGCAGAGCAGGCAGAAGGACCGAAGTACACTGCTGAGGGGAGCAGCAGGCGGCAGGAGAGGTCTGCGCGCCATGTGGGACCCTCCTCTGGTGGCCGGGGAGCAGCCGGGAATAGAACCGGCACTGCAGAGGCTGCAGGCAGCTTCGCAACCCAGCGTTCAACCACTGCGCCACCAGGGAGGCCCTATTTGTAGATTTTTGTTGTTGTTCTTTTTCTTTAACATTTTCATCTACTTCTCCATCATCACCAGCACCTTGGACTTGCAAAACTCAGTTATTCTGGCCACCTATAATAGTTCCCCTATGAAGTATTTTATTGTTCTTGGGATTCATTAAAAATTACCCTACTTTTAGTCTGCAGCAAGGAGGACCGGTTCAACCACCGGCCTCTAGGCTTCACCTGGAGAAGTACTCAAAGGAATTGTCACTGGAAATGGGCCTATTCACAATTCAAACCTGTCCATGTTTCTTGTATGACAGCTGCTTCTGAATGCTTTTCAGAGGTACACTGTTTCCTTTTGTCTGACCTATTGAGCCTACAATTTCTCACCTCTCTGAGATAGAGGAATCAGAAGTATCTGAGGGCCTCCCCTGGTGGCGCAGCGGTTGAGCGCTGGGCTGCAGAGGCTGCCTGCAGCCGCTGGCGAGGGTCCCACAAAAAAAAAAAAAAGTATCTGATCTGACCTAACTTTTTATGTCAACACCTCCATACAGCTCAAAATGAAGCTTACTGTGACTTCCTCAGCTGCCAGCATCTGAAAACTTTGCTATGACATCTTTCAGAGCTTCAGAATAGACTGGCTTCCAAACCCTATTTCTGAGCAACTCAATATTAAAGAGTCAAGTGAAAATATAACCTCCTTCAGAACAGTATTTCAACACTGGCTGCACATTAGAACTGTGGAACTTTTCATTTAATTCGTCTGAAGTGCAACGTGGGCATATGGAATTTTAAAAAGCAAATGTATGATAGAAGTAAACATTTTCTCTGAAGATCATGAATTTCTTTTTTTTTATTTTTTAAAGATTTATTTATTTATTTCTACAAGCACTGGGTACAGTCAGAAGCGCAAGAGGGTGAGAGAATCTACCAGAGCCAGAGTGGAGAACAGAAAAGGCAGACTGACGAAGCACACGGCTGAGGGGAGCAGAGGGCGGCAGGAGAGGTCTGCGTGCCATGTGGGACCCTCGCTGGCGGCCGGGGATCGAACCAGCACTGCAGAGGCTGTGGGTAGCTTCGCAGCCCAGCGCTCAACCGCTGCGCCACCTGGGGAGGCCCTGAAGATCATGAATTTCCTTATAGAATTTGGCTTCCATTGGGGTACATTCTGGCTGAAGATTTTGATGGCACTGACTATCAACATAATCACTGACCTCATCAACAAATCAACAGGACCAATGGCAAAAGCACAAAATCCTCAATGGCAAACTGAAAACAATCAAAGGGAAATGGAAGGAAGCTCTTCTCCCTGGTCACCAGAACCCCTCTCCCCTCTCCCATACCTCGGCATCCCATACTGCCTCTGCTCAGAATCATCTGTGTCCTCAGCTTCAATCTACCACAGGGGCATTTTCACAATACCACCTGCCCCATTACTACTCTTAAAACTTCCCCTACTCTTTCTCCTCATCCTCATGCCCTTCACTTTTGGCTTTTTGCTTGTTTGCTTGTTTTTGTTTTTCATTTCTATTTTCTTTTATTTTTTTCTTACATCATTGTTCATTTTGAAACAATATTTACCTCCCCCTACCCCTTCAGGTGTAGTCCCCATAGAGTTTCTCTTCACCAAGGTACCCGAGCACCATCACCTCAGTCCCCTGTGCTCCTCCCTCCCTCCCTCTGATCCCTCTCCCTCCTCCTCCCCTGCAGGATGTCTCTAATTTATAATTGTCTGTTTTTGCTTTGTTGTATTTTGAACTGTTACTATTTTTTTACACTAATGTCTTATTGGGTTCCCCTATATTCCTGCTATAAGTGAAACCATCTGATATTTTTCTTTTTCCTTCTGGCTTATTTCAACTATGCATAATTCCTTCTAGCTCCATCCATGTTGCTGCAAATGGCATGAGTTTATCTTTTTTGACTGCTGAATAATATTCCATTTTTGGTTGGTGTCCTTGGTCCTTGAAAAGACAGCAACTGACCATGGCTGAGGCAATGGGCTTTGGTAGTGGTAAAGCCCAGTGGAAAGGCAGTGTAAAAGGTAGATAGAGAGGGCAAAGGTGGCAGACATTAGGACAACAGATCCTGAAAGTAACTGAAAGGCCAAGCAGCTGGAGTTGGGGAAGGGACAAAACTGGTGAAATTATAAGACCAGTCACCGAAGTGGCAGTGGATGAAAAGACGGTCAAGATGGAGGTTGATGATCTTGGGAGGGGAATTTATATCAGGATTAGATAGTTACATCATATAAAGCACACTTTCCTGGCACTTAGTAAATGCTATGTGCCTGCAATGACTAGAGTTAGATACACATTGACTGTCCATGAAAACCATGTGTCCAGGGCCTCCCCCGTGGCGCAGCGGTTGAGCGCTGGGTTGCGAAGCTGCCCGCAGCCTCTGCAGCGCCGGTTTGATCCCCGGCTGCTCCCCGGCCACCGGAGGAGGGTCCCACATGGCGCGCAGACCCCTCCTGCCGCCCGCTGCTCCCCTCAGCAGTGTACTTCGGTCCTTCTGCCTGCTCTGCTCCCCGCTCTGGCTCTGGTGAATTCTCTCACCCTCCCGCACTTCTGACTGTGCCCAGTGCTTGTATAAATAAATAATCTTTAAAAAAAAAAAAAACCATGTGTCCAGTAGTGCAGTGGGTATATATACTGCTGATCCTTAAGGCAGCAACCATGCCATCCTCTTCTCTGAATTTACATACCCAGCCTAGCACCTAACACATATGCTCACTCAAAGACAGCTAAATGAATGTCACAGTTTCTGTCTATAATTTTTCAGGCACAACATAATAATAAATTGTCATCAGTGGAAGAAGAAAGCTAAGATTTTCATTCCACATCACAGTACTTTTCAGAAATGTCAGAAGCAGCCAAGAGCTAATCAGGGTATGCAGGAAAGAGGGAAGCCAAGAACAACAAGCCTGGTCCATGATGTAACATTAGCCCATACACTGCCAGGTATTTTTAAATCATGCTTTAAAGAGAATGACTCATTTAACATCTTGATAATATAGCTCTGTTTTTAGAAATAAGTTCTTAAGCCTTCAGCCTTTATCACAAGCAAAACTTTTTACTGTTTAGAAGTACATGAAAAGCGCACCCTATTTACCTCTCTGGGAGGGGCCAGAATTTAACATGACAACATGAAAGCAACATTGTAAAGCAACCAACCCATTCCGGGCAGGTTTATGAATGGTTCTAGCAGCCACATGCTCTTCACCGTTGTTTGTAGTCACTGTACTCCTCCGTACACTCCACTCCTCTACCCTCGATAACGCACTACCATCACACCGCACTCTGCTGCACCACCCTTATAAATCAGTCTCTTAGCTCAGGTGTGCCCACCTACGCATGCCCACACCCTACTCCAGGTGCCCGCCATCAGGCATGCATTCAGGACCGCAAGGATCCATCATCTATCCTGATGGCGGGAGGGCAGAAAAGCCTGGCATTTTCTTTACCCTACAATCATGCACAGCATCTGGTACATCACAGTGACTCAAGAATCATTACTTGAATCTAGATCTGAAGCACCAACTGGGATTCCTACATGCCTTGTTAAAAGAACAGAAGGGGCTGCTTAACTCCAAATTTCAGCATCTCATAACGCCTGCACAGATGCCAAGCTGCTCTTCAGCATCAAGCCTGAGAGGTTTGTTTCTCTGTCCCACCACTGAGTGAGTGCCAAGGGCTTTACACACACTAGTGGCTAATTATCACAATAATCCTCCAAGGGAGGTTTCACTATTCCCATCTGACAGATAAGAGGTCAGAAGTTATGTAATTGCCCGAGTCAATTGGATCATCAAGAGCCAGGACCCAAAGTCTACCCGATTAACAAGTCCGAGGTCCATTACGCCGTATCATGTAGGGGGCACAACCGAAGTTCTCGTACAGTATTCTGAGACCAAAGGCATCAAAACAAGTGGATCCCGCTTTTCAGTTGGGACCTGCAATCTGAGACAAAGGAAGCTCCCTGAACCTCTACTTCCTCACATACAACAAAAAAGAGAAGTTCTCTTCACACTTTAAAAGTGATGATTCTATCATTTTCCCCTTTCCTTACTTCTTTTCTTTCCACTTGCTTGTACCTCTCCTCCCTCCGAAGATGGCCCAAAATACATCTATGTTTTTAAGGACCTAAAATTGCATGCAATAATAGTATGGATCTTGCACAGAAAAATCAGTCATAGTTTCTCAAGTGCTTCAAGGGATCTGTTTTTTTTTCAGTCAGCTAAAAAGAAATGCTGTGGTTCTCCTGGGTTGCCCTTTAAAAAGCACTGATTTACGTGGGTTAAATAGACAGTAATAGACCAACTTTTTGGAATTCTGGCAACCCAACAAGACAACTAACCAGTTATAGGAAGAGAAGAGGGTTCCAGAAATTTTTCCTAAAATGCATTATCAATTTATAAAGCACAATTAAAAAAATTTCCTCATTTCAGAATCTTACAATGAAAATTGAAAGGTCCTCTTTAAGGTAATCAATAAAGAACCACAATAGAGATTAGAAAACCTAGAAAAAACTTTTCCAGGAATAGCCTATTACCACCACTACCACCACTGCCACCACTTCCAATAATGGGAAATACATTCCTGGAATGTATTCTCTAATTTACTACTAATAAACATGGTAAATATACAGAAAGAGTAACCAGCTACCTAGGAAGCCAAAGAATAAAATGATTTTCAATTTCCCGATAAATGTCCCTTCACCCCAGCCATGATCCCTTACTAATCCCTTATGTTTCTCTTCTCTCCCAGCTTGGGGTTTGGGGTAGGGCACCTAAACTAAAATCCTCTTGAGATGCTCCATCTAATTTATAGGTAAAATTATTACCTGTTTCCACACCTGGGTCTCCTGAGTGTGTCACCTTGTTAGGTTCAATTATTCTTAAATTTTTCAGCTGCAAATCCTGGTGATCCGTCCTTAAGAAGAGAAAGAACAGGATATTGCAGACTTTGACCACTATAAACGTGGCAAGGTGTAGACAGAGAGGAAATCAGCTTGGCTTAGCAGTTTTGCTTGTGAGTATGAAGAACCTTCACCCCAGGACCAGTGACTAAGTAACAGTCTCAATTAAAACTTACAAACTGTCACCATGGCAGGTAAACCTTCTCAGGCTGCACCCTAATTCAAGAATTCTCTTCAACTATGCCTTATCTCCTGTTCCACTCATTTAACTGCAATGACTAATTTTTCACATGTACAAATTCTATTTAGTTCTTTTTCAATTTTCCTGTTCTCTCATCATGGGGTCCTATTCTTCCACTACGGTTTCTATTCCTTCTCTTAGCATCTTAATTATTCAGGGCCCTTATTTTACAACTCACTTTATACTTTCCCTTAGAAAATCTTGAACAATAATCCTCAAATTGGCTGGGCCTGCTGGCTCCCTCTTGATAGGTCATTCCTTGTATGCTTTGTAATCTTTTACTAAGAGCTTATCTTCCATAGAGATTATTTTATCTAAGTGAATGAGACATGTTCTGGATAGAATAAGCATTAATGTCACTGTTGTTTGTGTCTGAGACTAAGTTTCCTTTTAATTTCTTAGGTAGGGGATTCACACACAAATCTCTTGTCCCATATGGAAATAACATGTCACCCTGCACCTCAGGCATGAAGACCTGTGGTGTTCAGTAACTTCCCCAAGTTCAACTTACCACTTACCCTAAGTAAGGGGGATGCAGGCAATAGAAAGGATTCTGGATCTTAGTCAACTATGATCATAACGGTAATTTTGTTATCATTCAACTACATTTTTAGTAGCAGAGAGAGGGATCCACATTAGCTAAGTCCACCACACTGTCAGAATCAGCGACCAGCCATTTTCCACAGTCACCCCAAGCCTGCCTGCCCTCAGATGGCTGCTACTTTAGTTTTCACTAAATGAGCTGCTCTTTACTAGGGGAACCATGTATTTAAGAGAGAGGGAGAGAGGAAGAGAGAGAGGAAGAGAGAGAGAGAGAGAGAGACCTCAATATAATACAAATAGCCTCAACAAAATTCCAGCAAACTGAACCCAGCAAATCTAAGACTGATTCAAAATATAAAAAATAATGCAGGGCCTCCCCCATGGCACAGCGGGTTGAACGCAGCGCTGTGAAGCTGTCTGCAGCCTCTTCAGCTGCAGCTTTGACTCCCGGGCGGCCAGGGCAATACCCACATGGCATGTCAGACCTCACCCGCTGCTCCCCTCAGCAGTGCCTTCAGTCTGTCTGCCTGTTCTGCTCCCAGCTCTGTCTCTGGTGAATCCTCCCACCCTCCCGCGCCTCTGGCCTGTACCCCAGCTCTTGTATAAAAATAAATCTTTTAAATAAATAAATAAATAAATAAATAAATAAATAAATTTCAGCTGGCTTCTATGAATAAATTGACAAGCATATCCCAAAATTCATATGGAAATGCAAGGTCTCTGGAATAGCCAAAACAATCTCAAAAAGGAGCAAACTGGTAGGTTCTCCCCACCACCCCAAATTCAAAACTAATAAAACTATATTAATCAAGACAGTCTGGTACTTGCATAAAGTCAATAAAACAGAACTGTGAAGTTAAAAATAAACCCTCATATTTATTGTCAGACAAGAGTACCAAAATCATTCAATGGAGATCATAACAGTCTCTGCAAGAAATGATGCTGGGACAACTGGATATCCACATGCAAAAAAATGGATTTGAACCTCCTCCCTCATACCGAGAGCAAACATTGACTAAAAGGAATAAAAGATATAAATGCTTTCTTGGAAGAAAAGACAGACATGAATCTGCCTGACAGTAAATTAGGCAATCATGTCTTTAGTCATTACATCAAAAGCACAAGCAAGTGAAGAAAATAGATGCACTGGACTTCAGTAAATTAAAACTTATGTGCTTCAAAGGATACCAAAAAGAAAGTGAAAAGACAACACGAGAAAACATTTGCAACTCATCTATCTAGCAAGAGCCTACTATCCAGAGTTATATAAAGAACTATTACAACAATAATGAGACAGCCCAGTTCTAAAATAGTCAAAGAATCCAAATGGACATTTGTTCTAAGGAGAAAATAACTGGCCAAAAACTACATGGAAATATTTTCAACATTGTTAGTCACTAGGGAAATGCTAATGACAATCACAAGAAGATGCCATTTTGTATCCACTGGAAAGTTATCATCAAAAGACAGACAATAACAAGTGTAGTCAAGGAGGTGGAAAAACTGGACGCCAACACCTAAAATGGAGTATGGGCTTTGGACAACACTCCTACATTCCTCAAAAGGTTAAACAGTTAACCAATGACCTAGCAATCCTACTCCCAGGTATATACCCAAGAAAAGTGAAGACTTAAGTCCACATAAAAATGTGTACATAAATGTCCATTACAGCATTATTCATCATTGCCAAAAAGTAGAAACCACCCAAATGCCATCAACTGACAAGAGGATAATAAAAGTGGCCCATCCAGACAATAATATTGCCAATATTATTTGACAATAAAAAGTACTAATACATGTGGGCCTCCCCGGTAGTGCAGCAGGTTGAGCGCAGCGCCATGAAGCTGACTGCAGCCTCTGCAGTGCGGGTTCAATCCCAGCTGGCCGGCGAGAATCCCACATGGCGCGGCAGACCTCTCCTGTCACGACCTCTGCTCCCCTCAGCAGTGTATTTCATCATTCTGCCTGTTCTGCTCCCCGCTGTGTCTCTGGTGAATCCTATCACCCTCCCACGCATCTGGCCTTTACCCCAGCTCTTGTATAAAAATAAATAAATCTTAAAAAAAAAGGTAAAAAAAGTATTAATACATACTACAACATACTAAGCCTTGAAACATTGTATGCTAAGTGAAAAAAAAGTCTCAGAAGCTCACATATTGTATGATTCCCTATGGAATGTCCAGAACTGGGCAAACTACAGACACAGGAAGCAGATGAGTGGCTGCCCAAAGCTGATATGGAGCTGGGGAAATGAGGAGAGACTGCTGCTATGTACAGGGTTTCTTTTTGGAAGTGAGAGAATGTTCCAAAAGTGACTGTGATGACGGTTGTACTCTGTGAATATTCTAAAAACTAATGAACTATACTTTTTAATAGGCAAATTGTGTGGTACATGAATTATATCTTTTACAAAATAAAGAGGCTCTTTTTCTTGGACAGACAGAAGTCACATTCTCACTTGATTTCCCTTGACTTCATATGCACATTTATAAAATGGAGAACCATGGAAGCCGGTTACTCTATATATTCAGTGACTGGTAAGACTCAATTCTAGAGAGCTGGAGGGAGCTTATTTAGAGGTGACCCTAGCCACCCACTTTAGAGAACAAGAAACAATGATGACCTGCCACAGGTCATACACCTCAGTAGCTGCAGAACCAAGACCAGAATCCAAGTCTGACAGGTAAATGTTCCCAGGGAAGTTGAGTTCGAGGTCTCTCAGTGAGCACCTCCACCCTCCTGTCCAGATCAAAGTTACCATGAAGCAGCTAAAAATCACAATTGTCCTGCTCCTGTCATACCCTGGTATGACAAGCTCCAAGAGACCAAGCTCCATCCACCTCTCACTTAGTTGGACAGGGTCTGTCAAAGCAAGGTTATAGAGTTAGTGTGTACCTCATGGACTCATCCAACTCAGCTCCCTCCTCTAGGCAAAGAAACTGAGAAACAGAGATCAAGCTTTGCTTGGCTCAAGGCCTCAGTTATTTGGTGACAGAGATAGGTGAACACCAGAGTCCAGGCCTCCCAACTTTCCAGCTCAGTGCTCTTGTCTGTCCTAGGACTTCAAGACTTCACGTGCTTGTATCTTCACAACGTGGTGATGTACCATGAGGCATGTGAGGGGAAAGAAGGCAGAGAACTTTGTATTCAATCTTTGCATAAAATGGTTATGGCACATTTCTCTCCCTCTCTCTATTTTAAAGAAATCCCTGCAGGATGCTAGTTACTTTTCCCCTCCCCCAGTCGATGATGGGAATCTTATTATCTCTGTCAGAATAGTGGTAAAACAAAGACAAAGATGCTCAGTCACACCTTGTGAGGGGAGACAAGGGTGAACCGGAACATGTTCTAGGGTGATGTAGCCATCGTCGACACAAAACTCATCCTCCATCTTTTGATCAGAGCACCTTGGGTTTCCTTTTGAGAATGTCTATTCTTCATTTTCAATCCACAAAGTTGGGATGAGTCTCACCCACCCACTTCTGGGACCCTGGCTGGTCAATCCAACCCTCTAGTCACAATGATTGGTTCAGGGATGGACATAGGATCAAGTCAGCCCAGTGGGAATCAGATCTGGGATTTTGCTCCAACCGTTAGGAAAAAAAGACTGCTGGGATTGTCAGCCTAGAACTGTCATACCGATCATAAAGAGAAAGCCTGCCTGAAAATGAAGCCAACACTAAAGAAATCAGTGTCAAGAGATGCAAAATAGGCCAGTGTTGTTAGTCTTCTGGACCCAGCTGCACTCCGAGCCAGCTACACCTCTTTTTACCTAAGTCAACATGAGTTCAGTTTCCATGACCAAAAGTGAAAGGAGTCCTCCTCAAAGTCGGCCAGGAGGAAAGGCCCCTGAGGTAAAAGGCCTCCCTTCCCTCAGTGTCTTAGCTGCCTTTTGTGTGAGGTGATGAGGCTCTACCTGTTGGTGTTTAAAGATCCTGCAGCCCCCAAAATCTTGCGATTCTAGGAATCTGGCAAAGATCACGCTGGTCTTCACAGGCTGCTTCTCTACCTACGACCTCCATCTTTACCCACTTGCCTGACACTCTTTCCAGCATTTAACACACAGAGAGTTCCTTCCAAGTGCAGGTTGGCCGCATCTCACCACACCCTGTGGCAAGGCCACGGCCAGGTCAAGGCCGGCTGGGGATCGTCCACTCACAAACAGAAGCACCAGCCACGGTCTGTGCGCAGCAAGTGCGCCTGGCCACGCGGCCAAGTGTGCTCATTCCGGCCCCAACTAGACAGAGGTGGCTGCCCCTTGTCTGCATCCCCTGGGAGTTTGGCTTCTAATCTCTGTGAACTCTGGAGACAATCTGTCCATCTCCCACTCCGTTAGCTGCTTTGACAAGTACACCGGGGCCAGGGGAAAACAGGCTGGGCTGTGTTTACTGTGCGGTGGGGCTGCGGGAGAGGGTGGGCAGCAGGGAGGGCCCCGGGCTGGCTGCCGGCAGGTCTTTCCTGGAGATCACACCAAAGTGTTCCTCTGCCGTCGGAAGCCACGTGGGGGGGGAGGGGAGCGCGGCCGCCCGTGTCCGCGGCGGCGGTGACAGGTCGGGAGCGCGAGCTGCCGGCGTCCGGGGGGTCATTTGAGGGTTGATTTCCGGGGACGCGGGGCGCGCACGGGGGCTCGTCCGCCGCCCCGGCCCCCAGAAGGGGCCGCGAGGGGCCAACTTCCCGCACCCACGGGCCTGCCGGCCCACAGGGCCCGGGGGCGGGGGGCAGCGTGGCCACCCCCCGCTCGGGCCGAGCCCGGCAGCTCGGAGAGCGCGTGAGTCCCGGGACCGGCGGGATCCGCCGGAAGCGACCCGGCGCGGGCCCGGCTGCCCGGCTCCCTCCCCTGCGCCCGCGCCGGGGCTCCGGCCGGCTCCGGCCCGGGGGGTCCGCTCGCCGCTGCTCACCCGCCGGCCCCTGCCCTCCCGGGCGCACCACGCGCGCCCGGGCCCGGGGGGCCGCGCGCTGCCCGGACGCCGGCGCGCCGGCGGGTCCCCTCACCTGACTCGCGCGGCCTTTCTGGAGGCTGCCATTCGGCGGTGACGCGCCCGGCCCACGTCAGGGAGCTCGGACCAGCTGATCCCCCGCGGCTGGGGGGGGGGCGCGGGCGGGGCGCGGGCGGGCCACGCCCCCCTCTGTGCCGTGCGCTCGCGCCCGGCCCGCCCCCAGCTCGCCCGCCCCGGCCCGCCCGCCCCCAGCTCGCGCGGGGCGGGGTCTCCAAGCGCGCGGCTCCTGCCTCCCGGCCCGAGGGGAGGGGCTGGGTGCTGCCGCTCCCCACTTCTGTTCATGTTCCTTCCCATTCCCCGAAGAGGCAAAAGAAGGGCTTTGCGGCCTGAAGGGGCTGTGGCGCGTGTCCTCCGGGGGTGGCCCGGCCTTGGGAAAGGCGGAGGGAAAAGGACGTGACCCGTTGGGGAAGAACCTCGGGAGCCACTTACTGTGGCTTTCGAGGTGACCCCCAAATCACCTCTCCAGGCAGCTTCAAAATCCAGCTGCCCGCTCCTCTTGGATACCTAATAGACGCTGCAAACTTAACAGGATCTTAGGCGCTCCTGGCCCTCTGGGCTTGATCTTCCTCCCTACTCCGGAGATGGTCACTCCTGCCTCACAGAAGCGGTCGGTCTCTGACCCTGGCCTACTGGCTGCAGCCCCACCCCTGCGCGGTCTGGCCTAAAGGCACAGCCAAGGTGGATGCTTGGCACTCTAAGATAAGTCACCGTCGGCTTAGCACTTTTGGATGGTTCTGCCCCAATCCCATTTCCTACTGGTTCTCACCTAACTCCTGCACAAGTTAAACTGGCTTCCTCAACGTCCTTGAAAACAGGGCTCATACATGCCCCAAGGCCTTTAGACTTGCTGTTCACCAAATATGAGGCTCCTTCCTCACCTTTCCTTCAACACGCCTTCAAGTTTTTGCTTAGCTTTACCTTCTCAATGAAACCTACTCTGACCACCCTATTTAAAATTGTAAACCCCCAAAACATACACAACCCCCTTAACCTGCTCTATTTTTTTCAGAATACCTACCACCTCTTAACATAATAAAAAGTTATTTATATGTATTGGATTCTGCCCCCCCCACACACACATATACACACACACCTATCCGTGCAACAGTTATGTGTTTTGTTTAATGATGAATACTGAACATGTTTTAAATTCTCATTAAATATTTTCTGTGTGAATGAATGCCCCCAGAATGTACACTAGGTACAGGATCAGCACTTAGAAATATGTGCTAAACCAAAGTGACCACATTTTTAAGGTGATCTGCATGTCTTGGTTTGATCTTGGTGGAGGCCTAACACGCCTGTATCAAACAGGTTCTTCCCCCTGCAAGAGCTTGGAGTTCTAGTTTTATTCATTAGTCATTTAGACAAACTAAATTAGCACCTATCAAAAAAAAGTCTAAAGAAACTAAAAGATGTGGTGCCTTGGAAAAGAGCAGATGTCTGTTCCATTTCCCCAAATTTATGAAGCAAAAAAGAGATTGGAAATAAAATGACTGGCTCCAGTTCACATCTGAGAGACCACGAGAAAGATCAAATTGTAAGAGAAAAAAGAGAGAGCGCGCACACAGGAGAAGTGGCACCTACAGGGAACAGGTATTTCCTAATCACGTTGTCTAGGAGTCAGCTCTGAATTTATGGCCACTGGATTCAGGTGAGAAAAAAGGAGTGTTTTGCGTTTCTTGAACTGGATTTGAATTCCTGTTTGCAGAATAACAAAACAGTGCATGCCCTCTTGAACTTCTTCCGGCAGAATCTCAGGGAGAAGAGGAGCCAAATTGTCCCTTGCTGGTGAGAACCCTGGAGTTATGTCAGGCTCTTCCTACACATTTGAAGTAGTGGAACAGTCACATTAACTAATATTTACTGAGCACGATGTGCCTGGCCCACAGCCACCCAGTGAGTGAAGGATGGTATCCTCATTCCATAGGTTGAGGAGACTGAAGTTTGAGAGGTGTGTCACTCACCCTAAGTCCACAAGTTAGTAAGTAGTAGGACTGTGGTGTACATTTAAGCAGTGGATGGATTCCTAGTCCCCTGAATATTTAACCGATAAATTATATGGAAAGGCACTTCGTCCAAACTGCTAGTACACATGGTAGAAAGAGCAAGGCAGCCAGAGTCATCATTCAAAGTCAGACTGGATGGATCTTAGATATAGCCAGAAACATTTAATGTCTGCAAACCACTTATGGGTGGATGTGTTCCCAAACCCAATTCATATATTGAAACACCAACCCCCAGGACTTCAAAATGTGATAAATAGGATTGTCACAAAATCCATGACTTGTGTCCAAAAGGAGAAATTTGCACACAGAGAGAATGCCATGTGAGATGAAGGCAGAGATCAATATGATGCGGCTACAAGTCAAGGCGTGCCAAAGATTGCCAGCGAAACACAGGAAGCTAGAAGAAGACACAGAACAGATTCTCCGAAGTGGCCCCCAAAAGGAACTAACCCTGAAGATTCCTTGATGTTGAACTTCCAGCCTCCAGAAGTGTGAGACAACAAATTTCTGTTTAAGTCCCCCAGTTTGTGGTACTTTGCTATAAAAGCCCTAGGAAATGTAATACAAACAAATTTTTAATGTCCATACAACTCATTTTCGCCACACAACTTATTCATCTCCAGCTGGTAACCATCTCCTAGTTCCCAGTGAAAACCCATCTTTTTCTCCTCCCCTCCCTTACTCTCTGTATGAACCTGGTGAGATGCAGCAGACAGAAGTCTGCTGTAACCCAGAATATGCCACAGTGCTAGGCTCAGAGAATACTACGGGGCTCTCTGCAATGAAATGTCATGGTGAGTGGGTGAGCAGAGACGTGGTCTCCCCCGACAGAACCTGGACGGAAACACACTGCAAGTGCCACTTCTGCCTCTATGTGCAACCTCTGAGCAAAGAGGGAGGAAGGGAAGCAGAAGCCTCATGACATTACTTGAAGCCTGAATCCATTGTTTGAACCACATCTGAAAACGGATTTCCCATTAGACTTTTCAGATATCTGCCAAAAAATGTCCCGTTGTATTTAAATCAATTTGACATGAATTTTCTGTCACTTGCAATCAAAGACTCCTCAATGAATCATTCCAGTAAGTACATAATTGGATTTTAGCACAAAGTGGATATAATGTTATTAATATAGATAATTACTCAGGAACTAAGGAATGGAAAATAGATCATAAAACAGTGTAATATCTGTTTTTTATAATTATATATCTGCATACATATGTATATTTGTATGTGTATATATGTATATATGGCACATTTTATAATACAAGGGAAATGACCCACCAAATGTTAATTAACTCTGCTTATTTCAAGTTTGTAAAATTTGGGGTCATCTTAATTTTGTCCTGCTCCTTTGTTTTTCTGAGATTTTTTTAATTTAAAAGAAATTCAGATACTAATCATTTCCCTGATATTTTCTCCTTGGAAGACAGAGCACAGAACCTCTTCCATCTTCCCAATTTGAGCACCACAAATAATAGTGATTCTCCTATATTCAACTTGATAACTGGCTATTGCCCTGACCATTGATGGGGGGAGTGGGAATAGCCCTTTTGATAAACCCCCAGATGAGAACACAGAAAAAAATAGAATTTCCTGCAGGATATGAAAGAAAATTACAACTTTATAGGAAGGTTTTAACTTTTCTTTCAGATGTTTTGATCTGTTTTAATAAAGGTGATAGTTGCAGAAACAGTGATGAGTGAGGCACTCAAAATTTTATAATATGGCCTTATTTTTTATAAAGTTAACTGAAAGATAGGCTTGTAGTTACACCCTAGAAAGGAATGGAAGAAGAAAAGCCAACTTTCAGAATTGCAGAGTGTGCCAAAACAATGTACTGTAAATTAAGGGTGGGAGAATGCATTTGGCTGAATTCAGAATCCACTCACCCTTTGTATTCAATAAAAACTGAACTCAGACCTTTGATATCTGAGTTCCATTTACTTTTGGCAAAGTTCAGTGCTCTGGTTCAAATGAAAAAAGAAAAAGAAAACCTTTAAGAGTCCCAGAGGGTTACTTGGACATCAAATAGTTCTTGCACAAACAACATATTGATGTGCTAAGTGTAAATAAATCAGAAACATACAGAGTAAGCATCCTCTGAAACACAGACCATCCCATGCTACAGGAAAAATGGCCTAGGGAAGCTGTCTCTTGCTCTTAGGAGTATCCCTTTCCCCCCATATTTTATCCCTTTGTCAAAGAAAGAAGTCATTGAGAGACTTTTGTAGAATGTGAGCAAAGGAAGAGAGAGTGTGTCAGCTCCTCCTGATACTGACTTCTCAGGATCCCTGACTGGCCGTGCCTTGAAAGCTGGACTTTGGATGAGGCAGCATGGCTTAGAGATCAAGGTCATCAGTTGACGGACATTTGAGTTGCTTTCTCTTTGAGGGTATTGTGATTAATGCTGCTTAGGAACATTTGTGTGCAAGTTTTTGTGTGGACATATGTTTTTATTTCTCCTGGGTATATATGCATGTGTGTGTGTGTGTGTGTGTGTGTGTGTGTACACCTATGCATGGAAATGTTGAGTCATGTGGTCACTCTAAGTTTAACCTTTCGAGGAACTGTTAGACTGTTTTCCAGTATGACTACACCATTTTTACATTCCCACCAGCATTAAGAGAGTTCTAATTCCTTCACATTCTCATCAACATTCATTACTATCTTTCTTTTTGACTGAATTCATTCTAGTGGATATGAAGTCATATCTCATTGTAGCTGTGATTAGCATTCCCCTGATGGCTAATGATCTTTAGCTTTTTTTCGGTTTTTGTTTTCTGTTTTTGTTTTTCTGTGTTTGTTAGTCATGTGTATATTGTCATTGGAGATATATGGATGTGTGTGTGTGTGTGTGTGTGGTCTATATGTGTATATATGTGCATGAGTATATATATATGGCCTATATGTGTATATGTGTGTGGAGTATATATATGTATGGTGTGTGTGTGTATGTGTTTAGATCCTTTGCCCACTTAAAAAAAATTATTATTGAGTTATAAGTATTCCTTATGTATCCTAGATGCAAGGCCCTCATCAGATACATGAATTGCAAATATTTTCTTCCATTCTGTGGGTTGTTACATTTTTCATTCTAATTAGATAGCAACATCTAAAAAGAAAAATGTTTACTGTTTAAAAACCCATATCTTCAATTTGCTTTGTAAAATCTCAAGGCTGGTTTGGCAGCAGGGATCCTTACTTCCAAGCAGCAACAAGTTGCAGGTGCTGAGCAGACGCTGTTCCCTTGCCATGGGACAGGGTGCCCTCTGCTTGACCACGCAGGCGTGTCAACATTACCTTCCAGGCCCCTGTCCATGTCCCAGTTTGTGGCTCCTTCTCTTAGAGAATCTCACAAAGCTTGGCCTGGATTCGGACTGCAAAAAAGTTTCCCTTGTAATTGTGTTAAATCACTTCTTATCAAAATGTTTCACCTTTGGCACTGAAACATAGTATCCCCCCAAACTGAGTACCAACTAGCAAGTCCTCCACTCTTCATGGTTTGCAATTTAGATCTTGCAATGCAGGAGACAGCTCAGTGGGTTTGGCAAGGCCCCCCAGATTTTGGCAGCCCTGCTAGTGCTGATGTCATGAGTGTCCCTTGCCATAATATGTCCTCTTAGTAACTCAAATGAGCCAAAATCAAACAAATGGAGCTGAAAAAACCGAGCAACGGGCTGCCTGAGCTTCAAAAATACCCAGAAAAACAATGTTGTACTTAGGACCATTGCCAAGAATGAAAATTGCTTTTTCTGATTGCTAATCCTCCCTTTCCCTAATTATAATTTGCCTGCTAAAAGCAGCCCTTTCTCAGAATAAAATGAGGATCTCTAAAAAGATACATCAGTAACTTAAGCTAGTCATATAACATTCTATTCACTTGTTTTTCATTAATCCATCCATTCTTTCATTTAAATATGCTCTATCCTTATTATTCTTTTTTTTTAAAGATTTATTTATTTATACAAGAACCGGGGTACAGGCCAGATGTGCAGGAGGGTAAGAGGATTCACCAGAGACAGAGGGGGGAACAGAACAGGCAGAATGACTAAGTACACTGCTGAGGGGAGCAGCAGGCGAGACAGGAGAGGTCTGCAGTGCTATGTGGGGATCGAACCCGCACTGCAGAGGCTGCCGACAGCTTCACAGCGCTGCGCTCAACTGCTTGCGCCACCAGGGAGGCCCACCTTATTATTCTTTTTGAAAAACAATTTTGTTGAGGTAGTATTCATATTCTGTACAATTGTATACCCATTTAAAGTGTACAGTTAATTGGTTTTTAGAACATATATATTATTTAGCATATATATATATATATATATATATATATATATATTTAGTATATCTACAGACTTGTGTAACCATCACCCACTATCTAATTTCAGGATATTTTCATCACCCCAAACAGAAACCTCATATCTTTTATTATTTTTTTTTTAAATATTTATTTATTTATTTATTTATACAAGCACTGGGTACAGTCAGAAGCGTGGGAGGGTGAGAGAGTTCACCAGAGCCAGAGTGGGGAGCAGAGCAGGCAGAAGGACCGAAGTACACTGCTGAGGGGAGCAGCGGGCGGCAGGAGAGGTCTGCACGCCATGTGGGACCCTCCGCCGGTGACCAGGGAGCAGCCGGGGATCGAACCGGCGCTGCAGAGGCTGCGGGCAGCTTCGCAACCCAGCGCTCAACCGCTGCGCCACCGGGGAGGCCCAACCTCATATCTTTTAGCATCACATTCCCATCCTCCCCAACCTGGGCAACAACTTACGTGTTTTTTGTCACTAAGGACTTGCCTCTTCTGAGCATTTTATATAAATGAAATCATTTAACATATCACCTTTTGAGTCTGGCTTTTTTCATTAAGCATCATGTTTTCAAAATTCATCCATGTATCAGTGCTTCATATGTTTTATTGCATAATAATATTCTTCTGTTTTCCAGTCCATATTTATATCCATTCAAATGGATTTGGGAAGCTTAGACAACTCAGTTTTTTTTTTTTTAATTGAAAATAGGCAAAGGATATGAATAGACATTTTCCCAAAGACATACAAATGAGGGGCTTCCCTGGTGGCACAAAGGGTTAAGACTCAAGCTATGAAGCTATCCGCAGCTTCTGCAGCATGAGTTTGATCCCTGGCCAGGGAGCTACCCACATGGCGCAGCAGACCTCTCCTGACTCACCCGCTGCTCCCCTCAGCAGTGTATTTCAGTCAGCCTGCCTGTTTTGTTCCCCACTCTGTCTCTGGTGGGTCCTCTCACCCCCGCCCCGCACCTCTGGCCTGTACCCATTCTTATATGCATAAATAAATAAATCTTAAAAATAAAAAGACATACAAATGACCAACAGGAATATGAAGATGTGCTGGATTGATGATCTTTTGATCATTAATCTTCAGAGAATTTAGGACTCGTAATCCAAATAACTGAGATACATGGGGACGGGGGGGGCATCTGCTGTCTGCGGGAGATTCTACCTAACCTGGTTAGAAGAAAGGTGGATATAGATGGATAAATAACGGGTGGGCAACTGAGATCTTCACAGACGTGGAGGGCTTATGAGGGGAGCAGATGATCAAATCACAAGAGCCAGAGTGCTGCAAGAAGGAGAGTGAAGAGGAGGCCACGGGGCCTCTGTGGGCCTCCCTTGGGCGAAGTTCACACAATAAGCAGCAGATCCAAAAGGCCTCTACAGATTTTAAAAAGAAATCAAGACCAAGTGTTGCCTCAGAGCACATGCCCCCAAAAGGGAAGGTCTGGGAACAGCACACAGTCTTGGAGACTCTGCCCTCCCAGGTGTGAGGAGCAGGGTCTTACCCATTTGCAGAAAGAAGCATCTGGTCTGTTCTGCAAAGCAGCACATCAGCACTTCCCATCAACCACTAACTGCTGATACACAGGCCTCGGTGCTTCCCAGGCCAACAGGTCCTGTGGAGAAAACACTCCATAAACTGAAGTCTTTGTCACCCACTATCCCTGGATTTGTCTGTGGGGTGTGCAAACAAGCCGATTTTCCCCTAGCTTTTAGTCATTGAGGTGCAATTTGGTTGCACTGAAAAGAGCGAGTGTTTACCCTACACAGCCTGGTTCTCCAGTCACTGCTTAAGTGCCCCCTGGGGGCATTAGAGCCACCCCAGCACTCCTGTTCTGCCCCTTACTATCCCTGAGAACTTGAGCGGTTTACTTTTCCTTTCTAAGCCTCATCTGGAAAATGGGAGAAAGGATTCTAGATTCTGTTCTAAAGACCTATTCAAGAGAACACAGAAAAGCGCTGAGTGCTGTGTCCGGAACATGAAGAACAGAGTAAATGAATGTTAGCGCTACTATCACTGGTGAGCTCCCAGGGCATTTTAAAAATCTGGTATCTATACATCCTCATAAAAATGACTGCCCAATCTGGAGTTACCCTTGGAGACCATCTAGATCTCTGAACTTGGGAGAAGAGCAGTTTTCTCCTGCAGAAGATGAGGTGGTAGCCAGGGCCAGCGTGTGGCCACTTCCCTCTGAGGTTTTGCTAATGCCCTTATTGTGAAAAGCAAGGCACACCTACAGACCAAGAAGCTGATTTGCTAGGGGAGGCCTCACTGTTATGCTAACAAGTCACCTTCCCCAGCAGTTTTGGCTCAGTACTTAAGAGTAAAACTTAAGAGGCCCCTGGGCAAGGCTCAGAGACAAATGAGCTCAAAACACATGTGGGAGGGCATGATTTACATCCTTCCCTTTTCGCTGGAGTCTCCTGAGTGTGAGAGGAGTGGGATGCACAATTCTCGGGTTGGAGTTCAGCACAGCTGTAAAAACAGCCTGTCCCACGGCTTCCCCCAGCTCTTTGGCACAAAGACGTCATGTAGCAGCTTCAGGAAGAGCAAAGGAGGAACTGCTCTTAAATGGAGAATACGACAAAAAGTTTCTATTGTGTGACCTTGGCACCAAGCAGGTCTTTCTTCCTCTCTTTGATGTTAGGTGGGACTGGAATCATGTGGGTGTTCAATAATAAAAAGAAAAAATGTAATAGATTAATACTCTCAAGATTTTGTCATCCATCACAATCACTAGTTTGCAGGGACTGTTAACTGCAGTTAACTTTCAGTCTCTGAAATTCTAAAAACCTTAGGCAGCTATGCTGGTCAACCCTCCATCCCACCAGTGCCCTCTCTCTGGACTCCTGCCTCACCTTCCAGTTCCTCAAAGGGACCTTTCTTTGTGCCTCAAATCAAACTCTCCTTCTCCCTCTCTGTCCCAATATTTTTTTTTTTACCTGGTTAACTTGTGCTTATCTTCAGGGTTCAGGAAAATGTCTCTCCCATTAGGAAACCTTCCGTGCCTTGTCAACCAAGTCAGGGGTCAGCTGTGCAGCCTCCACAAATCCAAGCTCTCTGATGTCAGGGACTGTTCCAGTCCTGGTCCCCACATCTGCAGGGGCTAGTCCCTGGTACATAGTAGACACTCATTGTCATTAAATACAGCACACACAGCCCTCAGTATTCAGGACTTTTTTCTATCCACAGAGCTCAGGTTCCCCAAGTTTAGATGTACAAAGTTAGAAAAATCACCATCTCTTTGCAAAGCTCTATTGATTGGGATGAGTAGTGAGCAGACAGTATGAGATGGATTGGATCAGGCAATATTTATTAATTGCCCACCACATGCTGGGCATTATGCTCAGCCACACAGGGGAGTTCAAGCTCACTCAGTCCTGCCCCTTCTCAGGTGGGTATTAAACTCAGGGATCTTTGGTTCCAGTTTCAGCTGAAGTTGATCTACCCTCCAGCTAAACTGTTCCCTTCCTCCCAACTCACATGCCCAGTCTTTGTGTTATAGGGTAGAAAAGGAGAAATTGTTCTCATCCTGTCAAAAAAAAAAAAAATATCAAAAAAAAATATCTAAGCGGTATCATGCAGCATTAGGAGCTTAGAATATCAGCCCTTTTGAGTTTGAGAACCTAAAAAAGGAGAGGAAGTAGGACTGTGATCATTTCTAGATAACTCTGATTCATTCATGTATTTAACTTTTTTTTAGGTCCTACTGTGTGCCATTCTAGGTGGTGATGACAGGGCAGAAAAGGAAAACAGAAATTCTGGCCCATGCCGGATTTATTTCCTAGTGTATAAAGACAAGCCACAAAACAAATAAACAGTGTTAGAGATGGTGATAAGCACGACAGAGAAATAAAAAGCAGGGAAGGGAAATCAGGACATGGGGAGTGGGGCAGGGTACATTCTATTTAAAACTGTCAGGAAGGACCTCACTAAAAGGCCAACATTTACAGAAGAGTAAACCCTCCTCTGTCTTCACGGTTCAAGAGAACCACAGCTGCCAAAGTCTAAACAGAACAATTTGTGCCCTGGGCAGTGCCTGGTCCAGGAGCCTAGCCCAGCCCAGGCCAGCTATCTGTGCGGCTGGATTTGCAGCCTGTCCACCTGTCCTTCGGCATCCACACCAGCACCCACCTGGGACACCCTTACTCTTGCACTTTGTGCCTCCAAGGAGGTCCTGATAGCCAATGGGAGGAGCTGTGGTCAGTGTTATCCTTATCACACCTGTGATGGGCCATCTGACCAGTGCCACACCAGGTATTCCTAGAGAAGGTACCCACCAATATGTTGAAAATGAAAGGTGTTGGGGATTATAGGTGTCATTCAGGGAAGGTCTAGGGAGGACAATAGTGACAGTGAGAGTTCAGAACAAAAAGGCATAGAGGTACTATACGAATAATAGAGCTTCATCAGAAAAGAGGTGGATTAAAATTGAGTTAAGAACAACATTGTAAATGCCCTAAAGGACTGTGGGTTCCTTTGCATGCAGCTGTGCCCCAGGGGAGGTAAGGAGTGGTGGAGGAAGGGCAGAGAGAGGAGGGAGTGTTGGGGGAGGGGGAGCCTGGCACAGAGTACAGAGAAAAGGGATGCAACTGATCTCTCAGAGAAGCAACAGGGTGAACTGAAGAGGTCCTGGCTCTAACACTTAAATGCAGCTGCCTTGGACTAGCTGCTGGGAGCGAGAGGGGCAGTGCTGAGTGGTCAGGTGAAGCTGTATGACACGGAAGGCAGGTGGACTAAAGGGAAGAGAGCTCTTGCTTCTGCTGGCTGGTCTCTAACCCCGGTACTGCTGGGAGGTAGACACGTGGAGGAGAGACATGTAGAGACATTTGAAAGAGACACATGGGTGAGAGACATGTGGGGAGGCTGACACTGGTGGCTGTTATCTTGAATTGTACTTTGATTTTTGTTCCTTTTGTCCCGGACTTGGCTGGCTCCTTTTACCTCCTTCCTGTGGTTTCCTGATAGACGGTGCATTGGACTTGTGACAAGCTTTTGGGCATCAATGCCCTACTTCAGGCCAATCTTGTTTTGCTAGGCATTTACCCACGTGGGAATGGGTAACTTTGGGTGACTTATTGGGGAAAATAACATCTCTTTCCTCTCTATGCACACTAACTCTATTAAAGATCTTTAACATTAAGAATTTACTTTTTCTGTCTTTATATTCATGAATGTCAAACCCCCTTACAGAGTGCAAGTTTGGGGGCTCCTGGTACCCCTTGGATACGTGCCAACAGATCTGGAGCTCTGGTTCTGCCCATGTGAGCTTTAGGAGGACCTCAGGGATCACTGCCCCCACTGTAAGAAAGAGGACAGGATATTACTGTTCTAATATTTGTTCCAATATCTAGCAAAGAATGACCCAGAAAACCCTCTCCTAGGTTTGCACATTGAACACATATGTTCACCAAATGGCACATACAATTGTAGCACTTTTCATTACAGCCCCAAATCACAAACTATTCGAATGTCCACAAAAAGCAGAATGAAGTGTGATCTCGCCATAAGCTTGAGCAGCATAACAAGACATGGGAAGGAACAGACCACTGGAAGGAACAGACCTCTGCTACGCACGCAACATGGTTGAGCCTCACAAGCAGGACTGACTTCCCCCAGGCCTCTTTGCCAAGAGGTTTGGAGGTCAGCCTGCCAGAAACCCGGGGTATAGGGAGAGGGAGGTCACAGGTCACAGGTTTGGATTCCCATGCTAGCCCATCCCTGACAGTGTTTTAAAGAGAGTGCATCATTAGCGTTGTGACGCCAGCCTATCACTCCCCTGACACCAGGAGCTTGAAGTCCAGTTAGAACTCTCCTCCATGGGGTAGAGTAACCTTGAGGAATGGGATACAGGGGCGATAAGTAAGAGGAAGAAGGGCTTCTCCCTCTATTCCCTATGCCCATCAGCACAGGAGGGAATTGTGAAAGCCATCCTTTCCCTCAAAAGGAATTCTCTCATGTAGCTGGCCCTCCCCACTACCTGTTGCATCCACACGGCAGGTTCATTTTAACTTCTGCATATAGTTTCAGTTTCTCTCACCTGGAAGACACCTCTGCTCCTCTTCTATCTAATTCTGCTATCCTTCCAGGCCCAGCCAGAGCAATACCCATTCTCTGAAGTTGGCCTCCTCAACTGTAGACCAGTGTTTTCCAATAGACCTTTTTGCAAAGTAAAAATATTAATTTTGCATTGTCCAGTATGGTGGCCTCTAGAATCCTGCTGCCACAGAGCACCCCTATGGCCAAAAATGACTGAAAAACTGAGTCACTTTATTTAGTTTTACTTAATTTATATTTAAATAACCAGAGGTGGTGAGTGGCTGCCATATTGGATAACACAGTCCTAGACAAACTGACTCCTTGTGTTGCCTTGACTCTATTCCTCCAGGAGCTGAATATGAACTTGACTGATTCTATGAATGTTTTATTTGCATAATTCTTGCCTTTGGAGATGGATTTTTTTTTTTTCTCTCAGGAGGGAGTAAGAAGTCAGAAGAATCTACTCTTGTGGCCAGCATTGAGCAAGCTGTTCTCCGGCTACTGGGAACCCCAAGCAGCTGATGCTCCACTAAGGGTGGAGCCTGACTCCTGGAAGATGCTAATAGTTCCCCTGTTACAGAATTTAGTGCCCAGCACCTGCCTGAATGCGAACACTGTTATGTTAGTTAGCTCCAGCCGAGTACCTCAACTTCTCTGAGGCCTTCCTGCATTTTCTGGAATCCTCTTCTTGTGCTTCAGAAGTGGCTCAGGCTTCCAGAAAATGCCCAGGTCTGAGGCAGAGAAATCATTGCACTGTGGTGGGCCAGAGGAGCAGGAGGGCCTCTGGAGCTGATTAGAGGCCTCTGTAGCATTCCTGTGAAGTGTGACATCTCCCTTCCCTGCGCCAAGCCTCAGAAACACTGAGGTTTTTTCTCTAAGGTGCTAACTGAACAGCAGAAGTTGAGAGACAAGATGCTGGGCTGGGGAAGCCCTGGGTTCAGTCAGCACAGCTTGTCCTCAGCACTGCCCACCAGGGCAGGGTGTTTTCCACAGGGAAAGGCCGTGAGAAAGAGGGTTGGCCCAGGCACCATCTGCAACAGATAGAAAGGAGGTGGGGCTGTGAGTCCACTGGGACGGGAAGATGGAAGAGGTGAAGGAACAGTTAAAGCCTATTAAAGAATGTACATCAGCTCCTCCCAAAACAAAGGCGTTCTCATGGGTCAGTGTTTCAGACACAGAAGACTGAATTGCAAGATGAAGATAGAAATGAGAAGGAGAGGGTTTGGGGGAGGCCTGGATGGTGTAGCAAGCAATCCGCCTATTAGGCAGTCTGCGAGGTGCTTGTATGGGGTTGAATGCTACTGGGCATGTTGTAGATGGGCACCCTAGGGTGTCACTACCCCTGACCTGTGGACTGCATCTGTGTAGAACCCAGTCCCCACCTCCTATGCCCGCATCTGTCTTCTCTGTCCAGAGAGAGGAGTACCAGCAGGTAAAAGACCTGAGAGAAAAAGCACTTAACCCCTTTAAGCCCTATCAGGAAGCTGATGGACTTCACTCTCTTCTCTGAGTTCTGCCCACTCCCCCCTAGTCCTTCAGAGGCAGGCTCTGCAGATGAGGCCCCTTGGCCCCTCAATGCCCATCCCCCCCATTGACCCCTCCTCAGTCCACCACATCCCTCTGCAAGAACCCCTACCAGTGACCTCCCAGCTGCCAAACTGAACAGACTCTGCTGAGGCCTCCTCTCACTTGGCCTCTGAGACAAACCCTCCCTGTTTCACGAGCTGCTTGTCCCTTAGATCTTCCTGATACAGTGGTCCCCTCACTTTCTCCAGCTCCCTGGGCCCCCTTCCTTTTCCCACTTTGGTAAGTGTCTAAGAGTCTTCTCATATACCCAGCATTGCCTCTGGGCACTCACCCTGCACCTAGCAGCCTCCACTGTCTTGATTTTAACCACCCTATCTATAACTCCACCCAAACCCAGTTTTCTGAGTCCTGTTTTTTTTTTTTTTAAGATTTATTTATTTATTTGTTTGTTTGTTTGTTTGTTTGTTTGTTTATACAAGAGCTGGGGTACAGGCCAGATGCGAGGGAGGGTGAAAGGATTCACCAGAGACAGAGCAGGGAACAGAACAGGCAGACTGACTGAAATAAACTGCTGAGGGGAGCAGCGGGCGAGACAGGAGAGGTCTGCCGCACCATGTGGGACCCTCACCAGCTGGCCGGGATTGAACAGGCACTGCAGAGGCTGCGGACAGCTTCACAGCGCGGTGCTCAACCCTCTGGGCCACCAAGGAGGCCCTGAGTACTGGTTCTTATACTTACTTTCTACTCAACAGTATTGTCCAAAATTTCTGTAGGCACTTGAAACTCAACATATCTCAAGTTTAAATTCTCTTTGAAATTACATTCTCTTATTATATTTACAAATATTTACAATATTCAGCATCATTCTGCTCATTAACAAAAATCCAGCTCCCAACAAGATGTAGTTTTGCATTTATTCACCTTCCTTCTGTTGACAGTGCATATATCTACACTCAAGGCAAGATTCCCACCCTCCCCGCACCATCCAGCTCTGGGGAAGATGGTGCCAGGCATGGTCCTAATTTACCAGCATGTTCCCATTCCCCTGGCCACAAAGTTTGATTTAGGAATAAGCAGTACATGGCCCAGTTTTAACTAGAGAGACATGAGACTATTCTCTGGGAAAGAACTGCTTATAAACTCTTTGGACAATTGCTTTTCTCCTAATGGATATACACAAGGAAGCAGCTACCTCTCACAACATTCTGGGAACCATCTGGTGGCCATAATGTGGTCAGTCTTTACGTGAAGCAGACAGCCAGGAAATCTGAAAAGAAACAGAGAAGAAATTAGGTCTTTGGTGACACTGTTGAACTTTTGGATTAAACCTTCCCTGAAGGCCACCTTGTCACTGGGCTTGTCCATGAATCCCCTTTATATTTTAAGACTTATTGGAACTGGGTTTTCTGTTCTTTGCAATCAAAAGCACACTAAGTGTAACCACTAGCTCTAAGTTCTCAGTAGCTATTGAATTGAGCTGACCCCTAAAAAAATGCATTAATTATGCCTTTTAGGCAATATAATGCCTTGATCCAGTTAAACTACACACAACTCATAAAGAAGGCACTTTAATGGCAAACACTGGCTGTTTCAGAGATTTTCAGAAATAGTAGGTCTTGTGAAGTGCCTCAATTATGCTGTGGAGTTAGCTAGGGATGCCACCTACACAACACTGGTTTTCTCTATGTTAATTTCTTTGCTTCTCAATTCAGGTGATAAAATTTGCACTTCCTTCTATTGCCCTTGGGTCATGAAAAAGCAGGAAGTCAGAGGTATTAAATTTTCTAAGTTTTTTTCTTCCCCTTTTCCATAGCAAGAGGTATAGTTGCAATCTATATAAAGTAGGCTTTAGTAAACTGCTTCCTAACCTTTGGAGGGGCAATTTCTGTCTTGGAAAATTTGGGAGGAGAACCCTGGAATTGGCTCCTTACATTAAGAAAACCTCTAAAGAGGTATCAAAATCATAAACAAAACTTCCATTCATTATGCCCATAACAAACTTACCAAGTGATACTAAAATCAGGAAAATCTTGGATTATATAGGAACTAGATCAGAGATTTCTGACTGTACTATTCTAACACACTGGAAAATTAGAACCCAAATTACACTGTAGTGTGCAGTATAAGTAATTTCTTACTAATAATTGTCTAAGTATCATGGTTACTGTAGTGAAGATCTGTTAGTTTTGCCCACCCACCTTCCATACTCTAGTTTCTGGTAACAGCCCTTAATTTTCCTTTAGGGAATATCCCACCCAGACTCTTAGTCTATATAGAGACTCCCCACTTCCATCACCCCATGATAGAGAGAGAAAAAAATACAGCCAGTCAGCATAACCCATTAACCCAAATCCAGTGACTGATTCAGGGACAGTGGCCCGTGCTTCCATTTCCAAGTAGCCTTAATTCTAGGATTTATGCTGGAACTATTGGGGAAATAAAGTTCTCTTTTCATGGAAAGGACTAAGCTTTGAGGATACAAGCTACAGATGCCAGCAGCCACACTCAGGAAGAGACTGTCTGAAAATGTCAGTGCAAAGAAAAGCAGAACCTAGGGAGGAATCACTTGTATAAATTCTGCTGAAACTATCTGAGCTCCTGGATCCAGCCATAACTGAAGCATTTACTCCTAGATGTTCTGCAAAACTGTTGCAGTCAGTTTGCATTGGGGTTTTGCTACGTATGAGAATCCTGGGTTTGTATTTTTGGGGAAAAAATTACATGAAGATAAATAGAGTGAGATCAATCTTAACCTTATAATAACCTCTCTCTCTCTTGCATTCTTGAGTGAGAGAGAACAGGGTGGAGAAAGAGCCAACACCAGCAATGGCGTTCAACATGAAGTGTGGGTTCTTTTGAAGTGAGAGATCAAAAATCTGAGCCTCCCAAAGCAATGTGTCCTGCTTGTGACCATGATTCATGTGTGAGCCTTCCCAAGAAAAAGGTTGCAAATCTCTTTACTGTGGTATTTCTAAGGTCCCTTCAGCAATACAACTCCCAGAGTATGCAAATGACTTTTATCATCACAGTACATTTCTACTGATGGCTTTTTGGATTCCCAAAGCCCTTCCCTGCTCAACTCACAGGCACATTTGCACTTACACATCCATAAGTATCCAAGAACAGTTATGACACCCCTTTAGCAGATGAAGAAACTGAACCTGAGTGAGATGAAGTGACTTAACCTGCCCCAAAGCAGGAAAAATTCAGGTTTGCTTGACCTAACCAGATCCCTTTCCTCCTCCTGTGAGGGCAAAATGAGATCATAAATAGGCAAGCACTTTGGCAAGAAGGAAACTCTATCGATGCCAGATGTATTATTATAAAGCCAAGCCTAAGTACAGAGTGACCTTGTTATCACCCCTGGAAAGGGGAAGCTTACAGATCGGGTCTGCTTAATCTCCTGGTACCCTGGAGAGAGCATCTGGGGTTTTCTCCAGCAGGGTTAAGTCTTGCATGCTCCTGACATCACTTTCTCCAGAGAGAACCCATCAGGAAGAAAAGACTGACATCGCCTTCATTCTTTAAAACCATTGCCCCCCAATTATGTTCAACTCCGGCCAATCCAAACGTCAGAGGGTGATAGTGTAGATGTCAGGATTCAAAATTTATAGACAGTGTGGACATATGTGATGGTTTGTTTGGGGAAATGGATTCGTCATGTGCAAGATATATGGCAACAGATAAAACATCCTGACAATATTACACACTTGGGGGTGGGGGTGCACGAGCATATTATTTTGAAAGCACACTGTTATGACATTTTAAAAATTCCAGAGTGAATGCTGAGCAGATCCAGAGGCTAATGCAATGCAGGAACATGCAGCTGTGCAGGACCATGAAGAATCACCCATTTTGCACCCCAAAGTGCATTTTCCATTTTTCTTCTCCCCCAAATCACAGATTGAGGTGGATTTAAAAACTGTGTAATATAAGCATAATCATACACATTTTTTGAAATTTTGGAAAATACAAATATCGAAAATTTAAAATATGCCTCATAATGCAGAATGTTCAGTCTGAGAGCCCAGTGAATTGGAAAATCTATTTATTCTGTTGCCTGCTGGCTAACATGAATGGCTGCCATTTTTATCAGGAGGAATCTTGCATTATGAAATTTGTTTTTTACTTGCATTAGGTCTTATAAAGTGCAATCCTCATATAAAATGCAATTTCCTTATACTCACACATACTAGACATTTTAAGAGGGCTTATTATGTATAGACTTGCATACATCTGCTATTTGAAATTTCACAGCCGGCTAAGAGATATATACCATCATCCTTATCTTGCAGAGGAAAAAGTGGAGGCTTAGAGGATTTGAGTAACTTGCCAAGTTTATATAGGCAGGACGATGCAAAGCCAGAATTCACAGGCCAGGCTTCTACTGCCTTATACAAAAAACCACCTCAACCAGAAAGATACACATTCATATGTGTATCTATTTATCTCTATGCTTGTGCCAGGCACTGGGTTAGGTACTAGGTCAATGGGAACTGGAAGGTCCAGAGCCAAAATTTTGGAGGGACAGGCAGTGGTGCAAGATACAGGGTCCAAAATTCCTGGCTGGTTCCAGCAAGGCTCAGTGCTAGATTTGCATAGTGGTAAGAGTGAAAGATGGATGTGTGCTCCTTTTCCCAACTGATTCTTACTTTCTCTCACTAAATTCAAACCCCTGAGAGAGAACATCTGGTTGGTTCACTTAATCACTATTAACCCTCTTATGCAAAACTTTCACACTAGGTTACCTTACAGAATACGCAGCTCAGGCTATGGACTAGCTGCTTTTAGGTCAGGTATTTATCCCTGATCCAATCAACTATGGCTTTGGGGGTGAGGTCCAACAGAACTATTGATAAGTGCTTAAGAAAGAGCTCAAGGCCATTCCTTCAGCAAGAAACCATTGATAGGTAGAAGGTTAACAAATAAAATATAGATTGCTCAATTAGATTTGAATTCCAGATCAACAATAATTTTTAAGTGTATACCAAATATTGTATTTGACATGCAAATATTATATGTTGCTTATCTGAAATTCAAATTTCACACAGTATTCTTTTTGTTAATTTGGCAACCCAATATGGCGGGAATCCATCAAAGTAGTTATGGATATCTTTCTAAGGTCTGACAAATTCAAAAGATAAGAGAGCAAAGGCCACAAATGAAAAAGACATCTAAACTAGTCAATGAAACCGAAGATCAGGAATTAGGTATCAAATATTATAAGCCCAGGACTCCAGAGAAAGAATCCACAGTTGGGAGAAATGAAGAGGGCAGACCTGATGTAGAAAGCTGTAGTCCTCAGACAGCATCTTGAGAAACACGTGGAAGGAGACACTGGAAGACAGGCAGACGGCTGGGTTGTGCTCTGGAGATCAGTTCATTCACACAAAAGACCCAACGTTTGTCTGTCAATAGCAAGAGGGCGCTATTAGGGATATTGTCCAGTTTGCAGACAATGTGACTTACAAGATCTAGCAGCATTCAGAACCCCAGTCCAGAGTACAGAGAAAAAAAAAACCCAGTTGTGTTTCAGTTAGTTGATGGTAACCATAGGCTGCAGTTCAAGAACAAGCCTCTGGGGTGTACTGGATCCTGGTGAGCATAACTAACTGGAAGTCCTACTTCTACAGGCTAGAGACTCTGACCAACTATAAGAGTGGCCTCAGGAACCAAACAAGGGTTAGCGCTCCTGGTCAGTGGGCTAGAAAAAGTTGGGCTTGGAGACTCAGACAACTGTCATTTGTCCAGTTTTCTCTTCCTGCGGTGCTGGGGAAGTTAACAAGTGCTGGGACTGGGTACGGAACTAAGAGGAAGAATGTCTGAGACCTATTTAGTGGAGAGCACCAACCAGATACAAACCTAAGAAGGTCAGCTAAGAAAGTGATGCCAGGAGTAGCTGGGGATGCCAGGCCTAGGGAGAGCTTCTGAGATAAAAGGTCACCAGGGCCCTTGCTGCAAACTAGGAGTGAGGGTTGCTGTTTGATATAGATTTTGGTTTGGCTTTTGATCTTTTGTACCTCAATCTATACTTTATATACTGATTCAGTACACATATTTAATAACTGAGATACAACTTCACAAAACAATGTTTGCTTTCTCTATGAGGTTTGCATGATGATATTTTCTATTCTGTTCATTTTTAAAGTTTTTAAAGAGTGTGAGTCACTAAATTTATTTCACAGCTCATTAGTGGATCACAGCTCACAGTTAAATCTTGGCTTAGATTATATTTATATATCAACCCCCTGGCTATTCATTTTCTATCCATCACTGGCCCTTGACAATGCCAATTCCAAATTCTTTTAGTAGATGTGATGATTTTAGATGTCTATCTCTCTCATACAACCCTTCTCTAAGAATTATTCCCCTATCACATGAGCTCTCCAAAAGGAGTGTAGTTCTGGATCCATAAGATTATAACATGATGTTTCCAATATGAGCAGATGAAAATTTCTTTGTGTTGTTAGTTCCTTACAAATTTATTATCTTTTGTCTGCAATGTATGTAGCATGTTGCTTTGTTCATGCCACAGGTCTCATATTCTTTGGGGCCTCCATGCACATCAAATTAAATTTGTCTTTTTCTCCTGTTAATTTGTCTGTGTCAATTTGATCATTAGGCTGGCCAAAAAAGACCAAGTATGGGAATGGAAACACTTTTCCTCCTTCAATAAAGACAGCCCTGCTGGAGGTAAATTTAATTTAGCTCCAGGGCTAAAATAGCCAAATTCTCTTGTACATATATGTAAAACAAAGAGAAAAACATTTTTATGATTTTTTTTCCAACTGCAAATCAGAATTCATTTAGAGGAAAAAAATTATCATTGCAAATTACTTTGGTCAGTTTCTTAGTGATTCCTTCAATAACAAACATACGCTGGTCCTAAGACATCAGAGGACGAGAAAAGCCACTTTCTTGAGAAAAGGGGAGAAATCTTTGGTTTTTCTTTTAAAGCTCTAAAGAGTTTAAATGTAGTATATTAAGAGGAAGCAGAGAAACTACTGTCTGGAATGCCAATCTACAGCAACCCTGAAACCTTCCTAGGAAAATAAAAATGCCAATGGAAATGTTAAATTTGAGGATACCATAGCCTCTCTCAGAAAGTGAAGGGTAACAGATACTTTGATAAGCCACATGGGGTTGGATAAATAGATATTTAGTTTTAAAACAACTTCCAAAGAGAGTGTATTGAGCTAAATACACTACTTTTTTAAAGATTTATTTTTATTTATTTATGCAGACAAGAGCTGGGGTGCAGGCCAGAGTTGCAGGGGTTGAGAGGATTCACCAGAGACAGAGTGGGGAGCAGAACAGGCAGATCTACTGAAATACACTGCTGAGGGGAGCAATGGGCAAGACAGGAGAGGTCTGCTGCGCCACGTGGGTTAATGCTCCCTGGCCAGGCATTGAACTCATGCTGCAGTGACTGGCAATAGCTTGATAGCTCTGAGAATTTAACCCCTGCACCACCAGGGAGTCCCCCACTTTTTTATTTTATTTTATTCAAAATGCATGTATAGGGACAGAGCTGAATTGCTAACAAGACAGAGTAGAAGCTGAGTGTGATCTTCCTCCTTTGTTTTCCCCACACACACCCCATGCAGGGCCTTGCCTCTCCTCTAGATATTGATTTGAAAAAATATCTGATTATTAGCCTTCCCAGGCTGCCAGATTGTTTATATGTCCATAGTACCCAAGCGCTTCTATCTGGCTCTTGATATAAGTAAAAGGGAAAAAAGAACAAAAGAATGAGAGAGAAGAGTAAAAATTGAAGTGATAAATTGAAACCAGGTACAGTTAAGAGTCAACAAAACTCACCAAAGTTGGGGGTGGTTTAAGGATGGTAACACGTTTCATTTAAGGTTTGCTCTACCAGGGCTATAAATACAGCTTCCATTTCTTCCTCGCCAATTTCTCAGTACAGTCTCCCAAACTTGTAAATACTTTGTGTGTATGTAAGTCAGAAAAAGACCTTCGTGGGCCTTCCTGGTGGTGCCCTGGGTTGAGAGCAGCACTGTGAAGCTGTCTGCAACCTCTGCAGTGAGGGTTCAATTCCTGGTGGGCCTGGCAGATTCCCACATGGCGTGGCAGACTTCTCTTGTTCCGCCCGCTGCTCCCCTCAGCAGTGTATTTCAGTCAGTCTGCCTGTTCTGTTCCCCGCTCTGTCTCTGGTGAATCCTCTCACCCTCCCTTGCCTCTGGCATGTACCCCAGCTCTTGTATAAAAATAAATAAATCTTAAAAATAAATAAATAAATAAATAAATAAATCTTTTTAAAAAAGCAAAGAAAAGAAGACCACCTTAGTTTCATTTCTAGTCAACTATGGAACAAAGCAGAAACTACTGGAGCTGAAGAATTCAGGAAGGAAAAAGAATTGATAAGAAACAGATACCCTGTTGGGAATTCAGAGACATCTTAGAAAAGGTTTTGGCTATCTATAGGACAAGGAATCCAAACTTCACTCCAGTTCCACCTAGGACTCAAGGAAAGGGAAGCTCCAGCTAAGATCTGGGGGAGCAAATAAAATCCAGTCTGCAGAGAAAAAGGGTTAAGCAGATACACACAGAGAAAAGGTTGTTTATTGTATTAATTTAGTAGGCTAAGCTATAGCAACAAGTACACAGAAGTTTATAATTGATCAAAAACAATAGGAGTTTATTTTTCAATTACTCAACAGTTTAAAGACAGCTCTTTCCATGTGATGATTCAGAAACCCAGGCTCCTTCCAGCTTGAGGCCTCACTATCCTCTAGGGCCTAGGACCTCACCATGATCTACATCCATCCAGCAGGAGATGAAGCAAGGAGGCCAAATGACCTCCTTGGCTTAAAAATGTCCTACATCACTTCCACTCACATTCTGTTGGCTAAAACTCAATGACAGCCACGTCTGCCCGCATGTGCAGCCTAGGAAGTGTGGTCTAGCTTGTGTTCAAGAGGAAATGGAATTTTAGCAAGCAGCTGTCAATCTATCACAGTCCACCCTTCCAGAAAATAAGTCCATTTATACTTTTTTTCCCTACGTAGAGGGCCTACACTCATATCCTCCTCAAGAAAAACAACCCAAAGTTCCATTTGGTCACCACATCAACCTCAAAGTCTGGGGCCCTTGAGAACACAATGTCTTCTCAATCGGGTCCATATGTGAGTCCTCATGGTCCAGCAACTTTATTGACTAAAAGACCAGTCATCTGCTCTTCTAACACACATCCACTATACCAGAATGGAGCAGGAACTGGAGAGTAACAGTAAAACTGCCCTTTAGAAAACAGAGGAGGGACCTCCCTGGTGGCACAGGGGTTAAAGTCTCAGCGCTATCAAGCTCTTGCCAGCCACTGCAGCACGAGTTCCATCCCTGGCCAGGGAGCTGACCCACATGGCGCAGTAGATCTCTCCTGTCTCACCTGCTGCTCCCCTCAGCAGTGTATTTCAGTAGATCTGCCTGTTCTGTTCCCCACTCTGTCCTGGTGAATCCTCTCTACCCCCATATTTTTGTCTTATACCCCAGTTATTGTTTGCATAAATAGATAAAAATAAAACTTTTTTAAAAAAAGAAAAAAGGAGGAGCAGGAAAACAGAGTCCTTGGTTGATGGAACCCAGATAAGTAGGCAATGAAGACCTTCTGCCGTTATGAAGATATACACTCCTTGTTTAGTGCTTTAATCTGCTCTGTGGGAGGAAGTCCTTGTGTATTTTTCTAGGGTCACTGACTTTACCCTATTGGATATCCTTTCTTGTCCATTATCCTTTTTGGTCACTTCTGAAGTCCCTTCCTTGAAGATTGTGTAATCTTCAAAGCTCACTTTCTGTTCATGCAAATTTGGGACCAAAGGAAATGACTTGGTCAATCAAAGATTAATTTATTCTGACTTGCACCTTCTTTAGCAATATAATTGTCTCAAAAAAAAACTTAGCAAGCTTCTCATTTTATTGTTTCTGGTAAATTCCAAATGCCAGTAACCACACCCAAAATTCTTTTCTGGACACAGTTCTGAAGAGTGAATTATTTGTTTCCTTGTCTCCATAACTTTCTCTCAACTTAATGGCAGCTACTTTGAGGCCATCTGAACAATAGACTTGGGTGGAAAGGCCACACCCTTAGTCTGATCTTTGTAGTAGGGGTTGAGTTGCTATATTTAACTGAGGATTCTTAATGGGCTTTTGTACTCTCCAAGTTTTATGTTTTAATTTTTTTCCTTCTGGTCTTATGTCTTACTGTTTAAGGTCCAGAATCAATATGCTTTTCAAAATTCAGAGCAGGGAGAGGGGTGTCCCTTCATTCCCCTTCTTTCATGGCTGGGGAATCCTATTTTTCTGGTAAGAACTTGCCATGAGCACCAAGGAACCCAGCTGTCTCAGGTAACATTCCCTCTTTCTAACAACTGCTCCTAGAACCACAGTCTTGTCTTGGTCTGCCTTCCAAATGCATACAAATATGTTGCCACTACAATATGGGTTGTCATTTTTGCACTCTATTATCTTGTGTGTCATCACAAAACTACTAAGTGAGTACCACACATTTTAGCTGTTTCTTACATTAGTACTTCCTTTTTAACACCAATTTCCATATTACTTAATGCAGGTAAACTGCTGTTAAAAATAAACTCAAAATTTATAGACTTTAGAAAAATAGACACTTACTTTCTACTCAGATAAGAGTCTGAGGCAATTGTTCCTGGTCATTGTAGAAGGGTGACTCCTTTCCACAGTGATTTGGGAATCTGGTTCCTTTATCCTATGGTTCTCCCATGGATGAGGGAATTTCCTCATCACCTGCCTCCAGCCTCAAAGCTTTGACCCAGAAATGGTCCACATAACTTCCACTCATGTTCCATTGACTAGAATTTAGTCACATGGCCATACCCAATTGCAAGTTGAGAGAAGACACTCTTTGGGAAGGCACTTTCCAATAACAACTTTATATTTCCAGGACTCTGCAAACTACAGCCTGCAGACCAAATCCAATTCACTTTTTTTTTAAATCAAGTTTTATTGGTACACAGCCATGCTCACTCATTTATACATCTTCCATGGCTGCTTTGCACTCAAACAGCATAGCTGAGTATCTGAAACATAAGCTACATGGCCCACATGCCTAAAATACCTCTTATCAGTTACCTTTACAGAAAAGGTTTGCTGACCGAAAATTTATACAATGGAAGCTGGAAGTCTTGTAGCCATCTTGCCACCACAAGGGGGAGTCTGGAGCTGCCGAAGCCCCCCACAGGACAGCTGAAAATGAAGCCAAACAAACAGAAGGCAGAGGAGAGATGGAGAGAAACCAAGTCCTGATGACCTCATTTGAGCCCTGAAGCCTGCCCCTCCTGAAGCCAGCTTAACCTCGGGCCTTTGTTTTTTTCACCTAAACCAATTTGAATTGGGTTTCTGTCTCAAAAGCAAGGGCCTTGACTGACAGCCTCTTCCACCCTAGCAGTGGCAGGCAATGGGGGAGAGAGGGATGCTTATTTTATACTTTAGAAGACAAACTTCAGTGTGACTTAGCATACCAATGGGTCAGACTCAAAATGTGGACAGTGTTACTGAGGCATAACCAACATGTGACACTTCTCCAATTTAACCCTGCAAGTTATAGAAACACTGGTAGCTGGGAGCTTCCTTTAAATATTTTCCATCCATCAGAGTTGATCAAATTTCTAAAGCAGGTGAAGTGAAAGGCAGGGGTTCAGCAAGGCAGCTGCTTAATGATCTCTAAGCCCCGAAAGACCTTGGATAAAACCTGGCCAAGAAACAAAGCAGAGATTTTTTTTTTTTTTTTCAGTCCAGCCTGTCCTGGAAAGGCCCTGTGTCATCTACACAATGAAACATAATAAGCTGTCTCTCTTCCAGGCTGAGCCCTCGAAGCTCTCTGCAGGTGCACTGGCAGTGCATGGAGGGGTTGGCAAAGGGCAGGTGGCTTTATTCCCCCTGCTGCCTCCTCCTTAGAAGTCGCTCATTACAGAGTGAGCCGGTGGTGTTGCATAACATGGACTCAGCCTGATTCCACTGGAGTACAAGGGAGAGCAAAATGCCTAAATGTCTCTAACACATAGCTCACTGAGAGACCATAGAGAGGACCCTTTAAACCTTGACTGGCAGGCAATTCATTGGAGTGATAATAAGCCTTCCTTCACCTCCTGTGAGTTTTCCCTGATTAAGGCAAACACTTGTGATGTGATAGGAGAAGGGTCAACAGTAGGAAAGCCTATATTTCTAATAATTCTTGCAACCTCCCTCCATGCAGCTTTGCAAACATTTGCTGAGAAATAACTTTACACACATGCATATCACTATACTTACTTTTAAAAATATCCCTGGTGAATAAGCAAAAGGTAATTATACACACTCCCCTTTAATTAAGAAACATGTCCTCCTATAACCACATATCTCCTGTGACATGAATAGAAATACAATGCCCGGGAGACAGAAATGAGTCTGGCTGATTTTTAACCCTTTGTGAAAATGCAGGAACACTGACTTCCTCTTCCCACCCACATCAGAAGTATGTGGGACAACAGTGCTATAAGCCACTGAATTACAAAAGAGGCAGAAATCCTGGAGGTCATGAGCATGTGAACAGGGTGTGTGTGTGTGTGTGTGTGTGTGTGTGTGTGTGTGTGTGTGTGTACCTAGCTGAGCATAGTCATACCTGTCTAGGTCCTTTGGGGTCAATCTGTGAGGTCTCAAAGTTGAAGGCAGATCAGAGGAAGTTTTACTCAGGGAAATAAACAGTAGCTGAGCCAAAAAGAAAGTTTAAATCCTGGTCACCTAAGAGAAAAACATGAGGTTGAAGCTGGAGTAGAGGTGAGAGGTAACACAAGTTCATGTGTAGGAAAACAAGCCAGAAGCTAAGACGGTCAAGTAGGGCAGTCAAGTGCAAAGTGAGTCAGGGCAGATGACCCACTAGGAAATGTATATATTGAGAGAGAGAGAAGAGAGAGCGATTAATTATCAGAAATTGGCTAATGTGATTACGGTGACTAGCAACCCTGAAATCCATAGGGAATGCCAGCAGGCTGGAAATTTCAGTAAGAACTGGTATTGCAGGCTTGACTATGAAACACATAGGACAGGCCAACAGGATTTCAATTCAGAGAAGATTTCCATCTTAACAGTCTTGAAACAGAATTCAATCTTTTTTAGGAAACCTCAGCCTTTTGTTTTCAAACCATCACAAAGTAGACGAGGCCCACCCACATCATGGAGGTCAATCTGCTTTATTTAAAGTCAAACATTAACCACCTCTACAGAGGACATTCACAGCAGCATCAAGACTAGTGTTTGATCAAACACTTGGTCATCACAACCAAGTCAGTTGGCACATTAACAACCACGTGGTGTTTAAGGTGCCCAGCAGAACCAGATAGTTACTGGGTTCCTTATGTCATAGAAATCTACAGCTAGTAGAGCCTCTATAGATGCAGAATCTGCGAACCAGACAATGGTGTTGGATCATCTGAAAGCTAGGCTAGGACTTATGCCTCCTAAACTGTAGTCCAGCACTTTTTTTCAAACTCTAGAACTGGGTGTCCTAAATCCTAGTGCCAACTCCCACACAGATTCTTTTTTTGATCAAACTTGGTTGACTGTAAAAATAGATATGTGCCTTTAAATTCATGCTGGCAGGATCACATTCTAATCATGCAAATATCTATTTCTTCAATAACCTCAGGAGGAAGTTAGGGATAGCAGAAGGCTAAGAACAACAACAAAATGTGAGAGTTTCCAAGAGACTGGAAAACATATGTGGACTTGGAGCTTTGCCCTCATGGGTTTTAATTCCGAATTAGCCACATCTAACCAGCAATTACTTTGAGAATTTTCATCTACACCGATGTTCATCTCTGTTCAAATGGTTGGCATCAGTTGGGTCTGCATATCAAGATGGGGTTGTTCGCTTTTCCATTTGTTAGGGCTAAAATGGGGGAATCAGCTTGTTTCTGACTTTTTGTGAATGAAAGAACAGTGCTGGCTGTGTGGAGCCATCTGGCCCGGGCACTGCATGCATTGTTTGCATCAAGCCCTGCCTGGCATCCCTCTGAGGTCAGAATTCTCCTAAGACTGGGGTGCCTCCAGGAAGTGCCTAGAGCAACAAAAAACTTGGCAAAAATAATCCACAAGAGCATCGTGAATGCAAAAACTCTTCCCACAACAGAACAATTACTAGACCATCCAGGCACTTTTCTATGGGAACCAGGGTGTACTTGAAGAAATCACTCAGAGACCAAGGCAGAGAGAAACAATCTGTTACCATTCTTCCAACTGGGCCTGCTTTTATTTCTCTAAAAATCACAGTTTGCAATGTGTGGGTGTTACCATGTTGTTTTTTCCCCTAGCAGAAATGACAACCATGAAAGCCTCCACAGAGCATGTGAGCAAGTATTTGTCAATTTGAGTGGTATGTATTGAGTAATAACAACAACAGCTAATTCAGTACTCATTCTGTGCCAGTGTTCTGAGCATTTTCCCTGAACTAAATCACTGCGTTCTCACAATCACCCAATGATGGTTATAATATAATAATGGTGGGCACCAAGGAAATTCCCAGATAGTTCTGTTCTGTAGCCCATGTTCTCAGGCCAGGCAAAAGAGAGATTCCAGAGGCCCCCAAAGGTAAGGGGGGAGATAGGCTTTGATTTCAACCAAGAAATCTTGAAGTACTATGAGTAGGATTTCTAAGAAGACCATACTATTTACCTTGTTCTTAAATTCATTGTTAAAAAGCAAAACTTCGGGGGCCTCCCTGGTGGCACAAGGGGTTAAGTCACAGCACTACGAAGTTATTCCACAGCCGCTGCAGCACGAGTTGGATCCCCGGCCAGGGAGATGACCCACATGGCACAGCAGACCTCTCCTGTCTCATCCGCTGCTCCCCTCAGCAGTGTATTTCAGTCAATCTGCCTGTTCTGTTCCCCACTCTGTTTTCTGGTGAATCCTCTCTCTCTCTCTTTCTCTCTCTCTCTCTCTCTCTCTCTCTCTCTCTCTCTCTCTCTCTCTCTCTCACACACACACACACACACACACACACACACACACAGACACACACCTCTGGCCTGTACCCCAGATCTTGTTTGCATAAATAAATAAATCTTAAAAAAAAAAAAGCAAAACTTTGTGTAGTTGTCTTTGAAATGGAAAAAAAAATTGCAAGGCAATCTAATTCAGTTTCTGTCTTTTCTAATCCTTAATGTGTTTTGATAAAAATCCCATGCTGGTTTCCTCCCTCTGACACCCTCAGAAATTCTGATATGCTGACCTACACATCACCCCATTCAAAGTGAGAATTTTTGACCTGAAGAATTCCCAAAGATTTTCTGTATGGGATTTGATCCACTTTTCTCTTGGCCTGTAGTCACACAGCACTGAACTTAAAATTATTGTAAGAAGTAAGGCTGAGTCAAAGGATGAAGGAGGAGACTTAAGTTTATGTGTGTTTGTGTGTTACTTAAATTTTGTTTTGTTTTGCTTTTGTTTTGTTATATAGTTCGGTTGGTGGGGAAGAAATCCCTATTTTAAAAAAAAAAAGAAAGAAAATCTTTAATTTAAACCAATTTATTATTCCCGGTTTATCTATCAACAACACAATGATTTTGTTGCCCAGGAAACCAGAGGGAGTTCTGGAGAATTAATCACCTCATTCCAAACCCAGAGGTCACTAAACACTCTCTTTTCAACTCTGTTTTCATAGGAAACAAAGACCATTCCTTGTAGCTCACCTGAGTCTCTCTCGAGTCTGAAACCTGAGCCTCCACTCATTCCTGGGATTTCGCACTTCCTGCTGCAAACCATATGTTAGATTATAAGGGAAAACCCTGTCTGTTGTTACAGTTGAGAAGGGTGGGGGAGAGAGAATGAGGTCACAAATCTCTGCAGGAGGCAATCACAGCTCTACCCCAAAGCTGCTAGAAAAACATGTTCCAATAAATTAGATTGTTTTTATAGCCCTTCAACTTCAACATTTGGCTCTTTACGGTTGGAAGTGTCTTTGCCCCTTACTCCATGTCAAAAGTGGGCTCCTTCTAGACATCTGCAAAAGCTAATGCCTGCCCTGGCCTGCAATCTGCCTGGATTTTGTTCCCTGCACCTGGAAAGTTAGTGTAATTAGATGTGTTTTTTTTCCTCTCCATTCTTGGATGGAGACACCTTATACAGAAGATTCAGGGGAGGTAGGAGACTCCAGATCCCTCACCCAGACCTACTCCTCCTGGGGGAGGGGGCATTGGTAGTGCTGAGGACTGCCCTAGGGCTCCAGCAAAAGGTTCATGAGGGGTCTGGATGAGAGATGGAAAATTTGCCCCTTAAAGGGCACAAGGATGGGAATGAAGGCTCACTGACATGCCACTCCCCATCCCCCATGGAAAACCTGAGCATTCAGGAGTGCTCAGGTTACCAATGTGAGCCCCAAGGAATCCATCGCCTGGGATGAGAAAGGAGTCATGGTCTCTTCAGCAAAGAACAACAACAGTGTTTCCTTTAAAATGTCAGGCAGGGGCCTCCCTGGTGGCTCAAGGGGTTAAGTCTCAGCACTACAAAGCTATCTGCAGCCACTGGAGTTTGATCCCCGGCCAGGGAGCTACCCATGTGGTGCAGCAGACCTTTCCTGTCTTACCCTCTGCTCCCCTCAGCAGTGTACTTTGGTCAATCTGCCTGTTCTGTTCCCCACTCTGTCTCTGGTGAATCCCCTCACCCCCCACACCTCTGGCCTGTACCCCAGTTCTTGTATGGATACATAAATCTTAAATAAAATAAAATGCCAGGTAGAAAACTGACTCACATCAGGGTGGTGGAGGAGGAAGGGAACAGCATTTGAAATCTGGCAGAACTATGTTTCAGTCCTGGCTCTGCCACTTGCTAGCTGGGTGACTTGCAGTGAATTATCTGAGCTCTCCCAATCTCTGTTTCCACCTCTATAAAATAAGGCTTATAGTATAAATAAGACTCTTGGGTGAATTAAATAATATCATGTATGTACAGCACCTGATACACAGAGGCCTTAAATAAATGCCCCGTTCTTGTGCAACGCATCAGCCAGATCTGTATGACGTCATGTCTCTGTTGGAGGGACTTTGCTTGTGAAGGAGCATCTCCAAGATAGCACCTGTGCTCCATTTTCTTTTCCCCAACAAAGCACTGGCTTATCCCATTCCTCAGCCCATCTCAACTACTTTTTCTTTGGGGCCTAATAGACCTCAGAAGTTAGATCTGTGAAAAGGAGAAGGAGAAAGAGAAGAAGTTATCTTTCTGCTTATTCCATTTGCCCGAATGAGACCACGAGTGTGGACAGCTCTGACCTTGCAGGATCTGTGCAGGATCTGTGCGGGTTCAACTTACTGTCTTAGACACTTTCAAAAGCAACTCGAAGTGCTCTCCTCTCTTTCTTTTCAGCTCTGCTTTGTGAATTTATTTCCATAATAAACACATATTAGAAGCTACTTAGCATATTGTGTTTCCATTAATCCTGTCCACAACTTCAGTCTCTTTAAAAATCACTTTGGCCGCCCAGCACCCACTGTGCCTTCCCTTCTCAGAACTCCTGCCGCAATGTTAGTCAGCCAAGCAGGGAACACGCCCCTTGTCTCTTAGTGCTGTGGTCATCATCTTTCTTCATGACTGCTAAGCCCCTTGAGGAGGGTTGTCAGATAAACTGCAGGATGCCCAGGCAGATTCGAAGTTCAGAGAAGCAACAAATGACTCTCCCAGTAGAAATATGTCCCAGGTATCACATCCTGTATTTTTAAGCTCTTCACCTGGTGACAATAAGGCCAGATTCTCATGCTTGTGCAACAGCACTCAGCATGTTCTGGGCCACAGAGTCAATAAATACTGGTAACAGCAAGGATAACAACCAATATTTATGAAGCATCAAGCACTTACATTTGCCAGATACTGAGCTAATTATTTTATGTAATTATTTTATGTAGGCACATGTATCTAAACATGCTGTTGGCAAATCAAGGTGGAATATGATTTTTCCAAAGGCAATATACCTTAAAAATAGAGGGGAGGTACTCTAAGCCATATAACCCAGCCCTGTCATAGAGACCCCGTGACCTTGGGTGTTTACCTAATCTTTCCAATTCCTGGAAATAAAATGATGTCTTTCTTCCTGGAACTGTTTGATTGAGATGATATACTAAGAGTAAATGAGATAGGGCCTCCCCGGTGGCGCAGCGGTTGAGCGCTGGGTTGCGAAGCTGCCCGCGGCCTCTGCGGCGCCGGTTCGATCCCCGGCTGCTTCCCGGCCACCGGCGGAGGATCCCACATGGCGCGCAGACCTCTCCTGCCGCCTGCTGCTCCCCTCAGCAGTGTACTTCGGTCCTTCTGCCTGCTCTGCTCCCCGCTCTGGCTCTGGTGAATTCTCTCACCCTCCCGCGCTTCTGACTGTACCCAGTGCATGTATAGACAAAAAAACAAACAAACAAACAAAATAAATAAATAAAACATGCCTCTATAAAAAAAAAAAAAAAAAAAAATCCAAAAAAAAAAAAAAAAAAAAAAGAGTAAATGAGATAATACACTAAGGACAAAGTGTGGTGTCCAACACAATACATTCTCAGGAGCTGTGGTGGTGGAGCCAGTGTCATTCTTATTGGCATTTAGAGAAGAAAGCTCTTTGCCTGAATGATCAGTTAAACTCCCAAGACTGGGAGAGACCCAGTCCACATAGAAATGGGAGGGTGTTTTAGGAATTGGCGAATAGATCTATTTGCCAGAAATCAGCTCTAGCTGCTTCGGTTTGTGTTGGGTTCATTAAAAATTTTCTTTACCATCAAAAGCGGTCTGCTAACCTAAATAAATTTTAAGTTTTTATAGTTAAAAATTATTGCTGTCTTGGCCAGAACAATTTATAGGCCTAAGGACACAAGTTGAATCATCAGAGAGATGATGGATTAAAAAAAGAAAGACAGCAGCCGGCACATTTCCAACAAGATTTCACCATTTTCCAGCTTATCTCTAAGCCCTGTGATGTTTATTGACTATGAGTCTATCAATTGACAATAAAGACAGCTATATTCTTTTGGTCACAAACCTAGAGAATCTGCTCCAAAAATCTTTGTCCCCTTCCTTCCTGCAGGGAGACTGGGGTACAGGAGCTTGGACCTGGCGCTCAAGGGACCTTTCGCTGGACTTGGGCTTCCGCTGAGGTTTCTGCTCAGAGTGGGGGCTGTGGGAACGAAACCAGAGAGGGTGCCAGATGGCAGGGTGTGGGAAGTCTCGGACCGGGAAGGGATGGCCAAGATAAACAAGCGACTGGAGGTCTGAAAAATGAATGGATAAACATCCAGACCAAAGTCAACAGTGCTGGAGAATCCAACCCGGTCTCTGCAGCCGGGAGGTTTTGACATGAGTTCAGTCTCCAGTTCTTGAAAGAACTTTTGTGCAGCAGATTCTTAAGCATCCCTATCTTAGGGGCATCAGGTGGAAGAGATCACACAGTTCCCGCAGCAATGCAGAAATTGCTACGATTTCATCAGTACAACTTTCTGGAAGATTTTTGCTTAAAAATCAATAGAGAACTGGATACTGGTTGATATTAAAGGGGGAATGCTCATTTTTAAAGTATGATAAAATGATATTGTGCTTTTGCTTTTAGAAGAATCATTATGTTTTAGACCTTCTGGAGTGAAGACCAGAGTTTGGGCATACATTGATAGTTGCTTAATATTAGAGTATATTCTATTATTCTCTATTTTGTGCATGATCCTTGAAATTTCCATAATATGAAGGTTTAAATAAAAGTTGTCAAGGACATTTATTTTGTGTCATTAAAAAAATCCAAACTAGGATCTAATAGAATACATTTTTTTTTCTTTAGCATGAAGGACTTTAATCTCAGGTTTACACAGAACAAAATGAAGAAGCACACTAGCAAAATGAAGCCATTTGGAACTATGGAATGAACATCTTATATATCTGAAGGTTTCATGGTAGAATGCCTACACTTTTCTTCAAAATCACAGATAACGTGTATAATACGTATGTTTCCTTACTTTCCTGGATAACTGGATTTGTAAACCTAATCTTGGGAAAAAAATATATTTAAGGAGTAGAGTTTATATGGGATCTAAGAGATGCTTTGAACAAACAGCTATTACTTGACCGGCTGTTGGCCCGTTTGCAGTGCAGTGGGGTCTTGACACGGACGGGGGCAAAAAGAGGAAACAGCTACTTGAAAGTAAGTTGTCTGACATACTGACCAAAAAGTCCCGGTTGGAATTCTCTGACTCAAACCATTTCCTCCCAGCCTCCTGGTACCATGGGTTTTTTGTTTATTTAGTTTGCTTTTTCAACCCCTGATAAATTTGAATTATAGTTACTCTATGATGTGCGCTATAGGGCAAAAAAAAAAGAAACCAAAAAAAAAAAAAGGAAACTGTTTCAAATCCTTGTTTAAACTGGGATAACTGATTCAGCTTTGAAAGTAATACATGATCGTTTCCTGACCAGCCAAAGACCCCAAATCCTGTGTGACCAAAGTCAGTATTTATGCAACTAAAATGCCTCAAGCTTGTTTGCTGTCATTGGGAGCTGGATGGAAACACCCCACTGTTTCTCTAAAGTTGGGTTGGCACAGTCGTTGACTGTATAATCTTACTTAGTTTGCAAATGTTGTTAGAAAACCAGCACATGTCATATCATATTGTTTTGAATGCAGTAAAGTCAGATGATGCTGTGCAGTTTGCAGAGCCCGGGAAAGTCATGTACAGGCCTGGCTGCTCAGTTCTCCCAGTCCAAATCAATTACACTTTAATCAGGATGGTTTCCGGAACTGGTCGGATGGGGGTTCAGAGTGAAAAGGAAAAATTGCTATTTCTCTCCAGATCCTGTTTGCATCAGCGGACTCCATCTGAGACACATCCTGCTTGACCTCTGGCGTCGCGGGGGAGGGGAACTGTTCTATTTGATTTTTGACTGTCACTGATCCCACAGTCTCCACTTTTTTTGAAGGGCGGGGAGAGAAGCTTGCATGAGTATTAAAGTTTAGTCATCATCCTCAGGCTATAAGGACACATAGTCTGAGGCTATTCACGTTTCTCAAACAGTGGCCCTTGGTGCATCAGAATCCCCAGGGCACCTGTTTAAAATGCAGATTTCCGGCCAGATCTTGAAAGACAGTCTCTAAAAAGGTGTTAGTCAAACAAACTATCTAGGTGATTCCAAAGTGCAGTCAAGTTCAAGAAACTCTCAGGATGAGAACCGCTCCAATTCAAGTTCCTAGTCTTTGGCCATTAACTCTAGTCAGCCCAACTCCCCTTTATGTTCAAATCCTGGAAAAGTTATTTTGAATTTTGGGCATCACCAGGAGAACCCCAAAAGAGATGACCCTGTTTGTGGATAGAGGAAGACTTAAGGACCTCACTTCCATACATTCCCAGGGTGTGGTTGTGGGAACAGGAGGGTCAGACTGAAGGCTACTGGCACACCCAGATCCAGTTTTCCCAAGGCAAGTCAAAAAGGAAAATTATGGAGAAGTTAAAGATATTCAAATTATTCTGTGATAATGGGATTATTATGTTAGGCATATCTTTCTGGAGATGTTAAAATATCTGTGTTGGTCTGCTTGAGTTGCTATAATGAAATATTACAGACTGGATAGCTTATAAACAATAGTAACTTGTTATTCATTGTTCTGACTGCAAGTCCAAGACCAATATGCCAGCGTGGTCAGCTGCAGATGAGAGAGTTCCCTTCTCACTGCATCCTTACCTGATGGAAGGAGCTAGAGATTCATAGGAGTTTCTTTTATAAGAGCAATAATCTCATTTATAAGGGCTCCACCTCATGATGTAAGCTCTTCCTAAAGGCCCCACCTTCTAATATCATCAGCTTTGGAGGGCAGGACTTCAACATGAATTTGGGAGGGATGGCAACATCTTTTCTTTTAGGGATTTAGTTTCAATTCATTTATTTATTTTTGGAATAGTTAATACAGAATGCCCCTTGCACAAAATTCAAAATGTGTAAGTCTCCTATACTGATTATATGGGAAATCTCCCTCCTACCCCAGCATTCTAGCTCTCAAACCCAGAAATAGCCATTGTTCCTAATGTCTTATTCCTCAAAAAAAATGCACTATGCATATACAAGCAGACACATTTATAGAAACTCATTTTCAATTCAGCAGGTAGCATCCTGTTCTTGCTTTTTTTACTTAACAACCTATTATAGTGATACATTCATATGAGTTTATTTGGGAATTTTTTCTTTTTTACTTAAATGACAGTGATGATAGATGGTAGTTGGGCATTTAAAAAATGTCCTAAAGACTACCCACACAGGGCCTCCCCGGTGGCGCAGCGGTTGAGCGCTGGGTTGCGAAGCTGCCCGCCAGCCTCTGCAGCGCCGGTTCGATCCCCGGCCACCGTGTGAGGGTCCCACATGGCGCGCAGACCTCTCCTGCCGCCCGCTCCCCTCAACAGTGTACCTCGGTCCTTCTGCCTGCTCTGCTCCCCGCTCTGGCTCTGGTGAATTCTCTCACCCTCCTGCGCTTCTGACTGTACCCAGTGCTTGTATAAATAAATAAAAATAAATCTTTTTAAAAAAAAAAAAAAAGACTACCCACACATATCCTCAAACACTCACACTTGGAACTACAAAAAGGTTTTTAAATCTTTTCTAGGGGCCTACCTGGTGGCCTAGGGATTAAGTCTCAGCACTACCACCATGGCAGCCTGAGTTTGATCCTGGCCAGGGAGCTGACCCACATGGCGCAGCACACCCCTCCTGTTTCGCCCACTGCTCCCCTCAGCATTGTATTTCAATCTGCCTGTTCTGCTCCCCACTCTGTCTCTGGTGAATCCTCTCACCCCTCCCCGCTGCATCGCTGTCCTGTACCCCAGTACTTCTACACAAACATAAAATCTTTAAAAAAATAAATCTTTTCTAATATGTGAAATATAAAAGCTAAATCCACTGACATAAGAGTTTAATAGCTATAGTATTATAACATTCTATAGTAAAATGCTTCTATAAGGACTTATTAAACTATATATTTAATAGTTATTTCAGAGTCAAATCATTCTGGACTTACATCCTACTTGCTTCATTCTCTAGCTCTAAGAATTTAGAAAAGTCACTAATTTCTCAGAGTCAATTTCCTCATTAATCAAAAGTGAGGGTGGAGTTGGAAATAACACTTCCCTATTGAAATGGTGAGGATTAAATAAATAATGACTAGAAAGCACCTGGAGCCTTGAACCCAGCAGATTATCAGTATGTGGGACACGGCAATAGAGAATTGGCAATAGACAGTGCTCTGAAGAGGTTACATAAGATAAGAGCTGGAAGTGTTCGTTGACTTTGGCAGTTGGAAGACCAATGCGGACTCAGCTGCAGAGCTCAGCAAAGTGTACTTGGTGGTGGTGGCAGTGAGGAGAGGAGAAGTTGGTGGCGAGTGCACCCATTGTTATTGAAGTTGGGTGCTCTGTGGTCCAGTCTCAGAGCAGGCAGTTTTGGCCAAATACTGTCTGGCAACCAACAAAAGAAATTCAGCCCACTGGTTCTTTATCTCATTTTCTGAACACAGTGGATGGAAAAACAGTGTAGAGTGATACTTCTTTTCTGTCTCCACCCAAATCCCATCAGTAAACTGGAAGAAACAGAGAGTAAGTCCCTTCTGCCACTCCCTTAGGAAAAGATTAAAAGTTACGTAAATGCCCCTGAAATAAATTCTAAGAAGTGGCTTATACTATTTTGAAAATTCAGACTTTGTAAGATTGTTTGTTAAACAATGATGACAGAAGTGATGCATCATGTCCTCTTGCTTTTCATTTTGTTGATTTGTTTGTTTTCATGGAGAATTTCAAACACATGCTAAGTAGAAAGACAGCTCAATCAACCTTATGATCATTTTCAACAACTTGTGCCCAATTTCCCTGTACATTCCTTTGAACCTTCCCTCCGCCAATCCCCACAATATTATTTGAAGCAAATACTAGAAAGCAAATCATTTCATTTCATCTCTAAGTATTTTCACATGCATCTTTAAAAGATAAAGATTCCTTTTTAAACAAAGCTGCAAGACTAGTACCACCCTTAAAAAATTAACAGCAATCTCTTAACATCACCACATAATAAGTGTTCACATCACCTCTGGTCTCAAGAATGTCATACTTTCTTTTAACAGATTATGTGAATCAGGATCCAGATAAAATCCATTCCCTTCAATAGCCTTAAAAAAATTAATAGGGCCTCCCTGGTGGTGCAAGGGGTTAAGCACCGTACTATAAAGCAATCCACAGCCTCTGCAGCACGAGTTCGATCTCCGGCCAGCCAGGGAGCAACCCACATGGCGCAGCAGACCTCTCCTGACTCGCCCACTGCATCCCTCAGCAGTGTATTTCGGTCAGTCTGCCTGTTTTGTTCCCCATTCTGTCTCTGGTGAATACTCTCGCCCCTGCCCCCACATCTCTGGCCTGTACCCCAGCTCTTGTATGCATACATAAATAAATCTTTAAAAAAAATTAATAGGCACTCCCTCCATTTTTCTTTTTTTCTGCTTGCAACTTACTATTGAAGAAATGTCTGTTTCCTTCAGTTTCCTTCATTCAGGATCTTGCTGACTGCATCTCTGAAGTATGGAATAACATATTCCTCTCACTCATTCCTTAATGCCCGTATTTCCTAAAAATTGAAAATAACATCGGAAGGCTTGGTTATTCAGGTTTGGTTTTTGTTTGTTTGTTTTTTGGTCAATTCTGTTTTGTGCTTGCTTCCTTCACAAAATTTAATGTCTATTTTTCTATTTTTTAGCAGCCATTGATGTTCAATGCCAAGTCTTGATTTCTTTGTTTTCCCACCTCTTTTGCCCACTGTCTCCCCAGCGAGCAGTTCCTTCTAGACAAGAAAGAGTCAAATACTCAGGTCTCTCAGTGGAACCATTAAGAATTTCAGAAATTCATCACCCCAAGTTCTATTTTTTCAGACTGATTTTTTTTCAATTATACTGAGATATAATTGAATGTAACATTTTATTTGTTTATGGAGTACAATATTCAATACATGTGTAGTTTATGGAATTATGACCCCCACTGTATTTAGTTTGCATTCCTCTAGCATTGTTACAATTTTTTCTTGCAATCAGAACTTTTAAAATCCCCCCTCTTAACAAATTTCAAATATGTGATATATACATTATTGCTAACAATAGTCATCAGCTGCACATTCCAACCCCAGAAGTTATTTATCTGTAAGGGGAAATTGAACCAATATCACTCAGCAATCATGTTCATTGATGATAATCATCACCACATAAACAGCACATTTCTTTTTTTTCTAAACACTTCTTTTTTTAAAAAAAAGATTTATTTATTTTTATACAAGAGCTAGGGTACAGGCCAGAGGCGCGGGAGGGTGAAAGGATTCACCAGAGACAGAGCAGGGAACCGAACAGGAAGACTGATGAAATAAATACAGTGCTGAGGGGAGCAGCAGGCACGACAGGAGAGGTCTGCTGCGCCATGTGGGACCCTCGCCGGCCGACAGGGATCCAACGGCACTGCAGAGGCTGAGGACAGTTTCACAGTGCCACGCTCAACCCTCTGCGCTACTGGGGAGGCCCCACATATTTCTTTCTATTTTTAACCTACTTCACTCATTTCCTCCAACCTTGCCTCACCACCAAGCTTCCTCCAACCATCAATTTATTTTGTTTCTATGAGCTCTGCTTTTTAGATTTCACGTATACAAATAAGATCATAAAGTATTAATCTTTCTGTGACTGACTTATCTCACTTAACATCCTACCCTCCATAACTACCTCAGCATTTTATTTTATTTTTTGTTTTTTTTTTTTAAAGATTTATTTATTTATTCATACAAGCACTGGGTACAGTCAGAAGCACGGGAGGGTGAGAGAATTCACCAGAGCCAGAGCGGGGAACAGAACAGGCAGAAGGACCGAAGTACACTGCTGAGGGGAGCAGCGGGTGGCAGGAGAGGTCTGCGCGCCATGTGGGACCCTCCTCCAGTGGCCGGGGATTGAACCGGCGCTGCAGAGGCTGCAGGCAGCTTCGCAACCCAGCGCTCAACCACTGCGCCACCGGGGGAGGCCCTACCTCAGCATTTTAAATGACAGCGTTGCTTCCTTTTTTGTGGCTAAATAATATTTTGTGGCTTATATGTGTATACATATGTGTATATATGTATATATATATATATATATATACAGTTTCATTATCTATTCATCTGTAATGAACATTTAAACTGTTTCCATATCTTGGCTACTATACATATTTTAATACATAAAGGGAATGTAGATATTTCCATGATATAGTGATTTTATTTCCTCTGGATATAATCACATATATACACAGAAGTGGAATTGCTAGCTTATATGGTATATATGTTTTAATCTTTTAGGAACGAACCTCCACAGTGTTTTCCATAATAGCTGCACCAATTTACATTCCTACCACCAGTGACCAAGTGTTCCTTTTTCTCCACATTCCTTGCCCACATTTGTTATCTCTTGTCTTTGTGATGATAGCCATTCTAACAGGTGTGAGGTGATGTCTCATTGTGGTTTTGATTGCATTTTCCTGATGGTTATCTATGTTAAGATCCTTTGCCCATTTTTTAATTGGATTGTTTGATTGTTATTGAGTAATATTAATGATTTATATATTTTGGATATTAATCCCTTACTAAAATATATGATTTGCAAATATATTTTTCTCATTACATAGGTTGTCTTTTCATTATGTTAATAACTTCCTTTGTGCAGAAGTTTTCTAGCTTAATGTAATCCTATTTGTTCACTTTTGCTCATGTTCCTTTACTCTTGGTGTTATATCTGAAAAATCACCTCCAACCCCATTGTCAGGGAGCTTATCCCACTGTTCTCTTCTAAGAGTTTAGCGGTTTCACATATTTTATTCAAGTCTTTAATCCATTTAAGACTGGTGCCTTACCAGCATTTTGGAACACCAAGGTGGGAAAAACAGTGTTATTTCTTTAAGCCCCACTTCTTCTGAACTTCACCCTGTTCTTAGGTTTCTTTTACTAAAACTGCCCCCACCCCCAATCTTCTTCAAAATCATTCTCGCTGGTTAGTGTGTGTCTTTCTCCTCCCCTTTTCCCTTCTGATTCTTGATCAAGAAAGCCTAAAAGAACTGTTCTGTTCCCCACTCTGTCTCCGGTGAATCCTCTTACCCTCCCGCATCTGGCCTGTACCCCAGCTCTTGGATAGATAAGTAAATGAATCTTTAAAAAAGAAAGAAAGAAAGAAAGAAAGCCTAACAGGCCATTCACCTGGCTATGACAGACTCCTTCTCAAGGGGCAAGAGGAGTCAGAAAAATACACCATCCTCTTTGACTGTCAAGAGAGGGGAAAAGGTGGGACCTCTGATGTATAATCATTTCTGTCCCTTCACAAGTGAATGAATGATAGATGAAACCAATTCAAACTCCAGCTGGGAGTTGGAGACCCCTGAAGTGTGTGAAGGGGTACCCAAGCAAAACCATGAGGTGCTATGAAAAAAATTGGGTACATGACAAACTGAATGCTGCACTTACCATGAATTAGGCAGTCATGTGCACCTTGGTGAGAGCGGGAGTGATATTTGGGGACAGAGACTGTTCTAGGACCTCTGTCAAGGGAGCCAATTACTCTTTCTGCGTTAGATGGTGTAGGGTAGGTAAAAGGTATCTGGTTTTTCTGCCCTCCTGCCATTAGGATAGATGAGGGAACCCTCTGGTCCTGAATGCATGCCTGATGGCGGGCACCTGAAGTGGGTACACCTGGGCTGAAAGACTGGGCTTTTAAGGGTGGCGTCGCGGGGACACCAGAAGAAGCCAAGAACAAGTAGAAGCTGAGAGAGAAGCAAGAGAAGCAGAAGTCGAGAGAAGGCCGGAGAGCCCAGAGTGAAAAACTGCTGGGGGCTGGGAGGCCTGCCAGCCTACCGGCCCCCCAGCACCCTTGCCTGCTGTGTACCGGGTAAATCCCAATAAAAGCCTGCAAAAAACCACTGAGGACTCTGACTCCTCCTTTACCCGGTCTGCTGGATCATAGAAAACCTGCACTGTGGCCTGTCCTGCCCATACAGATGGCATTCTTGACCCTGAACCACACACCATTTCTGAGTTAAACAACCTTTGCTGAAGCCAACTGGAAAGTACTGGGAGGTTCCTGGGTATTAGGCCTAGCATGCCCAGCACATGATGGGCAAAAGTAGGCAGGAGCCAAGGGAAAAGGGTCAGTTGTTTAGCTCTCAAAGTATTCTAAGCTCCTGCCTCGCTAACCCCTCCTCCAGAAAAATTTGAGGTCTATTTAACACAGCAGAAAGATAGAGGACTTGACCTTGTGTTAAACTTGGTTACTTTCAAAATCATGCTCTGGCTTACTAAAAGGTGCAGTGCAAACAGCTGAGCTCATACGTTTCACCAAGTCAAATGAAAGATGAATGCCCATGTGAAGAAGTAATACTTCTCTTTTTACGTCAGCGAAACTTAAACTAGGAGTGGCAAAACAATGGAGTGTGGAGTTGCTGAGAGCCCAGACTTTGGGATTAGATAGGCCTTGTCACATCCTGCTTCCATTAATTTTTATCTGTGTGTCTTTGGGCAAGTAGCTTAATCACTCTGAACCACATTTTCATTATTTGTAAAATGAGGATAACTAGGCATGCCTGCTCCGTGACATTATTGTGAGCACATGTAGGGCACTTGGCATTGTGCCAACCAGAGCATCCATGGTACATTTGAACTAAGAAGCCAACATTAGCACACTATTATTAACTAAATTGGACACTTTACTCAGATTTCACCATTTTGTATTCTAGGATATTACATTGCTTTTAGAAGAATGTTTTTAATTGGCACAAAAATCATCATTGTTAATCCATCAGCGACTCCAGGGCAAAAACCTAAATGTGCCTTTCTAAAATACTTGAGGTCCTGAAATTTGTTTAGTCCCTTAAGCAGATTTTTGCAAACTTACTGACCTATTCATTAGCATAGTAAATCTTCTTTGCATGGTTAGTGAAATAGTGAGATACAGGTTAGCATCTGCCAAAATTATCACAATATTCAAATTATTCAGGTTGGAAGTCAGTAAGATTTCACCATGTGCATAATCTTGGCCTACAAAGAAACAGCGCGTCTGGCACTTAGTAGGTATTCACAAAGTGTGTGTTGCTCAGCAAATGTAGAAGGGAATTCCTACCTCCTGACAGTTTGATCTGCTCACAGTTTGATCTGCTCACTGACTGCTCACAGGCGCAGTCAGTGCGTTTTGTCTCATTTCTAGTTATCTCCGGGAGCTTTACTGTGCCTTTGCCCACAGAACCAGTTTGTACAAGACTATATGGAATCTGAGCAAATAAGACTTACTGTTTGGCAAACCATGAATTTCTCTATCATTTTTCACTCAACGAGGGTTGTCCCTTGGGGAAGATCAATTCTGATGCTGAAAATAAATGAGCTTTACTTTTGCCTCTGAAGAAAAAATATTCAGGTGTGTGAATTCATTTGGGGGGAGTTTAGTTGTGGTAGTTGCTACTTTTAATAAATAGCATGAACCAAAGAGGATAAGAATCACCAAGGAAGCTCAAGCAAAGAGAAACACAGCGATAAGGACATGCAGCCAGCCGTGAGCTCCTTGGTGTGACCTGGTGGGTCTGTTG